CACACGCTGCCAAGTCCCCAAGAAGACTGGAGGAGCATTTTGTGGAGCCACTCAGGAGCAGAGGAGTTCGGCGCCACAGCACGAAGTTGGCTTTAATGACAAAAGTGGTTAGGTTTCGTACGGTTTGGTTTGGTTCAGTTCAGTTTGGTTTCGGTGTGCTAGCCAGTAAACTGTCTGAAAAAGACTGTTGCGCGCAGGGGAAAATCCCATATAAAATGCCTTGTGTCGGCTTGTCGATGTAAATGTCTCCTTAACTGGGGAAAAAAATTCCCCGGCATGTTCTAAAGCCCGAGCAACAGTTTGTTGGCCATCAGGGTCATCCTTCTCTCAACCAGTCGCGCGTATCAATAGCCAAAAATATTTACATACGCCGCGCGTTGAATCCACCGAACTGAAAAGCAGCCCTCCCCCTTCCTCCCGTTACTTTGTCAATGTCAAATGTACTGGTGGGTAAGTGGGTGGATGGGTTACATTGGCCATGGCCAATGGGTTGAGTTGGCTGTGTGGGTTGAATGGGCGGAAGGCAACTAGTGGTTCTCATATTTCCACAGTAACAAATTTGTTTACGCTTAATTGGTCTACGCTTACATCGGATCAGGAGAACACAGGCATCAGGAAAAGTTCCCTTAAGTGTGGACAACACAAAGTTGCGCTTTGTTCGGAAATTGAATCACTGCTGCCCCCAAAAAGTATGCTACAGAACTGATTTTGGGGTGCTCGCTCTTGGGATTCATACGGGCTAGCCTGATAGCTTTCAAGTGTGCGTTCTACTAAGTTTGGAGTTATCAGTGGTCAAGATAAATCAAATCTATTGTTCACCTAAGAAGTTTATAATATATATTTACTTTCATAATAGCTCACAGCTGTTATAAGTCTAATTTAAAAATAACACATAAAGTTCGGGTAGCCGAGAAAAACGTGATTTATCTTTGAGTTAGACTTATTGATTTCCCCTAAATGTGTTATCTTCCATATCAAATTAAGTAATATTCAGGATAGTATTTCATACGTACATGAAAGTTCTTCTCCATTCCAATGGTTAAGCTGATTAATGTTCCTGCCTTGAATATCTTTCTAACGAGATGCTTCATCGATTGTCAGGATAGCATTGTTCAGTTGATATGATATATATTTGCATGATTTACTTGCGGCATTTCCATTAGGATTCCGGTCGAGTCCGGATCAGGCTGTAAAAATGGTCCACAGAGATTTGTGGAGCTCACATGCGAATGTCATATTCGGCCATGTGTGTGTGTGTGTGTGTTGGGTTGTAAATCAGACTGGAGGCGGGGGCGGATGAAAGGCAGACAATGGCCAGGGCCATTTGGCATTCACTAAACAGCACAAAGGTGAGCATCTCGACGGTGTCATAAAAAACAGTTTACACATGGGTTCTGGCCCATTTCGCTGGCAATTTTTATAAGGCCACTGACGGCAATTCATTGAGCGCAACATAAAATCCATATATATAAAGCTGGTTTCCCTGCGAAGGTGAAGCAGCAGTAGCAGTGAAAGTCAATTAATCTAATTGCAGGAGGACACTTACGCACACGAGGACATCATCCTACAGCTATAGCTATAGCCAACCAAAAGACGAAAGGTCAGGCGAATCCAATTCGATGCAATTAAATTAAATCTCTAAATGTGAGCTAATGAGGACCACTTGAGGTGTGGTCAAAAGGACCAGGGGGGTTGTGTGTGGGTGCTAATTAAAAGCGCAGTCCAACTGATTGACCAACTGCAGTTCCATCGTTATATATCTCCCTACATATAACCCATGGATATATATCTCAGCCAATCGGTGGCTAATCAAGGGGATTTCATTATCACGGCTCACACTTCAAATCGAGACCAAATTATTTATAGCAAATGCTCAGTGTAATGGCAACCGGAAGGTGGCAACACAGGAAGATGGCAGACGACAGCGCAACTCCTAACAAGCTAACACACACACACTCGCATGACCCCCAGGACGATTTACCGTTGTATGTGTAAACGCGCTTCCCTTTCCGCTTCTGTATTGGTGTGTGTGTGTGCTTAAGGACTTCTCGAATCAAGGCGAATTGTTGCTTTCTATACGGTATACCCTCACTGGCAAGATCCACAACTTCTGAGTCGTTCTTTAAGGCAAAGAGCTTTTACATAGTCATCGCAGCTGAAATAAAATATTTCATATACATCTAGGACATAAAACATAACACCATAAAAGATACATAAAATAAAGATATATTTTGTAATTTGCTAGCGACAAAAGCAATAAACTGCACTTCAATTCATGACAGTTTTATAATAAACTGTTTTTTATTAGCTTTCCAGAATGAAAAAGATGTAAAGACTTTGTGGTTTCAGACTTTGAGATTTATGACTGCTATAGCAAAACTGTGAAATAAATTTGAAAAACAGATAGATAGAAGTTTATAAAGCATTTATTTTACCCAAAACTTTATTTACCTCTTTAAAATTATATTTTGTTGACCTTTTCATAACCCATATTGAAGAGTTCGCAATTAAAACTGGCATCAAAAACCCCATGAAGTGCACTTGGCCATTTAGCAGACCTACTTTCACATGTTTAAACCCAAAAGGAAACATTTTTCAAGGATATGGCCGGGCTTTGGCCAAACAGGATTCGGTTCCAGTAGTTGCTGCTGCAGCAGCCAGTCAAGTTTGGTATTTGCCCATCCTCCGCCCATAGACAAACTCATTACGAAAAATGAGCGTCCTGCGGCGCTCAAACAAAGCAAGGACCAAACCTGTAAACGGCCCCCCGGTCTGCTTTAAGTGTGTGTGTGTGTGTGTGTGTGTGTCTGTTTATGGGGTGTGTGTCCTGTGTGTGTGCCCTGCTTGTTGCTTGTTTATGCCAAAAATTATATACACCGCCCACATATCGATTTTGTTTGATGTTTAGGCAGGACTATATGCCCCGGACCATACCATATAGCTGTGGATATACGGTGTGGATAGTCCTGGCTGAAGGCCCTCGGGCACCCACAAAGCACCAAAAACAAAGGCATACACACACCTCATCATTATTTCCGTTTGTGTACTCGTTTCCGTACCTACCAACATTACCGACGTCGCGTCGCGTATTTTAAATATTTAAAGAGCATAAATGCCATAAACTTTTGGCCAACCTCCCTCAGACATTTTTAGAGGGTGCCGCAGGAAGTGGTATTAGATGGGAGCACAATATTTCAGAGGAAATCGGTATTAGTGGATAATGATACAGAAGGAATTGAACTTCCGTTTCCCGGCTGATTTTTCTCTGGAAATAAATATTTACTGAGCAAATACGAATGTCTAAATTCAGAATTCGTTAACAGATTTTAAAGAGATTGGACTTTAAAAGGTGTTCTAAAATTTGTTAATATAAAAATAAAATAATAATTTAGACAACAACCAAATTTATGGCTTGAGAGCTCAATTAAAGTTCCTTCAGAAAACAAAACAGAATAAAATTAGGATCAACATTTTTGTTTTTAATTATTTTACAGCCTATTACTCTTGAAAATAAACTAATAACCACTTTTCAACCAGTTAAGGGACTTTAATTACACACCCAGTTATGCCCAAAAAGCTTTAAGCCATTCGTTTAACGACTACGATAATTTGGCCAACAGACCTTACACCCTGTTTTGTGGCATTTCGAGAGCTTCCACTTTAAGCCAGTGTTTTTGATACAGTTTTTTTACGAGCTGTTTGCTCGTTTTTTATGCCGAAACAATTGAGTTTGTTTGCAGAGGGAAAATCGGGTTCGCAGTTTCGCTTGACCCGCTTATTGTGATGTTGGCCAGGTCCTGATTGTTGGCCTTTGTGCGTTCGCCGGGAAATTGTATTCGCGGCCAGTTAATTAGCTGCCAGGGATCGTCCCTCTCGCGGGACTTCATCAAGCGACAGCGGCAGGAAAAAAACCGGGGCATATTTTTCAAATTACTTTTGGAAAATGAAAAAAACCGGACAGGGAGATAGCCTACATTGCTCACTTCTACTTTAACAATAACACTCTTAGAAATAATTCACTTTTTTATATATATTTTAACATATTTGATTTAATACAGAATTTTGTCTCTAAATCATTTTTAATTTTATTTACTGATTTTAACGGCAGTCCCCACTTAAATATATCCTTTTTAAATTTATCTTCCCTTTTTGAAAGCCTTCTATTGAACAGCTTCTAAAGTTTCAACAATATTTACAAAACAATTGCATTTTGAATTGAATATAAATATAAATTGATCTCCGAAATGCATCCAAATTGTTTTTCGGTGCACCCATGCAGGACTAGCTTTTGTGTCTGCTCACTTTTATTTCAAACAGCAATTGCATTGTGCCATTCCCAATCCGCTTATGGCTTCTGCCACGCCCCGCCCTGCGGACGACCAACTCGAACGCCCCTGGCGGTAAACAATGCACTCAGCAGCAAACAAGAGCAGCAACACCAGAATGTCTGTCCCTTTCCCTTTTGCCATGGGTAAGTGCTCTGCGTATGATAAAAGCTTGTGTCATATTTTCATTTTTCTACTAGTTCTTCTTCCTTTTTTTTTTTTTGCATTTGTTGTGTGGGAGATTTTCCATCTGAAGAGAAGTTTTCCATCCATGCTGGCTGTGCTCACTTAATGCCAGCACTCGAGGACGCTAACCCGTGCTTACTTATAAAAAGCAGAGTACTTTCATTAGCTTACCGCCAACGGACCTTCCCGCCAAACAAGGTCGACTTCAGATCCAGTTTATTTTTGAAACCCCCAAGTAACACACCTAGTCCACCTGCCAACTCCAACCACCGTCTTAACTTCCTTCTTGGGGTAAAAAGCTTGGCAGAAATCCGCATTGAAGTTGGTCTAAAAACTAGGGGAAGTTTCCCCTGCAAAAAGCTTTCCAAACGGACTTGGCCTTGGCATAGGAATTGACGCAGCATTCACCTTGTGTAATGAACTCAAATAATATTTAAAACTAATTAATTACAACAAACGATAGTTTGACATAGAAGTGCTGCCTTTGTGTTTCTATTAAACTAATTATTTTTCTCTTTATTCATACATATATTAATATATTTTTGCCTGTTCGTTGGATTTTCTTGTTATGCTTTATACAGTAGTTTTTGCCATTAACAATATTTTTGCATTTTCACAAATTTATATTCGCACGTAAATATAAACAGAAAATAGCTCTTCGGATAGTTACAGTTTTATCTAGCTGATCGATTGTGTTTTCTTTTCGGATTCAGATCTTGTCTTTTTTCCTAAACGCTACGAGTATTTGTTTGTCCGCTTTAAGTATAATACTTGGACAGAGCTTCTTCGCTTGCTTTTATCAATTTTTCTGGGGTATCTCATCCTTAAACTTACTCGCTAAACACATTGTATGCCAAAAACAATAGCGTTGCTGTTAACAATTAAAGTCAAAGTGAACCGAAAATGGGGGACTTATCTTAGGTGGTATACTCTTAAATCGTACTAAGGCATGTTATATGTTGGGCTCGAAACGACAACATCAACTATTGTGTAATTGATAATATCGCAAATGGTTTATACAAAGTCAAGTTAGCTCAAATAAATAAAGAGGCAGCAAAGAAGCTAAATTATTGCTAACAGTAACATTAAAGTAACGTAACGTAAACGTAAAGCCAACTGAACAGTTTTCCCGCCCTTGGTGATTGCGGATGGGGGTTTAAGGATGTGGCTTTGTCTGAGGTGACTCCCATCACTCGGCATCCAGCGAGAGGCAAGGCAGTCCGGCTAGTGCCGGATGTGTGGACTGCTGGGCGGAGCGATGCCGCTGCGGCATGGGCTGGCCATTCTCGCGGTACGTCTTTAGCTTCGTCTCCATGGCCTATAAGAAGTACAAAAACGGCAAGGGATTAGGAAAAAGCAGGCTAATCAAAAGCAATCAATGGTAAATTTATGTAGAATAGGAATTGAAATGAATATTTTTGCAACTTTTTTATGGATAGTTTCATTGCAGTAGAATAAAAATCGATTGAAATATCCTCTTAAGCTTTATGATGATATAGTGTACAATAATAATGTAAAAAAATGTTAATGATTTTGTTAAGAACTTTGTGTCTCAAATGTGTAAGCTTTTTTGGAAAGGTTTTACGAACAAATTTTTGTCTTGAACTGTACGTAATCAGCCTACTCATAATTTTGAAAATGTGATTACATAAGGATGTGTGCCATTACAAGATACAAGTGCTCAATAAACAAAAACAAAGAATGCAAAATAAGGTACAAATAAATTTTGTATTTATTAACCAATGCAATTAATAAATGCAAACGGAGGGCAACTAAAATTAGGCTTATATATTGAAGCACATTGTCAGGGCGGGAGACTTGAGTCCGGCGAGTTGCGCATGCGCTCGGCGAAGCGCTTGAATATGTTTGAGCCAGTATTAAGGCTGCCGTAGGAACTGCAATCGCTGACAGGCGTGGACTGGGCGCTACTGGTAGCCACTGAGCTGCTGCTGCCGCCAAAGGCACGGCGAAAGAGACTTGTCTCGCTGGCCGTTGACGGCGGCTGCAGTGTCGCCGGTCGCTCGCAAACGCAGCGAAACTTTTCGCATTCGGGACATAACAGGGCCTTGTCCCACTAAAAACATACGGAAAAACACATAAGCTGGAGGTGGGAGTGTTTGGGTACAGGGATAACAAAAAATTATAGAGAAAACATGGGAGTGTGGGAGATTGGCATGCTGGGGCGAACATAGTTTTTCGGAGGGACTTACGTTTAGTTTTCTTAAAATGTCGGCCACAATGTTGAGCGCCGTTGTGCGGGAGCTGGGGTTCAAGGAATTGCCATTGATTTGGTTGTCGGGATCTGCAAGAGGAAGCACACATACACAGCTGGTTAGTCGAGAGGTTAGTTGGTCAACTACTAGCTACTAGACGCACACAAAACGCAAACAATTTGCCTACAAGAAATGTCGCAAACTCTCTGATCACATTGTGGACTCTTAATTTTAATAATATACAATATAATTACAAATAAAAAGGATCTTAAGCCTGCTAACTTTTTGACAAAAAAGTAAAAAAAAAGAAAAACAAATGATAAACAATTTTAAATGCAAGGCTTGAACGTTTGCCGATTCGATTTGGAAATTTTTAGCACGTGTTTGGTTTTCTTGAGGGAACTGAGTATCTTACTTTTAAGCGAAAGCTGCTGGTTATATTCGTTTCTATTAACTAAACTACCATTGAGGGCGGTCACGCTGACGCTGGTGGCTCTTGTGGCGACGGTATTGTCGTGGTTCGCCAGTTCGCCGTTAGCCACAATACCATTTGGCAGCGAGGCGGACGAGTTCATGGAGCTGTTGGTGTTGCTGGCCGTGGGAATGCTCGTTCCATTTACCACTGGGGTATAGCGTGACTTGACGTTCAGCTCCTGCTTAAGATCTGCAATAAATTAAGAAAATAAAATAAAATTAGGACTACGAAGATGACCAGCAATTACTCACCTCTTGTCTCATCCATCAGCCGCTGCAGCTTTTCCTGCAGCATTCCCTTTTCATCCACTTCCAGCTCTAGGAGGGCGTTTTTTTCGTAGGCCTGATCGAGCATCTTTTCGAAGTTTTCTATGCTTTCGTTTAGTATGCGGTGGGCACGCTCCAGATCGTCGTTCTTCTGCTCCAGCTGCCTCAAATACACCTTCATGGTGTCGCGGTCTTTCTTAACTGCATCCAACTGTTTCTCCATGTTTGACATTTCAATGCCATGCGAGTCTAGCTTGAGCTGAGATTGATATCAAATGTTAATGAGTTTCAGAATGGGATTTAAAAAACAATATTCACACAATCTCTATTCTCTTTGATTATCAATGATATACAAGTGTAAAATTTATAGAAAGTATACCCACCTTGAGGGACTCATTTTCCCGCTCAAACATTGTGAGCTTGGCTGTGAGATCTTTGATTATACTCTGCTTCTGGTCCAGAGTGGCGTCCATTTCGATTTCCATTTCGCGTGACTGCTCCACGAACTCGTCGTACTCCTGTTTAACGTCTGTCCATCTGGTAAATAAAATCAGATGTGGTTAATATAAATAAATAAATAAAATAAATTTAATCTTATATATTTTAGGTACTTACTCTTTGTGGTACTGCTTGGATCGTTCCTTCCAATATCTACACTCATCTTCGACACTGTTAAACATCGGTGGCGACTCCATTTTCAAGTTCTCTTGATTTCTAACTTTTGTTTTCTTGTGTACTAATCGGTGGTCAAACTGGGTTTGAAATTTCGTTCGTTCGAATTGATTAACTTTTATTTCTACTCAATAATAGGTACTACGGTTGGTCTATTTCTGCATGTGTGGCTTCAACTTTTTCCGTGTTGTGTTTTCTAGCTTATCTTATTTTTAATTGCTGCGATTAAAAATGCCAAAACACAGTTGTTCTTCAAGTCGAAATTATGTTTGAATAGTCTATAGAGCGGCGGAAAATGCGAAAAATCAATTAGGAACAGGTGTTTGCCCTGCTTTTGTAATTGTTGTTATTTGTTGTTCTCTTTCGATGCCCTAAAATAGCAGGCGGTTTTGACTATATAAAAAAAGGTAAATAAAATCAAACTAAATAAACGCTGTTTTTGTGACGCAGCAGCAGCGGCAGGAACAACAACAACAGCAACAAAGGGATGATGAGCAACAGCAACAACAGAGCCAAGCTACGACGAAGTTCCCATACAACAACGCGCTGCATGAAAATGAAATCATCATCGATTTTCACTTGAAATTCCATTGGCTATTGCTGCAGTTCTATGTTCCACACCTGTCCACGTGTCCTACTTACACTTTGCACTTAAATTTCCTACGCTTTGTTTGTTTTATTTACATAAAATCAGTGTAAATAGTTATGCTCGTAAAAATTTACCACTACTCCAAAAATGCAATAGCCAACCCTGGTTTTTGTTTCCAGTGTTGGATAATTTCTGCCTTTTTGGCTTTTGACAGCCCTCGTCAACAGTTGTAGTTTGAAATTGTCATTCTATATACAAAGTTTTATTTGTTTTGTACTTTCGTTTACGTAGTTTTCTTATAAATTTCAAATCGGGCTTTTCTAATGCACGTGCTGTAAAAGTTATGGGCTTGTTGGCCGGCTCATCATTGCTAGTATCGTTTGAAATATGAAATTCCGAATCGGAACTATCCTCGATTATCTGCGCAGAGTTTAGTGTTATATCTCGAGAAGAGCTTGGAATATCGACTATTTTGACGGAATTATCGCCAACTATACGCATGGGCAACGCTTGATAATGAAACGACACATTTCGATCGCATTTACGACGTAATTTGTGTTTTCTTCTGTACTCAAAATCACTGGAACTTGTTGATGTGTTACTATCGTCGTTCTGTGTGTTCTCAGTGTCCTGATAATCGTTTATATTGGAATTCTTTAACTGTTTAGACATATTTCGTATTAACTGCGTTGAGATTGTTTTGATTCCAAAATGAGCACTGGTTTACTGTAAACTTTAAACTGGTTCTTTGTAAAAAAATAAACCAAGTGGCAAGTCTCTACCAGAGCTGGTCTCACACCTAACACTACCTGGCCAAACGTTGCCAGAAAGTCTGACACAGTGTGGCCAGATCGCAGTCACGGCAGTGCATTTTCAACAAAAATAAGGTAAATTATAGCACAAATATGGCCAGCAATTGTTAAACAATTAACTAAATTGCAAGATATGCAACCAAGTGCCAGTTGTGTAAGTGCAAGGAGGGAGTCTTCGTGGGCGTTGCACATGCAGCGGCATAAAATTGATTAATTGCGGCGCATGCCGAAAAGGGAAAAAAGGGAGGATGTGTTTCAATAAACGAGAGTGAAAACCGCGACGAACAAGTGACTGCGGCGACAATCGGGAACAAAGAACTGATCAAAAATATGTGCCACAGCAATTAAAATTTTTGGTTTTCCACCACATTTTCCAGTTGAAGATTATAGCGTTGCAGCCGCAGCAACAGCAACCAACAACAAAGGCAGCTTAAAGTGCAACCTAACGGGAGTTGCTCCTACGTATATATATATATAGCCAATCCAAACCGGGGAGATAATCCATTATGGCTGATCCAGAGCGACAGAGCCTGATCAACAAGGACGACGGCAATAACTACAACGCTGTAGAGGAAGGAGCCGATAATCCCGGGAGCAGCTCATCAGTGGCTACCAACGAAGATGGTGCGTATTGTTAGTATAAAGCCGGGCATTCAACCCGCATCCAATCAACCGGACGCACTGGTTGGCATTGGAAACCCAACAAGTGTGCGGGCGCTCTACTTATCCACAGCCGTGATTCCAAGTTGTCTGCTTGTCTCACTTGGCATTTTCACACTTCACCCAACTGAGTCATTGTGGGGGTGAAGCACAAAAAGAAAAACTGATATGACTATGTAGGGGGGTCCAAAACTTATCTAATAATGCTCTAAGTTTATGCTCTTAGTTAGTCAAAGTTAGTTTCTAGATACATTTGAGGTTAGTATAAGCCCAAGTTAATAAATTTTGGCATTTAATACTTGTTTAAAAAAGATAGAAGAATCTCCGTATTATTGTAGTTTCTAAAACAGCTTTGTAAATATGAATGATCTTTCGGTCAATTTTACTAATTTAAAATATAATATTTTATTAAGAAGTGATCTTTCATGGTAAGCTAAAATCAGCCTCTAAGCAGAGACAAAAAATACCACTCCTAGTCTCTTCTTATATGACAGATAAAGAATTCAAAAGCGAATTATCTAGTAAGATATTGTAACGCTTGGACTAGATATCACTTTGATTTTATAATTTAGCTTACAACTTCTCTGATTATTATCTACATGTCATCATTTTTTTTTTTTTTTGTTAATATTATTTACTTTAATTTTGCTTCGATCAATATTTTTCTCTGTTTATGCGATTTTAGTTAACCGATGCCGGTATCGTCGTATTTACAAATTCCCTTTGTTTTTGTTTATGGTAGGACGCCTTAATCAAGGTAAAAAAGCGTTCCCCACAGCTGTTTAATCAACATCGATTTGGCGGTGCTGATAAAGTGGTGGCAGAGCGGGGCAGCCAAGTTTATGAGTCATCGTGTGATTTGCTGCCTTATCGCAGCCCAGGCGAATATGCAGGCACAGAGGGTCTCCGTTTTCATTGTTTACCAAGGAACCTGATCTTCAACTCAGGGAAAGCTCAGCCATATCTTTAATATACACTTTAAGAGTTACAATGGGTTTGAGTCTTAACGACAGATGTTCCCAATACAGTTTTTTTTCGTATAACTAGGCAAAATTTTGCAATGCCAAATAGGTAGATAGGTCTGAAAATAACGCAGTTGATAAAGTAAAAATTAGTGTTTACTCTTCTCTTTAGTTTTCTATTTAAAGAACTGATAACCATTTTTCTGCGTTCTGTGTTTAAGAAACATTGACATTAAAATTACAAATTCGTTACTCAGTCAATGGGTTTTTTCATAAAACTGTAAGATGTCATACAATCTATTTACAGAACAAAAATGCAAACGATATATAACTCAATTACTCAATTACATTTGTCATTTTAAAAATGAATAACATTGAAGACTTGTTTGCTAAAGTAAAACTGAACCTAACCTTTCATGGTTCTTTTTTAAGTAGACGTAAAAAAGTTTATTGTCAGCAAAATGATCCCCAAACTTCATAAGATCTTCATGGAAAGTGTAGGCCAACGAGGCCTTTGTTTGTCTTCATCTCCCGGTTTGTTTATATTTATACATAAACTTCTTGCACAAAGTTCGAACTTGTTTTGCTCGAGAGTCGAGAACCACAACTGCGGTCTAGCTGCACTAGTTTATTGCCAAGACAGGAACACTGCATTCATAGAGCCAAAACATTGACCCATTTGGCTTTATCGCAGCTTCTCCAACCCACACACTATCAGAAAATGCAGTTTTCATTCTCTCTGCGAGGCAATCTCCACCAGATGAGCAGTGTTGTTGAGGGAACACTGCTGGCGAGATGTATTTATTCTACACCAAAGGTTCATACATTGCAGGGCAGAAGGTTAACCTCTTCATCTTCTTGATATTTTTCGTTCTTTAATGGAATTGCAGGCAATGGAGCACCAACAGCAGTGCCATGCATTGGGCCTGATGAACTGCCGCCGCCGTATCATCAGAGCTCTAACACCGGAGGCGTGCCCATGGTCACCTGTCGGGTATGTCAGCAAATGATTGACATCACCACGAAGCGGGAGCAGCACGTGGTCAAGTGCACCCATTGCAATGAGGCTACTGTGAGTCTTACACTTTACTACATACTTTGAGTTAAAACTCACGCACCCTTTCACTATCCACAGCCCATTCGAAATGCTCCCCCGGGCAAGAAGTATGTTCGCTGCCCATGCAACTGTTTGTTAATCTGCAAGAGCTCCTCGCAGCGTATCGCTTGTCCAAGGCCGAATTGCAAGAGGATCATCAACCTGGCCCCAAGTCCCGTCACCCCGCCCGTGCCCACCATGCCGGGCATGTGCCGCGTCACCTGTGGACATTGTTCCGACACGTTTTTGGTAAGCTTTATTTTAATATTTGCCCCTAAAGAATGAACCTTCTAATGGCTGTCATTGCAGTTCAACACGTATCACAACGCCTTGGCCCGGTGTCCACACTGCAGAAAGGTCTCATCGGTGGGCTCTCGGTTTGCCAATAGTCGCGGCGTAATGTTTGCAATTGTGGCATTGGTGTTCCTCATCACAGGCATCGGCGTAACCATTGGCACATACTCGATTGCTTCGGTAAGCAATATTTTGAAGATTAAGTTAACGACTTTCTAAAACTTTTTGTTTTCTTAATTTTGTAGACTCACGGTGGCATGTACTTCCTCTATGTGGCACTGTTTGTGATTGCGGGGTGCATGCTGGCCCGCTCCGCCTACTATTTCCGCCTTAAAGTGAGCGCCATCGATGGGCCAATGTAAAGCTAAGCCACGGGGTCAGCAGTAAAGGAAGTGCATTGTTTTATTTTTATATATATATATTATTCATATATATCATTCCTTTTGATATTAAATTTAACTAAACACAAGCAGCCAATTTGCAGACGGAACATATGAACATTTCTCCAGAAGTCCAGCTAAAAAATTCCCAATTTTGAGCAAAAAACAAAAATAGAAAACCTAGCTAAATTTAATGAAAGAGGGGTCCCCGTTTAAAGTGATTTTGAAAAGCATAATTAGGATGTTAAGGCCGTAACTAACTAAAACACTATACTAAAAGCAAATATTTTGGGAGTCGCAAGAAAAGCTACCATTAAAGTGCTAAAAAGAGAAACGGAGAACTGTAGGCAGTCATTAGTTATTAGATCAGCGACCGATCAATTCACTTGCAACTCATATATAGAATCTTCAGGAGCCATTTTAAAATATTTGTACAGTTTTGTTAAGTGTCCGACTTGTTATCCGTTTGTGCCTGTCCTGCAGTTATTTGGGTATTTATTCTTTACGTATTCGTTGATGCGCTTTGAATTTTTTTTGTTGCTAAGAATTTATTCAATGCACTCTTCTCAGTTCCCGCCAAAAGCAGATGCGAGCGTTTTGTTTTTTGGCGTTAGCAATAATTTAAAGGGTATGCTAATAGTGCTAAATGAAGGTACATACATACGCGCATATATACCATACATACATAATTATAATGAAAATTAAATTAAAACCAACACTTCTTGAACAACAGAGAACAAGCAACGCTCATGCAGAAGAAAACAATTTAGACAGCAACTGCTAAACTGCGAAATTATAAATATATATATGATTAAAAGGAACGGTTTACTTTTGAAATATATATATATATACAACATTTATATTTAGTACATTATAAATTAGCATACATACACTGTAAATAAAAAGAAATAAAACCACATGGCATAACCGATTTTTTTTTCGGCGAATACATATCGAAGCTATAGAAAACGGAGAGTGCCTTGGCATTGACATTGGAAATCGGACATTCGGTTGACATATCCCATTTGATTTTCAGTATTTATATCTTATCCTAGATAGTGAGTTTCACAAAATGTCTTGTTTGGCTCCTTGCTTCACCGTGGGCTCAATAGTCCGATGCAAAACTTGTTTTGGCGATAATATTTCGGGAGAGGTAAAAATATTTTATAAAATTATATGGTAATTAATAGATTTCCTTAGGTTTTGGCCTTTGATCTTGGTGTTAAAATGCTGATAATGAAGTGTCCACCCAGCAAAGGCGGTGGCGACGAACAGACCCTTTGCAACCTGACTATTGTGAATCTTTCACTATGCATAGACATTGAAATTGTCAAGGAGATGCTGCCATTGGAGAATGTTCAGCCCCCTGAACCGATCAATGTCGGGGTGGTAAATTTATTTATATTTATCTTTAAATCCAGTGTTTTTGTAATTACATTTATTATAGCTTCAAGAGAGGTTTCGATTGGCTACGGAAAATCGTACTTTTCATTGTCAAAGCTATCATCCAAATGCCTCGCCCTTTGGTCAAGCCCTGTTCAGACTGATGGTCAGACGTTTCGGTGATCCCGCGGTCAAATGGCATGACCAAGGCGACAAAGTAGCCATTATGATACTACAGCAAGTGATCATAGAAGCCCCGTATTCTGTGTCAAATATCAAATGTAGTGGGTGGGACCCCAAGTTGGCGGTATACATCCAGGGCATCGTTGAGGACTTTAACAAAAACAATAATCAGACGACGCCTGTGCCCATGGCAACAGACTTATAGATAGCTCATTGTTTATCAACAATACAATTCGAAATACATATAGCCCCTATACACCCACGTAGAATACTTCTCTTTATCTGCCAAAAAGCACAATTTTAATTTGTACACAATCGGTTTTATGAACTGCTAAACAAAAATTTTAACCATGGCCGATGATGAAGATAAACCAAAGAAACACACATTGGACACCCTGTTTATGGTGTACGCCAACTATCAGGTATGACTAATCAGTTAATTAAGATTATTATCAGTCATTATACTATGACAGGTTATACCCACGGATATCGAGAACGAGGTATTCGACAGTATACTCCTTTCCCAACTAGATGCCTGGCTTGAGCAGGCGAAGCTCATGCCAAATCCCATTACTCGGACACAAACGGGTCTTATCTATATGAGATACAAGTAAGTAAAACATTTAAACTACATTAATCTTAAAATAACCTTCGATCAAACACTCTAGAAAGTGGCGCTTGGAATATGAAGACTTTCTGGAGGTTCTTAACAATTTAGCCTCTGATAACGACCTACAAATAGATGAAATGAAGCAAACAATGGTCGATGCTGGAATCCCAAGCGGTGCCGATATCACCGTAGTCGTCAAATAGATGTCTTGTCGCATCAATGCAGTTTATTTATTTACATAAAAAAATAGACATACAAGAATTAAAATTTTGATTGTAACTATTACATAAAGATAAACCATTTTGATTAGTTAAATTGTTCACAAAAATTATATAGTATAGTGTAAAAGCATTCAACAAAAAGCCTCTTATCCCAATTGGTTAATTTTAGTTAGAAAACACTTAATTTGACATAGAAGGGTGCTTAGGGTAAACTTTGAGATTGCTGATCAAAACACTGAATACAAATTATATGGGATTACTAATTTGTATTTATCAATAAATTTATTGATATTTGCATATCCTGATAAAGCTTACAAATAGTCGATGCGTGATAAGGTCTGTTCGTTTCGCTTTCATTTCCTGATAACAATAACAACTTTTGTTTGGACAACAGAGTCCGGTCGGATTTAGTTCTAGCACCTGATTCAATGTGTATGGTGGCGGTTCAGAGATTACAATGTAACAAAAATACATGCTTATTCATTTCGTATATCTAATAAATATTGATGATGCGTATTAATGGCTTCTCGAGTGGCTCGTAGCAAATGTAAGGTAATAATGCACTGTTCAGTTTGTACTAGCAAATATCCAGCAGATTTTCCAATGATGCTCACTCTTAGTCATCATCCCTCCAGTGGCTCTATATAGTATAAAATCTATACTGTAGATTGTATAAATTGTTTATGCAGGTTTTTATATATCGTTTATCGCGTATAGCAACCTCGTGCCATACCAAGGCCACTCCAATTTCGCCACATGATTTTGTATTTCCGGATTTGGTCATCCGATAAGATTCTCTTGTTGGCTGAATGAGTGTATCTCCGGGCTGTAATGTCATGGATCTGTGTGTTGCTTTGCTCATAGCATGCATGAATAATATAATGCACAGGTAGATTAAGTAGTTGTGGCACTTAGGATTAGATTAGTATCAATTGCAGGTAATTTAAGAGTAAATTGTTCGCTCCAGCCAATCGTCCAGATTGAAGAACGCCGTGTCCGAGTGGTCCGTGTCCCGTTCGCGGAACATTTCGATGAATGTCCTCACCTTGATGGCGCACATCAAGAAGTCGTCAAATGGTATTTGGCCCTCCCGCGAGCCATAGCGATGGGCCAGGGCGTTCAAGAGACGGTTGTTCAGATGGTAGCCAGCCGAATTGAGCGCTCCGCGCAGATGGAAACCGTCAATACTGCCAGTGCGTCGAGTGTCGTATAGTTTAAAGACAGCCCGCCACTTGGCAATATCGGTAAGCAAAGCCTCGAATTCCTCGAAGCCCAGGCGACCGGAGCGATCCTTGTCCAGCATGGCCACCATCGAACGCACGGCATCCTTAGAGAAGCCATCAGTGCCTACCATAACATCACGCATGGAGTGGTCAAGAATGCGCTTCAACTCCTGCCAGTCAACCTCCTCATCGCTGCCGGCAACACTATCAAACAGACGACGAAGGGCAATGCGCTGCGGATCATCCTCCTCCTTTGGAGTTGGTGGCGGCAAAGCCGGAGCAATGCGATCATCTGTCTCACCAAAGCCTACCTCGTCGTCGTTCTCCTCCATGTTGTTCATCGTCTCCGAGAAGACGCGAATGATAAACTCACCCTCTTCATTCGGATCGAAAGTTGAGGGAACTATCAAGTAGTGACCAGGCGGCAACTTAAACCTAGCGCAAACCTCGCGCGTGTTGATGAAATGCGGCGAGCGAGCCACCGATGCTCGGTACTTGAAGAAGTTCAGACCCTGGGGTTTCACCTGCATGTCCCTATCCGTCAAATGATATATGGCAAATCCTATGGTCAGGCAGTCGATGCCCACATTGCGCTTGCTACGTCGGTTCTTTTGCATAAGGGCCACAATAGCTGTGCACTTGCCATCATCATCCTCGTCATCGGGATCCTCCAACGATATAATATACTGCGGGTTGTGCCAGAAAGTCTCCAGGAAGTTTCGGCAACCTCCGGCCGTTACGCCCGATGTCCACTCACCCTCAAACATAGACATTTCCCACTTGCGGCGAGAGCTCTGCTGCTGATCCTCAGTCAGCGAGTCGGGCGACAAGTTACAGATTTCCACGCGATCAAAGTGGTTGAGGAAGTCCTGGAATGACATCCAGAACTCTCCATCCCGATCAAAATTCAGGCCAATCTCCTCCTTAGTGTGCTCCGGAATGAAGCGCCACTCGGGAGAGCTGTCACTCCATGGACCGCTCCATTCGGCATCATTGCCCCAGGGATTACGCATTCGGATCATGGGCAGCTTTCCCTGGCGATTTGGTGTCGAGATATCCATGAGGCACACCTTGGTTATGGAGTAGGCATGGCCACGAATCAGACCCTGAGGTGTCTCTGCCTCCAGAACATGTGGATCAGGTTCTAGGGAGCAGCCCATCATTGAACCACGTTCGGCGGCCTTCATCATGATGCTGAATAGATTTGGAGGAGCCTCCTTAATGTCATACCACTCGGTGACGCCTCCAGTAAAGTCCTCCATGGCCTCGCAAGTGGTACCGCCTAAATGTAAAAAGAGGAAGTGGTTAATCAAACTTATTTTGAGTTTTCAAAACACAACTTCTTTGATTGCAAAAAGTTGCGGATAAGTTAAAGGAAAACCCTAGTAAAATTCCAGATCTCAACAACAAAATTTCAACCACAGAATGGCCCACATCAGCATAAGTTTGAATGAAGAACCAATGATAAGCATTTTATATTTTTAGAAAGCAACTTGAAAAAATTGTTTGTATACCGTAATGTGTTTTCTACAATTCTTAGGAATGTTGATAATGATTTCGTGTATCTTTTAAACCGATTCTTACCCTTAAGAGCTTCATAGGATCCATGGAGTTTTGCGTATGCCTTCTCCAGCAGGGCGCTCCAGAACTCATTTTTCTCCGTGGAGTGCATATAAATTAGCTCGCCATTATAAGTAGGAAGACGATCATCGATGACCACTTCCACCCATTTGCCATACTGCCAGAACTTGAAATGAAAGATTCCAGCGTAGTTCTCCTGGAAGTCCTGATCCGGCGGGATGACACGGAAGAACAATTTCGAGTCCTGTGTGAGATTGGCCGCTGCAGCTAGGAGCCAGCTGTAAGGGGTTTTTGATAGATTAAAATCTCCTTCTACTTTAAAAAAGTTAGATTGGGTCTTACCAATCGCCCAGTTCTCCTTGCTGGACATCGAATCGTGAGTATCCCTCGACAAAGAACTGCGGATCGTCCACAATATCTCCAGGACGCAGCCATTCGTAATAGCGATCTGGTCGCCGGGAGTACATCAGCGAGGCATTGGTGGCCGGAAAGTCGGGATCCTCGAACATGGTTCCATTAGCCACGCAGCTGTCGCGAAGCGAGGCAAAATCTCCCTTACTGACGCTATTCTGCCGGGCACTGGTGGCCTTTCTACCCATCCAGAACATGTTCTGGTTCTCGGGCACCTTGACGCTGGTAAAGCTCAGCTCGGCAATGCCCACGGAAGGTTCTTCCTCCTGAGTTGGAGCACTAGCCGGCGGTGGAGCAGTGGGATATGGCAGAGCTGGGAATCCTCCACCATGCTGGGGAGCCGGGCTCGTTGGCAATGGTGCATATGGCATTGGCATGCCAGGCAATCCGGGCATTGCTGATGGATATGGGGCTAGCGGAGCAGCCGGATAGGGAAGATTGGGTTGCGGCATTCCAGTTGGGTAGGGCATTCCGGTTGGATAAGGCGCCAAAGGCGCAGAGGGATACGGCAGCGACGATGAATTAGCTGAAGGCAGACTGGGATAAAGACCTGCTCCTGGGTAGGGCGCAGCACTTGGATAGGGTGCTGGTGCAGATGGGGCTCCTGGCACTGGCATTCCCATGCCCATTCCAGGTCCCGGGTACGAGGCATTCTGGGCGTGAGTCGTCTGCTTCACCACATATGGCATTCCGCCCACGGATTCCGATGACGGATAGGGCAGCGAGGGGTAGAGACCCGCTTTGGGCTTGGGGGCTCCTCCTTCATTCCCGCCGCTGACTTCATTCTTGCTGTAGCCCAAGGCCGCCAAATTGACAAGGCCAATGCCACTGGCATGATAATTCTTGGGGTAATTATCAATGCCGTACATTTTCACTGGATTTTCTCAGTGGTATTCCTCTTCCACGCACGGGGTTTTCCTAATTCTACGTACAAATGGCGTTGCAAATCGTGTAAAACTACAGAGACTAGATGTATCCAGATGTTGATTAACTCGCTGCCGTGATAAAACTGCTGACTCGCTGGGAATTGTACGTTTTAAATGGAGAAGAATCCAAATTTAACTTTCTCGGTAAATGATTCATAATCTTTAACCTTTGTGTGGAGTGGTTTTTTTTCGCTTTTTATATGAAAAGGGTTAACATTTAACATTTTAATGTATACAAGTTAATTAATTATAAAATATATATATATTTTTTTTAATAATACTATTATTAAATTAATTTTTTAATTATATGAAATTCTTACTACTATATACTAAACTAAGAAATTTGTTTGCGCTCCTCATTTTAAAAAAAGTTAAAGCGATTACTTATTTCTTGAAACAAATTTTATAAATTTAAAGAAACTTCGGTATTTCAATAACAATTTTTAAATACATACCTAATTTGTATTTAATAATATAAATCGAACCAGAGCACCTGCACCGTATAATGGTTAAACTATGATTGCAGGGCTGCATCATCAAGTAGAGTTGCCAATACACGCAAGGTATTTTTGGTATTTTTTAGCCTTGTCGGCATTCTCAAAAAGAAGAAGAAGAAGTTAAACAGTGCTCTTGTTTTTCGATTGCAAATGCATATTTAGAAAAAAATCTGGAGAACAACCGGCAATTAAGCGATGGAAACACAACCTGAGGTGCCCGAGGTGCCGCTGCGTCCATTTAAATTATAAGTATTCCCCCGTTCCTTCAAATAAACTAAAGTAATTAGTTTTCTCTTTCCATCAGCACGGCGCATCAGGTTGTGAGTCTCACAGGCATCAGTTTCGAGCGGAAGAGCATAATCGTAAGCATAAGTCTTATTAACATGTGATATATGTTAAAACCTCCCTCTTTTAGGGCGTGGTTGAGCTAACCATTGTTCCGAACAGCGAGAACCTTCGCCTCATCCGCCTAAATGCCAAGCAGCTCCAGATCTACAGTGTCGTTCTAAATGATGTCTGCCAGGCGACATTTTTGTACTTCGATCCCTTCAGGGACATTATGCACAAGGATCCTAAAAGCCGCGTATTGGAGGTCTACTCGAAATTCCATCTGGACGCGGCTCAAATCACTGATCCTGATGTAAATAATGGAGAGCTGTTGATAGAGGTTCCGCCTGAGGGGTACTCGATGATCCAGGAGGGGCAAGGTCTTCGTATCCGTATCGAATTCTCCCTGGAGAATCCTAAGGGCGGTGTCCATTTCGTCATACCACCTACATCAACAGAAGACGAAAATCAGATTAACTGCTCACATATGTTCACCAACTGCTATGAGAATTCCACTCGTTTATGGTTTCCTTGTGTGGACAGCTTCGCAGATCCGTGCACCTGGCGGTTGGAGTTCACTGTGGACAAAAACCTGACGGCAGTATCTTGCGGTGAACTTGTGGAAGTTATTATGACGCCCGATCTGCGAAAGAAAACTTTTCACTATTCGGTAACCACTCCCGTATGTGCGCCAAATATTGCTCTGGCTGTCGGTCAGTTCGAGATCTACGTAGACCCGCACATGCACGAGGTTACCCATTTTTGTCTGCCCGGAATGCTGCCTCTGCTTAAGAACACGGTTCGCTACCTGCACGAGGCCTTTGAATTCTTCGAGGAGACTCTATCTACGCGCTATCCATTTTCGTGCTACAAACAGGTGTTTGTAGATGAACTTGATACGGACATAAGTGCCTATGCTACAATGAGCATTGCCTCGGTGAACCTATTGCATTCCATAGCAATCATCGATCAGACCTATGTATCCCGAACCTTTATGTCACGGGCTGTGGCAGAGCAATTCTTTGGGTGCTTCATAACATCACATCATTGGTCGGACACCTGGCTGGCCAAGGGAATTGCCGAGTACCTGTGTGGACTGTATTCGAGAAAGTGTTTCGGCAACAACGAGTACCGCGCTTGGGTGCAATCAGAACTGGCGCGGGTGGTACGCTATGAGGAGCAGTATGGCGGTATTATCCTCGATTGCAGTCAGCCTCCAGCTCCGTTACCTGTTTCAAGTACAAATCCATCGGCTGCTGCCAGCAAACAGCAGGAAATTGTGCACTATTTTCCTATTAAGAGTTTACACACCGTTTCGCCCAAGTATGTGGAGGCGATGAGAAGGAAGGCCCATTTGGTTATTAGAATGCTGGAACATCGCATCGGCCAGGAACTGCTCATTCAGGTGTTCAACAAGCAGTTGGCTTTGGCCACTAATGCGGCAACTACAAAGATTGGTGCTGGACTCTGGTCTCAACTGCTCATCTCGACCAACATTTTTATTAAGGCCATCTTTACGGTAACGGGCAAGGATATGTCCGTTTTCATGGATCAGTGGGTGCGGACTGGAGGTCATGCAAAGTTCTCACTCACCTCTGTGTTTAATCGCAAGCGGAACACCATTGAACTGGAGATCCGCCAGGACTTTGTTAACCAACGAGGAGTTAGGAAGTACAACGGCCCTTTGCTAGTTCAGCTACAGGAGTTGGATGGTACTTTCAAGCACACACTGCAGATTGAGAACACCTTGGTGAAGGCGGATATTACCTGCCACTCAAAGAGCAGGCGTAACAAAAAGAAAAAGATTCCTTTGTGCACAGGCGAGGAGGTGGATATGGATTTAACAGCCATGGAGTAAGTTTTTTATGAAATATGTTGATAAACAATCCACTTAATATCTTTTCTTTTTAGTGACTCACCTGTGCTTTGGATCCGTCTTGACCCGGAGATGATTCTGCTGCGAGACCTGATTATCGAGCAACCCGACTTCCAGTGGCAGTATCAGCTTCGGCATGAGCGCGATGTTACCGCCCAATTCCAGGCCATTCAAGCCCTGCAAAAATACCCAACAAATGCCACAAGGCTGGCTTTGACCGACACTATAGAGAGCGAACGTTGTTTCTACCAAGTGCGCTGCGAGGCGGCGCACAGTCTGACCAAAGTAGCCAACCAGATGGTGGCCTCCTGGAGCGGCCCACCCGCAATGCTAAACATATTCAGGAAGTTTTTTGGATCATTTAGTGCTCCGCACATCATCAAGCTGAACAACTTCTCAAATTTCCAGCTGTACTATCTGCAGAAGGCAATTCCCGTGGCAATGGCGGGTAAGAAAAAAACTATCTAGGAGTTCATGAGTAAGTCATTAAATTATTTTTATTGCAGGATTGCGCACATCCCACGGTATCTGCCCGCCGGAAGTGATGCGTTTCCTCTTCGATCTCTTTAAGTACAATGAAAATTCGCGTAACCATTACACGGATGCCTACTACAGAGCGGCTTTGGTGGAAGCACTAGGCGAAACACTAACACCTGTGGTTTCGGTGGCTATACATGGAACACAAATTACCACGGACAGTCTATCAACAGATGCAAAGTAAGTTTGTAACAGAAAAGTGAAAGGCATATATCAATTTCCGTTTCTCAGACTGGTGTTAGATGAAGTGACTCGCCTTCTTAACATGGAGAAGCACCTCCCTTCGTACAAGTACATGGTGTCCGTGTCCTGCCTAAAGGTTATCCGAAAGCTGCAGAAATTTGGTCACCTGCCCTCACTGCCACACATTTACCGCAGCTATGCGGAGTATGGAATATATTTGGATCTCCGTATTGCAGCTATGGAATGCTTGGTAGACTTTGTAAAAGTAGATGGTCGAAGTGAGGATCTGGAGCATTTGATCACGCTGCTGGAAACCGATCCCGATCCTGCTGCCCGCCATGCGTTGGCTCAATTGTTGATCAACAATACGCCCTTTACTCGCGAATCTCGCAGTCGTCTGGATAAACCCAATCTAGTGGATCGTCTGTGGCTTAGTATCAACACGCTGGCAAATGACACCAAACTGCGTTGCGATATCGTCGATCTGTACTATGCTCTGTACGGAAGCAAGCGTCCGAATTGTTTACAGGCCGGTGAGAACCAGAGTTTCTACAAGGACTTCATGAAAGATAATAGTGGCAGTACTGGCAGTGTTACCGGCAGTTTTAAGAAGACCAGCGATTCTAAGCCACCGCCGCAAACAATGTTGGACGTCTTAGACAATGATCCGCAGGAGCGACATAAGCCTGCTTTGGTCACAATAAAAAGAACAGCCACGGAAGCCTTTGAGGTGGGAGATGAGATTATCAAACTGGAACGAAGCGAGGAGATCACCGTGCTGGATGAGCCAGTCAACGTTCAGGCTTATGACAGTGAGACCAAAGTGAATATCCTGCCGAGAGATGACGATGCACCCGAATCGCATCAGGCTGTTAAGCGCCTTAAAACCGAAATCTATGCCGAGGATGATAACTCTTCTGTAATGCTTGACGTGGGCGACTCCACCAAATATGAGAGCAGCTACGAGGAGGGAAAGCTTAAGTCTGGTGATGGCCTGATGAAGAAGAAAAAGAAAAAGGAAAAGAAGAAACACAAACATAAACACAAGCATAAGCACAACAAGGACAAGGACAAAGATAAGGATAAGGACCGTGAACGCAAGGATAAGGACAAGCGAGATCCGCAGATATCTCGTTTGCAGGCCCGAGAGACTGCCACTCCAGACACGCTTAGCTCAGCGGACAGTAGCAACAGTAACAGCCTTCCGCCCATGAACCTTAACTAAGTGAGGGTTCTAATGGGCGGAAAAAACCGTTATCTTTTTGTGAAGGGGAAAGGTGGCAAAATAAACGGAAAATAAGTTTTAGCCAAGGAGCTGTTGTAATTTCTTGGAAAACTCTAATAGATCACCAAGGTATCTAAAAATGCTTAAAAAGGTTAACTATTTTTGTTAGTTTTTTATATTTTTATTTGTCGGTTTATAATTTAACATTAAGGAAGTGCTGAAACATTTTTACAATACTTACAAACTAGGCAAGGACATTTTAACTAAAACAGGAAGCGGGTTTACTGCACCTTCTCCTTCGCAGGCTCTGCTTCTGGAGCCGCCGCCTTGGGCTCACTACCAGCCACGGCAGTGTCTTGTTCATCACGCGGCCTCCTCTTCTGCAGCGCATGGACATGGGCCAGGGTATGGGGATGGGATTGACCCTCAATGGGTTGCAAATACGTAATACTACCGCCACCGATGCCAGTCGCTGTTTGCTGATGCAGCTCTCCAGCCGACGGAGTAGACAAGATCTTGACCGACGGCTCCGAGGGAGCAGCCAGTGATCTGTGTTGCTGATGAGCAGCCAATTGCCGTGTGGCCAAGCGCATGATATGAGCGTAATCTACAGGCGGGTGATTACGGTACTCCGGATGATCCTTTACGTACTGCTCATACGGAACGGGAACTGGTACAGGGACTGCCTTTACCGGATATCCAGCATCTACGAGAGCTTGGAATTCAGCCTGGGTAAGGGGTTTGCCATTGGGAGGCGGCAGGTTAAGTTGCTTCACTTCATCCAGAGTTCGGAGCTTCTGAATCGGAGCTGTAGTAGGTGTGGGTCGGGATGGGGTAGCAATTCCAGTTCCCTGCGACACATAGATACTAGATTGTGAAGGAGAGGGCGAGGGATATTCAGCATGCAGTGGCAGAGCTGTAGGTGTTACGGCCAGATTTCTCTGGGCATGCTTTATCGGATCCGGCGGACTGGGATAGAAGTTGGATGGTGGTGGCGGAGAAGGCGAGCCCTGACGATCATAGTCTGCATAAAGCAGAGCTTTCGTGGGTGATGCCAATTTATAGTGTTTCGATCGGTGATATTGCTTGGGTATGGGGCTTGGTTTGGGAGCACCTGTGGGTGTAGCCTCCTGGTAGTAATACTGCGACGGCTGCGGCTGATTAGCCTGCTGAGTGGGATAGACCACGGGACCCAATCGCTTGGGTTCCGGGGTTGGATAAATGGGCGTCGGTTGCTGGAAGTTGCTAAACTTAAAGAGTGAAGGAACAAACGGCTGGTTATTGGCATCCAGCAGGGAGTTAGGTGTACTGGCCAGATATGCTTTGGGTTGCCTCAAGGCTGGATGAGAGGTGGGTGCCGGTGGGTGTTGAGGAGGAGGCTGACGTACTGCAACCTGTTCATTGCTGCTGTCCACATAGGCCAAAGATTGTCCTGGTTTATTGGCTGCAAGCAATTTCTCAATTTCGCTTTCAAGAGAGGACTTGGCCAGAGGATGGTTGGGCAGGGTTTTGTAACTGATCTGTGGTTGGTAGTAGGCAATCTGTGGTGGCAATCCGTGGATCAGTTGCTGGCCAGGATGAGGTATGGGCTTATGAAGCTGTACACGTTGAGGTTGCTGCTGCTGAGGCTCTTCGTCATCTTGGAGTTGCTGTGACTGCGGCAGAGGAAGGTACTTGGGACCGCCACGAGGATGAGAGTAAGTGGGAGTGACCAGTTCCTGATCGGCCACAAAACGCTCACGATAGCCACCTAACCCTAGAGAGGGATCCGCTTGCTGCAGCACCTTGTGGGTGGCAGCTGTACTGTGGATGGGCAGTGGCTTAGGTTGAGGTGGCACATGCTGTTGCTGCTGCTGTTGATGATGTTGTTGCTGCTGCTGCTGATGTTGCTGTTGCTGACGAAGTTGCTCGTGGTAGGCCCTAGCCTGGAGCTCCTCCTCCAGAAGTTTCAGGAACTGCTCTTCGGGAATTACTTGATAGGGCTTTGGGAAATTAGGGATTAGGTAGAGGAAAAACGAAATTGCTTCTTATAGATGACCCACCTGCTGATGTTGCTGCTGCTGCTGGGGATTAACCGACTGATGCTGTGGAGCAGGCAAAGGCAATGGGAGTTGATAGGGACCAACTCCCTGATACTGACGCGGACGTGGTTGCTGGGGCTGTGGCTGCGGCTGAATGGACACCGCATAACGCTGCTCCGCCTCCTGTTCCTGCTCCTCCTCGGCCACCGGAGTCGATGTCTTCTTGGGCGTACTGGCCGCACCCTTGCCTTGACCTGCGGCCACCAGGGCCTTGGGCTGATGATGGCGCATTATATCTTGCAGATAGACATAGTGCTGCACCTTCGAGATACGGATGGGAAAAAGTGAGTGGGGGCGAATAATTATGGTGGGTGTGTGAACTACCAACATTCAGCCGGCGGCCAATGTCAGCAGCCGTTTAAAATGGAGCCACATGACCAACACCATCACCATTATTTAAAGGAAAAAACACAACAAAACTTAGCAAAAACCACAGAGGCAACAACTGGTTGCAGGTGCTTCAAAGCAGAAAACGCTGTGAGAATGGCGTGGCATCTAAAAAATGAGTTTATATAACACTTGTGGCAAACTTTGGCAACGCCAACACCAACAACAATGTCTTTGGCTCTTCGATGTTGCAACATAAACAACAAACATTACACTGTGCAACAAGGCTTCGCCTTAAAAGGAACCGTCTGTGGGAGGCCTTATAAAGAGATCAATGGAGAGAGCGAAACTTAAGGAACTTATAAAACTTAATTTATTAATACTAAAACTTCGGTTTTTTAAATATTCTATATTCTATATTCTACTTTTTGGTATTCGAATTCAATACTATTCTACAAAAAATATATTGGAAAAATCAAAACATATGACATAGAAACCCTTCAATTCTACCGAAACCCTGCTGACTAGTGTTGCATCAGCATCGGTGGTTCACATTATTATGGCAAATAAAGCCGCCGGCGAGTCAAGGCGCCATCAAGCGACACAAAGCTGACAGACCAAAAGTGGGGTGATTATAACATTATGTCAACTTTCTTCCCACGACAAGCGCCATTGTTTTTCCACGGTGTTCCGATGTCTTGCATTATTTCGAGACCAAATGTTGGTGGAACCAGAGAGGGGGTAAGAAAATGAAGAAGCCATTGGCGAATACGAATGGTGGAAATTCGAGTTGAATTGGAAGGTGGAAATTGTTGTGTTGACGCGTAATAAGACAAATAATAATTGTGCAATTATGCATTTGTTGCTGTCGCCGCCGCCGTCGCCGTTGCTGTCATGTCGTGACTTAGTTTTGCCAATTGCATTTATAATAAAAAAATATTATTATTATAAACTTTTTGCCGGCTCTATTAATTTCTATACATTTTGCAACATAAACATTGTCTTTGGCTAATTGCAATTGCCATTGTCTGTGCCTATTTGCAATTTGTTCCGAAGATATAAAGCCGTCAAGCAATTTGAGAGAGATATTGGTCAAGGTTTCTTGGCCTCGGCGAAAGGGAGAATTTGACAAAATTCGTCTGGGATTTGGGATTGGGCCTTTTGGCTTTTGCCTTTTATGTCTGTTGGACGCCGAGATGTTTACATCCGGCATTTTGCAAAGAATCGTGTGGCTGCCGCCGATGCCAAGTCACGATCCCCAGGTCGTCCGATGTCCAATGTCCGATGTCTGATGGCCGCGGGGCCAAGTCAAAACCTTAGACAACACAGCCGCTATGTTGATGAAACGCCCCCTGATTGGCACAAAACAAACAGACACTGCAATCCCTCAAAGGCAAAGGTAATCTGTCAGTTGGCCACTCGATCAATAGATCACCCACACCCTGTGAGGCAAACAGGGATTTGGATGGAGTTTAATGGGTCAACTTCGAAAAAAGTTCTTAAATGCTTTCTTAGTCCAGGTAACCTTTAGGTAATATTTTAAGATTTCATCATCTATATATCTTCATAAACTTTAAAATTGCTTTGGGCTGTTACTAAGAGTAACCTTATAAATATCTCTTGGACTCACCTCCTGGCTCTGCTCGAGAAGTTGCGCTGCATGAGGTCGGGAATTGCCAGCCGCAAAGTTCCTCAACTGCGGTTCCTGATGTGATTCGTGTTGCTGGTGTTGATGCGGGGCAATGGGACGGATGATGAACTGATTTGGCTTGGCTCCATAGATAGTCTCCTGTCCATCTTCGGGATCATCACTGCCAGATGGCGATGCCTCCGAACTACGATGGTTGGGGTACAGAGACGTCTCCTTGGAGCTCACCTGTCGCTTGTCTTTGGTCGCCTCCGTTTCCAGCGGTGTGGAGGCGGAGCTCTTGCTGTCTTCCGCCGCTCGAATGCTGCTGCTGTCTTTACTGCTCTTGGCCTCCGCATCCACGGCCTGGGCGCAGACGAGGCCTGTGTAGGAGGATAGGTGCAGGTGTCAGAAATAACAGTGTTTAAGATTTAAGATAATGGGAAATAATGCAGTAATCGTGCACATTAAGATTTAGTTTAATGTTTAAAATTTTAAAGAGGGTAATAAATGTTGTTACCATTTTTTTAAATGAGTATTTTAGTAGTTGTTTTTTAAAATGTTCACTATTTTAATTCAGTAGCTGTATATTTTAGTTTAATCATCAGCAAAGATAGTAAACTATACATTTACATTTATATACATTTTAAAATCTATTAATTTCTAAATAAATTTAAACTGTAGGATGTTCATAGGGTAAAGAGGATATTAAAATTCTCGTTTAATACTATTATTATTCCAAACTTTTTACACATACTCTTAGAAAATAATACAATAATTGTTGTTACAAACTTTACGGAATGGCGATGTCCTGATTAATATAAAATATTTGATGTAAGCCAAATGATGAATAAAATGAATTTAAAGCACATTTTTACGTTTCCTTTCTTTTTAAGGACCAACAAATTATCAAAAACTTACAAAAAAAAAACTAACAATCTCCAACACTTTTTTTATTGCAAATCCCGATGTCTACTCACCCAGCACGAGTGTCAGGACCAAGATTTGGATTCTCATTGTGTAGCGGCGACAAGGCACCAGCAGACTAGTAAGAGTAATTGAATATCTGAATCTGTGCCTCACCGTTCGTTACTTTCACAGTCACTTGGGTTATTTGTTTCCCAGTCGTTTTTATTTTTGTTTTATTTTTCTCGTTTTCCTTGTCAGGCGGTTGGGATTACGATGGCCGCATCTGCTGCATCTGCATCGAGCATTGCCGGCTGCAACAAACTAAACCAAAGAAGCACACAACACGATGCGATTATTACTGCCGTTATGCAATTGAAGATTCGACACAATCTGAAACCGAATTTGCGAATTGTGAATTGCGAAATGCAAAACCGAAACTAAATCAAACTCTGAGTGGGCAACTCAGCTTGGAGTTCGTATCCCGTATTCCTTGATTTGTCTTTGGCGCGAAATTCGTAACGCTTCAAATTGGTTATGAGATGAACTGATTGCTTTACCGTCTTCTGCTTTCCTGATTTTGTACTCTTTTTTTTTTTTGGATTTTTAGCCAGGAGCTAAAGCTCCGTTTCGGATGTGAATTTTTTTTTAGGATCGAATTTATTAGATCGCGCGCGCTGCTGCACGTTCAGCCAACGAATCTTTGGTTTAATGCGGCCAACACTTGTATTTATAAATCCCGTGGCCAAAACAGACGAGTCTCGGCCGAGAGCCGAGCTTCGATCCCCGAGTTCCGAGCTTAAGCCATAGCCACTATAGCCACTAAAAGACGACCTTTGCGGCTCGTCGTGCCAGCCAGGCACCAACACAAAGAGAAAGGTCTGTCTGCGACCGCTTCTCCGCCTCGATTCTTCAGCTCTACAGAGGGAAAAAGAGATTCATTTGGATCTAATAAGATGAGGTCAAAATATCACTTATTTTCTGTACACAATTATTAAAAATTCTAGCTATTTTTGGATTTTTTAGACCCGTTTAATATATGTGTACAGATCCGAAGATATTTATTTCATTTTCTTACTAAAAGTTCTTAAAATTGCATTTTTAAAGTTAATATTAAAGTATTGTATGCCTATAAAAGTTATATAATAGAAATTGCATCAAAAACAGAATTTGTAAATTCTTACAGAATAAAATACCTAAACCTAATTTTCATCTTTGAAATGGTAACGCAATCACTTTTTAGGCCAAGATCTGTAGCTTTATGTTTATGTAAAATATTAAATTACATAGCCCAAAAAATAAAATTAATATTTTCTAGCTTTCATATTTGTCAAGGTTATTTTGGTTAAAGAAAAATACTAGGTAATCTTAATTTGAATGAAAACTCCCAAAATCCCAAAACAAAAACGAAGTTTTTTCTACGTGAACCCATGTTCGTTTCCAGGGGGCCAATTGAACGTTGACGGCCCTGTCGGTGGCTAACCGCTAGTTAAGTTAAGGCTAATGGTACGGCCCGGGCATTTGCCTGCCGCCTGGAAGCGCCCCGAAAATGCTAACGTGACACTAAATTGGCCGTCCGCCCTCACCCAAAACGGAGACGGGAAAACACGGAGTTGGCTCAGGGAGAGGGATATCTGGCTGCCGGCCATGGCTATTTGGGCTGGTCGAGGCTAAAGGGCACTTTTGTTTTGGTTTTTCTCTCTCTGTTGTTATTTTTATTTTTTTGGGGAGGAGGTAGGTTTAAACCTTTTTTGTATCTTTGCAAATTGGGCACATTACTTTTAACAAGCGTTTTCGATTCGGATGCGGGCCTCTCCATTTGCGTTTCCATTTTCATTTGCATTAGCAATGCATATTTAATATGCCCAAGCCCAGTACGAGTACTCACACCAGCTAGCTAGCTAACTAAAAAAGAAAAACTCCACCCCTGCTAGCAAGCTGGCTGCTTTAGTCTTTCGTTTGACATTTGCAATTGCCTAGGCACAGTGGGTTCAATATGTGTTCTTGGTGAAATGTTCATATGAAATGATTTATATTTGTGATGTAAAAATAGGAAGTGGACGGAAGTGAACCAATTTAAATAGTATTACAATTATAGTATAACCATTACATTATAAGCCTTTAGAATTTGTTAAGTTTAATTAATAAAAAGCCCATAGGTCTGCTAGATCCTAACTTTGAAATATTGATAAGTCATTTTATTCGCTTTTAATCGATGTCCTAAATTTGTTTTAGGTGTGTTCTATTCTAATAATAAAATCACTTTAAAATATTTTATAAAATAAATTTCATTCATAAAAATAACAATTCAGTTCTTAACCACTAAAGAACTCCGAAAACTCTGAATTCCGAATTACCATAAACTTTGCCCAACTGTGCCCTGTGCCTTCTGTTTTGTCGGAGGATTGGAAATTAACATTTCAGCGCATGCGTGGGCAGCTACAGTTAGGAGTTAGCGTTAACCCCTGCTGGCAGCATCACTTATTGCGAACTCCGGCTGACGGACGGAGTCAAGTCGGTGGCCAATTTGGGCAATTGCAATTGCCGTGCTGGTTAATTGAGCCCGCTTACCTAATGCTAATGCCAGGCTAAGTCCGACGATTTTTGGTCTACGATTTTCGGGGCTTTGCGTTGGTGGTGTCAAAGTTAACACGGTAGCTGTGAAATTTGGCGCTGGGGAAATCCGTGGAAATTGCCGACTGATGCAAGCTGCCATTTCCTCATCCTTAGCAAATTGATTAGGACAGTTTGGCGGCAAAACTAACCAAATAAATAAGTTTATAATTAAGTGGAAGATTTGCGGCAGCAGCTTTTGTTTTTCTCCTTGTTTTTTTTTTTTGCGCAACTCTTGATCGGACTTACTTATTATAAATTCTCCTACAGCTATGTTGTTGCTATTTTGTTCACATTGTCATTTAGTTGTCTGCGTGTTGCTTGTGAAATTGTTGCATTGCATGCAGCAGCAGCAGCAGCAGCAGTAGTAGCAACAACAACAACAACTGCAGCAGCAACATCAGCCGACGACGACGATGCGATCTACAGTGGCAACATCTTCTTTTCTTTAACTACTATTTATTATTGTATTAGTTTCTATGCTATGGATGGATATTTTGTTTTTGTTGCTTTGCTTTTAATTTCAAGTGCTTTTTGCTGGTTTTTTTCTTGAATTTTTTTGTGGTGCAGCAACAACCAGAAATGCAACAGTTTCGACTCCACTTAAATCAATGATGATCATGACGGCGATGACGATGATGATGATGATGATGCTGTAGCTGGCAGTTCACATTTTGGCATTTGCATTCAGCAATTCACATTCGCTGTGGATTTGATATTTTTCTTGCAGCCAAGCGACAGTTTTATGCTCCAAATTTTATGTGTATCAATTTATCAGACGAAGACCGGAGTCAACCTTAACATTTAGTATATGCTTTTTGATATACTCGGACTGAAAACATTTGCCGAGATCTTAATTGGCAACTTCGTGGATGTATTTTGACGTTTTTCTACTATTTTTCTTATTTCCTTTTTGCTTGCTTACCAACGGATTGTTAATGAAAAGTGGTTTTACAATGAAATTGCACAATCACTATTGTGGCCAGCAATGACCTGCGAAGATACCATAACACGTCGAAAGGAAAATGTGTATCGCCAAGTTGTTGCCACGAAGAGTTAGCCCCCATATGACAGGGTAAATGTTAATAGCAGTACTACGAATAAATAATGTGTAATTTAGCAACGGCAAGTGACAATTAAAATGCCATTCGGCGAACTACTGTTATGCAGTGGACTAACTCACTGACAAATGCCTCAAATGCTTCCCCAACTGGTTAACATTTTCGGTCACTCGGAACCGAGATGGCATTGCCAATAATATATGTACAAACCTAATGGCAGTTGGTCAATAATATGCGGCTAATTGGCCGGGGTGTTCTTGGTATGTTAAAACTGTTGCAAGAAAATAGTAAAGAGTGAGTGGGTAGATCGTGATCTTCAATGATGATGTAAAGGCAATAGATCCAAATGGTAGACCAGAAATACAACAACATCTATGTCCTTCAATGGGTTATAAGAATAATAAAGACAGTAGCTATAACTTTTATTACGTGCTCATGATGTATATTATATCACCCAGTTAAGATTTCCCATATAAAAATATAGATTACAACTTTTCTAATTAATAATAAGTTTAATTTATGCGCTACAAAAATAATTGATTTAATAAAATCCTATTACAATTATATTATCTGTAAGCAACAACAAATTAATAAGCTCGTAAAGTTAACAACAACTTAATAAGCTTTTCTTGTGGGAAAAAAAAGAATAGCCATTTTTGGGTAAAACATAAATTGAACAACCATTGAATTTCCTTAGCCCCGGTAATAACTCCATAATCTGAACTGTGCTCGGGCCCAACTTGGTGCATAAACAACCTCCAATCTCCAGCTGAGTTAGCCTATCGCCATCTGACTAGACCATATCCAAGATATCCATCTGCAGCGCTCAATTATGTTAACAAAACAGCAAACCGACTATAAAACGTCACCGGAGACAATTTATGAATCATAAAACCAAGTCGGCCGGGCTAAGAGCGAAAAAGTGCATTCTAATTCATTTAAATACAATTAAAATGATCCAAACGGTATGGAGAATGCTTAAGGTATTACTCAAGCGAAGGCCTCACATTTCGTGATCCAAACGGGCGACAATCCGTGTCCGTCTTTCGCCCCCAAAGTCCGGGATTGGACGCCCAACTCCAATGAAGCGTGGCTGCAACACAGAAAGAAAACTAAATCAAAATCAAAGTAAAGTAGTAAAGTTTTATAATAATTTCTGTAATTAGTAATAAAAAATGGTTATTAATATTTGATTATAAATTTGTAAAAGTTTAATATAAAACTTCAAGGAATCAATTTACGTTTCATTTTTTATGTCCTCAATTCTTAAGATATTGAAACCAAGATATAAGATAGATTAAAAATCTCATATTAAGTTGTAAAATAGTAAAGTAATTATGTTATGATTAGCATTAAACGTACTACTTTATGAAAAAATGAGCATATAAATTTAAGCTGTAAAACCAATTTAATTAACTAAGCATATTAAATGTTACATATACACATAAATTTTAATTTACCAAAAGCAATTTGTTTACAAATTTAGATTATTAAATATTTTTATAGAAAAATTTAATACTACAGCTTATGTAAAAATTAAAAAAATATATATACAAAAATATTCATTTGGGAAGGCTTTCAAAATGTCCTTTTTTCTACAAAAAAAAAAACTTTATAAAATTTAAATAATCCTTAAGAAATCCTTAAAACTACCATCACCTACAATCGAATCGATCATCTCCAGATTTATTTAGATTTCTTCCAATGCACATGCACGACCACCAAAGTAATTTGCTAATGAGCCCAGGAAAGGAGCAGCCATCCGTGGCTTTACATGCTGGAGTTCGGATGGGGGAAAACGGAATCTTTGGCTTGGTTTTTCTTTTTGTTTTTTTGGCTGACTTTTGACTTGCATTGTTATATGATTTGCGAGGCCTTTTCCTGGTTTTTTAATTTCGGATTGCGGCCACAAGTGTTTTGTATAATCGAGGCAAATACCTGGGCAGCGTTTAATGACGGGCCTAAGCACTCCGTGTTGATTTTCTCCGTCATTTGGACCAAAATATATGGACTGTGGATCGGGCTAAGTCCATGCATCTGCGATAATGCCCACTGCCCCGCTGTGATGGCAGTGCAATAATTTAATGCCTTCCATTCACGCCAGCCCAGAGATCCGATAATGAGTCGGGGGGGCCGGCCGGGACAATTGATATATAGCATAATGGGGCATCTACCAAGTGGCCGACCTTGCTGTGTGTTATTTATAGAGTATCTATCTGGATGATGGTTGCCAACGGTGAAAAGAAAGAAAAGATTATTACGCACTAATCAGATGGTTAGGTTATTGTTTATTATTTATACTTCTTCTTCTTTTTATCTTTTCACTACATACCGATTGCACCATAAATCGCTGACTTTAATGGACGAAATCGGGAAAGCGTTGCAGTCATCAGCAAAAATACAAAGTAGCCAACGAACAATGACAGAGCCCCAAATGAATGAATGAATGAATATGTTGAAAAAAATATATATATCCATAAAATAGTTAAAAAACTAAGAAGAAACAAGATTTTCACACTACTAGTCGCAGGCAGGCAACCAGGCGTGTAAACTCGTCGGCATTAGCTAATGCTAAGAGAGACCCCTGCCTTAAGACCCTCGATCCCCGATCTCCACGACTCCAACTCCGACTGCGACTCCCCCTGACACACCCGGATAACTTCATTTACATTTTGGGCGTGAGAAGAATGGCGGGTGCAGAAACACACAGAAGATCTGCCTCATCGGTTTGGCTTAATTAGATTATAACTACTAGTGTTTGGTATGTGGGGTATCTGCTCCCAGATTTGAATTGCGTGCCAAAGATGGTTAGTATAAGGGGGGACGAGATTGCATAATGAGGGCGAGGCGGAAAACCATGCCCGTCATCCATAAAGCGCACTCGCCATAAAGTGCATTTGCCTACTGTCCCAATTAGCTGCCTGGCCATGGTTAACTTCGGCCACAAGCGAAGCAATTAACTTGTCTCGTAAGCGCCTGTGGTTTTCAAAGAGAACGCTGTGCGAAATGTTCACACATCTCAAGGAACTATCGGGGGTTTCGGAAAACTCTTAGAAATATTGTTGGGTTGAGCTCTGTGAAAACCACTTAAGATAATACCAATGTGAATCTCTTAGTGTTAGAGTTAAATCGAAATTAAATTAAATGTACATTTTCCAAATTAAAAACTCGCTTAACTTTAATAATACACAATAATTTTAAAAGTAGCTTGTTTTGTTTTTATAAACACTAAAGATAGAATTACCCTCTTAAAGCCTCTCCTTAAATAACAGCTTTCTTTTCATATCCTGTAAAACCACATCTAAACCTTGGTCTGATTTCTTACACCAATAGATAATTTTACGACAAAATTTATTTGAGAAAACTAAACTCCTAAATGATTGCCTTTTGGTTTATTTTAATGTGCAAATTAAAAAACAACAGGAGAGTCGCAAAACTAACCCAATAAAATAATGAGCTCTTGGTTCGAAGATTTTTTACAATACTTATTACAAAATTATACGATAATTATAAGCTTGTTTCCTCATAACAAAAGCACTTAAACAAAACATAGTTGCTAAAAATAAGTTTTTTATAAATTAAGCCTATATCAGATGCAGCTTAAAAGACAACAAAATCAAACGGTTAATGTTAATGTTGACAATGTTGTAACTTTTGGGTTGCTAACTTTTTATAAAATCCTAAGACAATGACAGATCGGAGATTACAAATGCCCACAATCAAATCATTACCAACATTTTTCTCTAATCTCAACGCTTTTGTAAACGTATGCAAATTCCTGGCCTTTGAGTGCCAAGGTTTTTTACAAGAAAAAAACACCAGCAATAATCCCTTGGGGAATGAATTCAACAAAAACAAACACATCATATTGTTAACGATGTGAAAACATGTACAACAAAGCATTTGGCCAAAAAGCGGCAATTAGCCACGCACCCGCACAGTGAGATGGCCCTGGGCCATGGCTGTGGATCCACAAAGATCTAAAGACATCCAGTGGCCATAGTAAACCAACTGACATTTCAATACGATCGTCGAACGATTCCATTTAACACAATTTATGAGTGGCGATTCGGCTTCTGATTCTTGGGTTCCACGGATACCATGTCCGAGTGCCAGTGACTGGCATTAAGCGATCTGTGGGTCCCCCCGCTGATGATGATAACTGGATTCGCCGAGTCCCAGCGGCAAGCTCACCACCTTGGCATTTAAATCGTAGCATGTGCAAAAAGTGGCCGAGCAACAGGAAGATGGCAGCACTCGCAGCTCACAAAAAATATATAGCTTACACTTTAAGATTATATAAAAAAGTTGCTGAAAATTGGTCACAAAATATCAAGAAAATTGCTCTCATAAGCCTTTAGCAAATATATTTTTTTTTAGCTTTTTAAAGTCATTTCTTGGTCATTCAATTATGTGTCACTTTCATCTTCAATAAATTACAGGAACCAAAGATTATTTTTAAATGTAAGCTAAAGAAAACTTGAGGCTGTCTTAAAATATTCTATTTAATTTAAAATAATAAATATCAATAAATGGTTAGTTAACTAGCTAAAATGCAAATCAAAAGATATAAGGAAGGATCTGTTATATTGCAGAAGTTTATAGAATTTTCAATTGACCAAAATTGACCATTAAATTATTTTCACTGCACTGACACCGTTGAAATTTCTTAATAGAAGCACCAAAACCACAAAAACAAATAAAAAACGTAACTAAAAAGCAGTCACAGCATAGAGTTGGAATCGCAAATTAAATGTTAATAGTAATACCTGGCCACAATGGAGCGGCGGCGCTTGAGACAAAAACCGGATTTGTGGCAGCCACCGACAGAACAATGTGCGCATAAATCTAGCGTCAAAACATGAATGCAATTTAAGCAAACTGAATGAGCGATTGCCAGGGATTAACCATCCACATGTTGGAGGGGGAACTTGGTGAACAAAAACCCGAAAACCTGCTGGCGCAGTGATCAAATCAAAACTTGACATTGTCTGACAGAGCCCCACTTAAAGTGGCGTAGAAAGGAAGCTGGAACGGATCGGATCGGATTGTATCGGCGGAAGGTGAGAAAGGCCTACCGACGATGATATTACCTGGCGAGCAACAACAACACGCATATCAAGTGACAGATTGCATAACAGCCGAATACGAATGCGAAGACGCCACAACATCCATCCTATGTGGCGTGTGGTGAAAGTTAATTTGCCAGAAATATGTAGAAAAATTATGAAATGTATTTTCCTTTCGGTTGCCACTGCATCGGCATTGTTTTGTGGCAACAACATCAACCGCCGACCGCCAAATGGCAAGTATCAAGCGGAAACAGAAACAAGCAAACGGTGCCACATGTAGCCACTTGTGCCGCCCAATAGGTTAATAAATTCATTTCGAATGGAAGCAGGAAGAGCTGACAGCATCACGCTAAGTGATACAAACAGATAAGCCGGGTTATTCTCTTTGACCCCTCTATATGGAGTTCCTTTGGGTTATCAAAAATGTGTTACAAAACCCGTCTTAATAAGGTTTAAAAATTTTCAAGGTTTTAACGAACTTTAGCTAACTCTAAAATCAAAAATAAGGATATTAACAACACTGTTTCCTGAAATATTTATAAAATAGTGTCCTATACTCCATATCAGTGAAAGTAAAAACTGGTTCACTTCCCATAATACATCTCCATTTGCTTGAATTGTTTTCTTATCCCCAACCTTATGATATCAAGGCCTGTCTGCGCCTTTTAATCTCATTTAGCATGCGCCAATTCATGCTTGTGAATATTACAGCTGACAATTACATGCGAGCACCTTGAAGGGGCCAACAAATTGGCGACCAACAGGCATTTCTCTGCCATTGTTTGGGCCAGGTGGCCAAAGCAGAGCCTTGTCCATTTTAGAAAGGCCGAACTCAAAGCGCTCTGGTGTCATGGCGAAAGGTACAAGAAAGGTACTCTCAAACTCCACATGCACATTCGCCAACAACGATACGACAAACAGGGTACTACAGCAGGTTGGTTTAGTTAGGTCTAGACATTTATTAAGCTTGCTGGACTCGGTGGCCTGATGACAGAGCAGCTCGGGTTGGGCATTGGTGTGCACTTTTTTTTTTTTGAGCACATTATAGTTATGTTATATATTTGAAATATGTTTGTAGCAACCCATTCACTGGGTTTGGTTGTTGCCATTACTAATATATTAGTGCTGCTTGAATGTCGCTCACTTGGAGTCGGATGCCGCGTTGTTCGTGGACTTGGTGGCAGCTTTTATGGCGGCCGCCGAAGTACGCTTCACACTGACCAAGACATTGCGCTTCGTTGAAGCTGGACCAGGTTTGGCGGCTTTGCCAGCTGGCTTAGGCGTTGTCTTTTTGACCGACTGCTTAGCGGTGCTCTTGGCCGTTGGTGTGGCTGGCGAGGAAGCGGGCTTTTTCTCCGGCGATTTTGCCGCCGGCTCGTTGTCTGTATTTTCTCCCTCATCGCCATCGCCGTTCGCTTCCTCCTTGGCATCTTTAAGCTTGTTTTTCTCACTGTAAGTTGATACTCATTACATAACATACATATAATGGTTAATTCACTAAGTTTCACATACCTTGCAATGTCAATGTTAAGCACGGACTCGTCCTCATCCTCCTCATCTTCTTCCTGTCCCAGAGGTTCAACTTCCGCCAGCAGGTCGCCCAGATCCTTGTCGACCTCCTCCCATAACTTTTCGTCATGGGTTTCATCACCATCTTCTCCATCTCGATCTCCGAAGTTTTCATCGTCATCTTCGTTCGACTTGTCATCGATGTCCTCATCACCTTCCGCATCATCATCATCGGCCTTCTTGTCCTTATCATTGTCATCGTCATCAGCCTCTGTCTTATTCTTCTTCTCAGTTTCCTCCTTTTTGCGCAGGAAAGCCTTAACGTGGGAATGCTGCAAGCAATGCTTCTTAGTGTAGTCCTCTAGTGAAACGTCATCAGTCTTGGCAGAATAGTGGTTGCATAATCCGCAGTAGAAAGCCTCGATAGTCTTCACATTGTCGGGACCAATTAGAGCGCGCTTACGCGTCTCTTCATCCTCGCTTTTTAATGCGGCTTCTGCCTCGGTCACCATGGCATCCACATCAGCATCAATCATATCTACATCGATCTCGCCTACGGAGTCCACGGTGTGAAATTTATTCAAATCAATCTCGCGCTCATCCACGCTATCATCAGATCCAGACTCATCGTTGCGGGCCTTGTTCTGCAAACAAAAATTATAAAGATTAAGGAGTAATGGAGTATGCTTTATCGGTGCAAGTAATAACAACTCACCCTAATGTGATCGAGGGAGCAACGATGATTCTCGTAAAGCATGGCATTCTTAAAGGCCAAATGGCAAGAGCCACAATACGGCATCAAGAACTTCTTAATGGTCTTGTGATGCTCGGAAGCCTGGTGAAGATTCTTGGGCTGGCGATAGGCCAAACGGCAGAGTCGGCAATAGCGGGATTCGTGCTCTTCCTTGCTGTTCTCCTCGATCTCACGTTGCGTGGTGCGTTGGCGGGTACGCATCCGCTGCAGATCAGCTCGCTGATTTAAAGCCACCTGGCGCATGGAGTTCTTGTGAGAGCGAGAGTTCAGATGGTAGTTGTACTCCTGCGGATCAAGAAGAATATGTGACTATGCAGAAAAAATAGAGGATAGGATCGTCCTACCTTAAAAGTCACACACTTGATGCGGCAGTGGACGCAAATGAGCTTGATGAAGCTGCGCTTGCGATTGTTGTGGTCGTCATCCCGATGACGAGAGCTACGACGATCGTCGTCCGAGTCGTCCTTGTCCTTACGCGACGATCGCTCCTTCTTGCTAGACTTCTTCGACTTGGAGTCCTTCGAGTCATCCTTGTCCTTTTTCTTACCTGACTTCTCTGCCGACGACTTGGCCTTTTCGTCCGACTTGTCACCATCGCCGGTCTCATCTTCGCCCTTTGCCTTGACATCGTCGTCATCGGAGGCGTCATCGGCCTTGGCGCTTTTGGACTCATTCAGGTCCTTATCATCATCGTCATCGCCGTCACCGTGCTCATCGTCGTCTTCGTGGCCATCGGCGTCGCTCTTGTCATCGTTGCCCGACTTGCTGCTGCGCTTTTTACCAGACGACGACTTCTTGCTCTTGTCGTCCTTCTCATCATCGTCATCATCGTCATGATCATCATCAGAGTCAGAGTTATCCCCTCCATCTCCGTCCTTGTCCTTGCTTTTCTTCTTCTTGCTTTTCTCAGCATCATCGCCGTCCTTGTCTTCATTGCCGCTGGAATCGCCGCTGGAATTCCCGCCCTGGCGTTGTCGTCGCAACGAGCTACATTTGGGTGGAATGAATTCGAATGTGAAGTCATGTGGCAGGATGGTTTTTTTTTTGTTTGTTTGGTGGAAGGCAAGTTCAAATTTTTGTGTTTTTTTTCTATTACATAAGAAGAAGCTGGGTAAACTAACAAAGTACGTTCTTGTCATAGAGTGTCGAGTGTTTTTTTTTATATATCAGGACATTTCAATTCGTTATACTTAGTTACACAACAATATACACACGGATTATACTTGGTGCTATTAGAGAATGGAGTTTCTCTGGAGGCTGCTTAGTTATTCTGGCACCAAGTGCTCTCCCCCTCCATCTCGCATTCAGGTTATATATTTCTTACTGAATCTCCTCACATATAACATTCCCGTTATCATCAATCTTACAGATTGCTTTCATAGTTCTCTGTATCCTCAATTTTGTACACAATTGCGTAACTCTGATTTTTGTATTTTCATTTGGGTTTGTTTTTTTTTTTTTTTTTTTTTTTGGTCTATTTACCTTTTCAGCTGCTGAATTTTAAGCAGGCGGGCCCGGTCTTTCTGCTGTGCATAGAGCAGTTGGCGACGCATTGTGCGCAGGTCATTCGATTCGTTGACCCGGGTGCGCACAACGCGCATTCCTCCCACCCGCATCCCAGTGCGCATCATGCCGCCTCTCATCGACATTGTGCCGCGGGGTCGGGATATATAGCTGGTGCCGGCCACGCTGCGCATCATCCGCTTTGGTGGACCCATCGATCCGTCCCGCTGATGCCGGCTTCCGCTGGTGGAATCATCCCGAGGCCGGTAGGAGCTTGAGCTACCGCCACCGCTATTGCCAGTGCCGCCGGTGCTGCTACGCTGATGATAGTTCGACGACGAGGAGCCAATATTCTGCGATGAGGACGAGGGTCGATCGCTGCGATCATTCGATGAGGTCGTACGACGGTAATCCTATTGACGATTGATGAGTAGGAAGGTGTGTAGGAGCTTTGTTTTGGTTGATTTGGTTTTGATTTTTTGAATCAATTATCAAATATATAGGTGGTAGATTTATATTTATATAAAACATATATAGACTTGTTGTATGAAAAGAATTGCTATATAGCTACAGACTGATATTGATTCTGATCTGATCGGATTGGTTGTGGGTGGTTATATTATCGCAATATGCTGTTATTATTATTATTATTGTTATTATATCCTGCAGCGTGTTTAATGTGTGGTCGCATGATGGAGAAACCTCATATACGCTTATAGCTTAGCTACTTAGATTTGGATCGATATATAATGCATATGCGGATGTACACACTGATAGATTTCTATATTCTCAGTTCGGATTGATAACCGACCTTCGACATTCGGTATGGGAAAAAATTTGACAGATATACAAGAGTTTTACAGATCAAAATCGGCTTCAATCGCTTCAATATTTCAATAGTTCTCTACAGAAGTTTTTGCTTTCTCATATATTTGCGGTTCAGTTCGGATTGAATCGGATCGGATCATATCGATCGATCGTATGCTGGCAAAATCATTATCTATACGGTGCCGCGCCGCTGTCGATGCTATGGACAATACACAGATTTATATAGATTTATGGTCAGACGGTGCTCCAAAGTGCTTGTCTGGCAACTTTGAGTCCGCGCGCTGTTTGGTCTTTTTGGGACATGTTATGCTTTAACGCTCGATAAGCTCAACTCAGTCCCGCGTTTAAGCCTCACAAACAGTGCTATAAATATTTGGAAAGTCATTAACATTACACAGTACAGGTCGATTAGCTTAATGCATAATTAATATATGTATAGACCTTTGGTATATCGTGCGTTTAGCATTGGAATTAGGGCAAAGTACTACTTACGTCTTGGCGCGGTCGTTTTCGGTCGTCGCTGCGATCGCGAGATGAGTCCTAGACACACATTAAACAAAAATAGATGGCATTATTAATATAAATACAAATGGATTTGTGTAATAAATCACTCATTTGCTACAAAACCGCCAGAAAACTATAAATATAATTAAATCTCTATATATCTTCTGCAGAAGATCTGGCACAATAATTACTCATATTCATCTGTGACAAACAGGTGATTTGTTTTATCTCATAGTTGTGGTCAAACTAATGGGTACTTTCTGTACTTAATATATTTCGTATTATATCTATGTTAAGAACTATCTCCTACTGCATAAGATAGATAATAATTTCAAATATAAAATATTTCAAAATTCATATAAATTCGTTTTTAAGCTGCCATTTATTATTTTGTATTTAAAGTAAATAATGTGGAAAACATATTTTTACCACGCCTGTATTTTCTGAATACTATATTTATATCTATATATATATATATATATATATATATATATTCCACGAAAACAAGTGTGCTATGAATAAGCAAAAGTTTGTTTATAGAATGAAGGTTCTTAAGGTTAAATCAAATTGAAAAAATATTTCTCTTTTCGTTTCGCGAAGAAGCATGAAGATGCCAGAAAAATGCACATTTCCAGTTTGCAGACTAAAAGGAAGTAGAAGATATGCTAGAGAAGCTTAAACTTGTTTTCTATGAGAAAACTAGTGTGTGTGTGTGTGTGTGTGTGTATAACATGAAAAATCTTATTGCATTTCCCACAATTATCTAACAGGTAACTGACCCCAGAAGAATGGCAGATACCGCAAGGACTTAGCTGTAAATCAGAAATAACTATTTAATGTTCATTAACTACAGATTTGCGCTTGAGAGTTATAGCATTGTTTACCGCATTATCTTCAAATTATATAGATTATTATAGTTCTTATCTCATTAGAAGTAACAACAGTTTTGCCTTATCCCACTGTGACGTGATTTTATTTATTTGAATTTAATAATCCATATCAGTTATTTACTCCCTGATGCCCAAACTCACTATTTATTTGGTAACTATTTACTTTTCCTTATCTCTTTCATGGATAAAATTGAGCTATAAGATAAATTTCGGATTTAGATATACTAATTTTATAATTTATCAACGCTATCTATCGTTTCTTGTAGTAAATCAGCTATTTATTAAATTAAAGCTTACTTATGAAATAATAGTATGGAACTTACATAGCTGCGCTTGTGCCCCGATGAACTGGATTCGTAGCGCCCGCTGCTCGAATTGTGATGGTTGAACTTGTCCCTGCTCCGGTTATCATAGTGGCTATTTCCTCCTCCGCTATTGTTGTAACGATTGTTGTTGTTGTGGTAGTTATTCTCATACCGGCCATTATTGGGGCGATAATTGCCCTGGGTGCGAGTATTAACATAATTGCTTGAATTACGATTATTGTAGTAGCCGCCGCGAGTGGTGCCACTACCACGTGGAATGAAGCCGCCGCGTCCTCGCATCTTTTTTTTACTTTTCCTTTATATTCTGTTCAAAAAAAAAGGTAGTAAAGATGTCAGAAAGAGATATATCCGATAGGATTAGGAGCGTGTATGTGTATGTGCGCGAAAAAAACGCAGTCCATTGGCAGCGAAGCACCCCATTTTAAACTTTTTTTTTCCTCAGGAAATGTCGTTGTCACCGGTAGCGTCGCTCGATGCGAGAAAAAAATCGATATGCCACCGGCACGAGTTTTTTACAGGTTATTTTCACACGGATTTACGTCACTTACCTCCTTTGTAACACTCTTTACTGATCGGTAACAGTAAGCGCAAAGGTTCAGTTAATCGATTGCTTAAAATTGCACGGTCCTCTTTCTATTTATTAGGATTTTCACCAATCTTTTTCGCTTCCAAAGAATGTGTCTAGCAATGGCGAATAACTCGCAGACTGACCAGAGGTGAAGAAGACATTTATGCTTAAATTTATCGATTATTTCTAACTTACGGCAACACTGAGCGAACCGGGTTACCCGGTAACCGTACAACTTTAAAATGGTTGTAAACCCTGCTAACAAGTCACGAATTATCGCCAAACGTATCTTCCTTAGAAAAAAAAGCTGCATAAACCAGCTCAGATGTTATTTTGTGTTGCGAGTGATTGGAAGTGAATAAAAGTGATATTGTGCGATAAGAAAACCTAAAAGCAGAGCAGTAATATGTTCAATGGTCAGCCATTACAAGTGTCTATCAATATACAAACAAAACATGTGTTGGCATAAATATTCCGCTAAATTACGCATCATAGTTATCAAGCCATATTTTAAGAAACTGACCCACAGAACAATCATCTTTTCATGACAGTCATGTTATTGATTTTGAATAAAAACGAAAAAGGGGAAGAACAAAAAATGAAGGAAGATTACAGCATGGGCGCACAATCGGGTGATCTGTTCACTTCCGATTGGCCAAAGATGTGTACTATTGATTTCTTGGCAGCCCAACCAAACCACTCGCCTGTCCTCACCCACACCCATGTAACTAACAAACTGGCCATTATTTCTCTGTCAGGTTCACCGCATTCACATTAGCCAGCTCATCTGATTTGATTTGCCGAGTACAAAGTTCGCGTTCAGCATCCACAGCCGCACATTCCGCAATCTTTAGTCATGTCGTGGATGGCCTTTGGAGCCCTGGCCTCTGGTTTTGGTATTCTCCTCATGTTTCCATGTCGTGTCGTTGTTTAGTAGACTATCTAAGAATGTATTTGTCCTATGATTAACCCTTCTGCAAACTCTTATCTAATGACTACATATGTGTGTTTTATTTTATGAACACAGTTCTTCAGCGCCTGCTGGGCGGCGATCAGCCGGCCAATAAGGTCTTGGAAGTCAAGAGCGAATCACTGGGAACACTTCAAGTCCTAGCCCGCGATGACGCGATGCTCCTCTTTGCACCGCCCTTTAACAGCAATGAAAAGCGTGCCGTCTATGAGATCATTCTGCAGCGCCCAACCTCGGATTCGAGTACCACATCCTTTAGTCTGTACCGGTCGCCGGTTCAGCAGGAAGCCGAGGAACGCTTTAACGCTTTTCTTCAAAGGCTCCCCGTCTTCGTCAGCATTGTGAAAGAGGTTCTAGAGAGGTTTGCAAACAAATAGAACTATTTCAAATATTATATATTTTAGTATTACAATGTAAATGGGCTGCAAAAGGTCTGCGATGCACTGGCGGAGAATCCTTCCTGGACACTGTCCCATTTAATTGCATACTTCAACTTGGTGGATTATATCAGCAATCCGAAGATGCTACAGTGCGTAGACTATGCGGATCACACCTCCCTAATGTCGCCCTTTCAGCTGGCCATTAAACAGGGCCACATAGAGATGGTGAAGGTTTTACTACCACTGAGCAAGCTGGAACACTTGGATATCAACAGCAATTCTGTGTTTCACTATGCCGCCAGCACCACCAAAGATATTATAAATGTGAGCAAACATTCTATATATATTTCAACCATATGATAAAGATTATAATCTTAGCTTATCACGGACAAAAGTACGGTGAATCTAAACCACCTTAACTCGGATGGATATACTCCACTTCATGTGGCTTGCCTTGCCGATAAGCCGGAGAATGTAAATGCACTGCTATTGGCTGGCGCCGACGTCAACCAAAATGCGAAGAACATCAGCAAGCTGTACAAGACATCCGCACCCACCTCGGTATCCTCGTTTCTCCGCACCAATGTGGGCAAGCTGTACAAACAAGACATGAAATACGGCGGCACTCCTTTGCATTGGTGTTCCTCTCGTGAAACTTTACACGCCCTCATAATGGAGGGATGTGATGTAAACGCCACGAACTTTGAGGGACGCACCGCTCTGCACGTGATGGTGGCCAGAAATCGATTTGAGTGCGTAGTCACTTTGTTGGCCCACGATGCGGATATTGATGTGCTGGATAATGAGGGAAACGCAGCGCTACATATCGCCATAGAGAAGAAGTTAGTTCCGATAGTCCAGTGTCTTGTTGTCTTTGGGTGTGACATCAACCTGAAGAACAAGGATGGCAAAAGCCCGCGTCACATGGTGGGCAATGATGCCAGTGGCAATAAGGAGGACGAAATACTCTACATCCTTCACTCAGTGGGGGCTAAACGCTGCAAAGAGTCCGGTTCTAAGTGCCCACCAGGATGCAATGCAAAGGGCAACTACAATGGCATACCACCAGAGGCACCAGAATCCGTGGAACAGCGCGAGCATATAGAAACCATGCTGGCTACCACCAGTCGTCAAGTGATGGGCGGTTTCCTGGGAGCGGCGGCCAATGGAATATTGGAGAAGCCACCACCAGCACAGTAAGATAATGTCTAGATCTACAAAAAAAAATATAGTAACCGTTTTCTCTGCGTATTCCAGAAAACCAGTTGTCGTCGACACGGAGAAAGAATTGAAAGGCCAAAGCATTATGGATGCCCTGCTGGGCATGTTTACCACCAAAGTAAATGCTGACGAGATGAAGAAAGACACCTCTTCGAATAGTTTGGCTAGTGGCTCTGCAACACCTGCTTCAGGCGCCGTTAGCCCGGATCAGCTGCCATCGCCCATTGCCGCTGAAATAGGCGATAAACCCTACGGTCGTGGACGTTTGCTATGCCTTGATGGTGGTGGGATTCGTGGCCTGGTCCTGGTACAAATGCTGCTCGAAATCGAGAAGCTTTCGCGCACTCCCATTATCCACATGTTTGATTGGATTGCCGGCACCAGCACGGGAGGAATTCTGGCTTTGGCATTGGGCTGCGGTAAGACGATGCGTCAGTGCATGGGCCTCTATTTGCGCATGAAGGAGCAGTGTTTCGTAGGCTCAAGGCCCTACAACAGTGAATTTTTTGAGTCGATTCTGAAGGATAATCTGGGCGAGTTCAACGTGATGACTGATATCAAGCACCCAAAGATCATGGTCACCGGTGTAATGGCGGACCGCAAGCCCGTTGATCTCCATTTATTCCGCAACTACACAAGTGCGAGTGACATCTTAGGCATTGTGACTTCTATAAGTGAGTAGAATAATCAATATGATCAATGAATGTGACTTTAAGTGATGTTTTATTTTTTTAGACAATCGTAGGATTCCTCCACCGCCGCCACAAGAGCAATTGGTTTGGCGTGCTGCCCGCGCTACTGGAGCGGCTCCTTCGTATTTCCGCGCTTTTGGTCGCTTCCTAGATGGCGGCTTGATAGCCAACAACCCAACGCTGGACGCCATGACCGAGATCCACGAGTATAATATGGCTCTGCGCAGTGCAGGTCGCGAGGCAGAGGCCATACCCGTGTCCGTGGTGATGTCCCTGGGTACAGGACACATTCCGGTGACTGAGCTAAAGGATATTGATGTCTTCCGTCCGGAAAGCATTTGGGACACGCCCAAATTTGCCTATGGCATCTCCACCATTGGTAAAGCCTCTATACTATTCTTATTTGAATACTTCTATAAAAATATTTATGATTTCTAGGCAACCTGCTGGTGGACCAGGCCACCTGCTCCGATGGAAGAGTGGTTGACAGAGCCCGTGCCTGGTGCAGTACCATTGGCATACCCTACTTCAGGTTCAATCCCCAGCTGAGCGAGGACATTGCCATGGATGAAAAGGACGACCAAAAACTAATCAACATGCTGTGGCACACCAAGGCGTATATGCACGCAAATCGAAACAAGATCATTGAAACGATCAACTTCTTGAAATAGCATGCAAGACGGATTTAGACCGCATTTGCTGTAATGATCTCTCGCTAGAGGGATCCTTTCGACTCTTGTCTGTGTACTTTAGCTTCGTTTTACCCTGTTCGTTTACGTTAAGCACCATTTCTGCGGTCTAAATCAGCCCACACTCTGGGACGTCTCCTTCCCAATAACACCGAAGTCCTCCACCTAGAATCTGTATTTTTATACACCCAAACTGAAAGCGTTATTCTTTACGTTCTTTTATTTTTCTTACTTCCGAGGCTTAATCTGCAGGATTACCAAACGAATTACGCTTTATATGTTGTGTTATTGGATTTAAGAAGATAGCATATTGTCATCCTTTCAAAATTCGTTTATTTTATGTATTAACGCTGATGTATTGTATTTAACCCTCCAATTGTATTGAGAATTAATAGGATGATGGATAACAAACATTCCGTGCCGCTTTGTTAGAAAATGAATATATGTATGTAGTTGAGCACGAATTTTGAATAAAACTTTATAGGTGTTTAAACAAGTTTTTAATAAAAATACCCAGGTTTACGGATGGAATTCTTTAAATATCCAACGGAACTACAGAACTTTAACTGAACGGTTTCTCTATACAGTTTTATATACATAGGACGAAACTATACAGTTATATTATTTTGTTAACGTTTAATTACTTTTTATTACAAAACTTAATAAAATTAAATGTTAAAATTTAAAATTTAATTTTTAAACTCGGGGGAGTACCCAATTGGAAATGTTTGATATGTTTTAATTGTATAATAATAAAAAGGTCTCGTAAAAGGACAGATGGAAAATATTTAATAATTTTAAAAATTTAAAAATTTTTTTTCAAGATGTAAAAAAGCTGAATCTTTTTCTATCAGGGCTGGATACCACAAATCCCGATAGTCTTTACACCATTATCGTGAACAGCATATCGATACCTAGGATATGAGTCATATCGATAGGGCCAAAACAAATACAAACAATACAGACGAGGGGGCCACAAATTTTTGCTCTTGGTCGCAACTTATCAAAAATCGAAAACCAGGTGGGTCAAACCGATTTAAAATGATGAGTTATTAAACCATATGTGCTTTCTAACATTTTCAGATAAAGATAAATAGATTCGGAGACGGCAGGGTCACACCAGTAGCTGGTGGTCAGAGTGACCAAAGTAGACAGGAAAATAAGCAAAAATAAACAAACAATACAGACAGGAAAATAAGCAGCGCGTGCCTGGAAAGACTTTTTCGCCGCAGGACAAAAAACTGGAACCAGAAATACAGACGCACTGCATCGCTGGTAGCGGGGGACGCAATCCGAGTAAGAGTGAGATATGGCTGCGGCCACCAACAACGATTCCTCCGGTGTGGAGGCGGCCAAAGAGGAGGTGGAGATGACGATGCCGCAGTCACCCATGTCGATGGCCATGGTCCTGGCCAGATCGACGCCAATGCCCATGCCCACCAGCGCATCCAAGGGGATCATGATAACGCCGCCTCCACCGGCAATGCCGCCCACGCCCACCTCTTCGCCCAACACACACGGCGAGTGGCCCCACATGAACATCAACCTCAACCTGAACCTTAACTTGAACATGAGTTCAAATCCCAGCACGAATTCATCATTCCAGCTGAGCAGAGATCGGGGCGAGCACTTTGCCCTGCCGCATCTGCCGCCCCTGCCGCTGAATCCCAATGCCCCCAATGCCGAGTATCTGCCCAGTCTGATTCATCCGAGCACTTTGCCATCGGGTAGCAAGAGCTTCAAGATGCGTCCTCGAATGCACCGGCTGAAGCACTCCTACAGCTACAGCAACATAATTGTCCAGTCAAATGGCCGCAAACTGCGCACCGCCGCCTCCACCTGCAACATCGAGCTGCTAAACCGCATCCTGGAGGGTGGGGCCAATCCCAATGCCGCCGATGAGTACAATCGCAGTCCCCTGCATTTGGCCGCTTGTCGTGGCTACATACCCATTGTCCAGCAGCTCCTAAAGTACGGAGCTAATCCCAATGTGGTCGATTCGCTGGGAAATACACCCCTCCATCTGGCTGTGATCTCGGCCAGCTCCAATAACTTTAACGTTGTGGTGGGCGTGCTGCTACAGGGCGGCGCCAGTGTCCATATGTATGATCGAAGCAATAAGTCACCGCTAGAGTTGGCTGAGGCCAAGCTTAGGTTGCTGCGCAATCGCTATGACCATCCCACGCCGGAGACGGCAAAGATTCTCGAGGACATGTGCATGCTAACCACGCTGATCTTGCGATACATGGTGAAACAGCAGCGCGAGCTGGAGGATCTTTCGGCACTGGAGAAGCGCCTACAGAACTTGAGCACCAGCGATGACCAGGAGCAGGTTGTATCCCAGACCGCAGACGAACTGCTCGCCAGTGTCGAGCGGCTGTCCATAAACAACAAGTAGGCACGCTGGACGCCATGGGAACCCATCCGCTGGCGGGCCCAAATTGCGTTCGATGAGTTGAGAAAAAAAAGTGAGTACTCCTTATATATTATATATAAATTAAACAGATATAAATTACACAACAGAAAAACAAGTTGTGGCCGGAATTATTAAATATTTAAAGCATGTGACGTCTTATTTGTCATAAGACTTTCAACAAACTATTTGCGATTTTAGTGACTCAGAAGATTATATTATTTTAATCTTTTGAAGGGTAATAAAATTTTAAAGAGAAGTTTGTAACGCTTTAATACATTATGTATTCACACGAGTCAATAGAAGTAGAGTCTATAAAATGAAAATAAAATGGTAATGAAAGATATATTATAACACAGGATTTTATAGGTTGCCTTTAAGTCCAGAGACATTAGAGAGATTATATAAATCCACTAATGTTATATGGTAATAAATATTATTTTCTCCTTGTTGCAGTTTGTTTATCGTTTCCTAATTTGGCTGCCGTTGAGCTGGAGTTGGCATCGTGACAAGCAGTGGGTTGAGGAAGAGGTCCTGATTCCGATCCTGATCCTTGATTTCAATCAAGCTGCCAAATACGACCAACGCTCTCACACACACAAGCACACACACCCACACAAACAAAAGAAAACACACATTGTTTCATGCGATCTTTTATTAAGTATTTCATTTAAGGTTTATTGTTTATGCAAACAATCAACAAATATGATTAAATTTTAAGCTTTACGTTTAGCGCGCCAAAAAAAGAAGTAATCAAGTTATGTAATAATGATGCAATCGCAACTCAAGAGGACACCTAACAATTTGCTACATTACATTTAACTAAATGACTACATTACATGGAAATCGTTAAGTGTCTATTGTATACTACAGAAAAACCAACCATATGCGTGTAAACACTCTCTGAACAATAAACGAAAAACCAAACGGCCATTTGACTTAATCCGCAGATAAAGCCGAAATCTGTAACTATATAACTGAGCGGACTTGTGAGTAATTCTGGTTTGTGGTGGACACTTGTGATAAGGATTACTGATGGTGAGTAATAAGATTTTAAAGGGTAAGGTATTAAAAAAAGGTTTCATATAAATAAAATTACTTAACATCTAACTCAAAAAACCCAGTTAAAGCCGAATCAATAAAAATATCAGATATACTAATTGCCCATCATTAGTATAATTTAAAAAATGCATAAACTCAATAAAATATCGGAACATGAAAGTCATCTATAAATCTATTTAACAGCTTTTTCCTCTTAACGGGTAAATGTATTCAAAATGCGATTAAGGGAACCCACGTTAAGAGTTTTTATGAGTATTTATGTGTAAACTTCCCATTAACAAGCGGTGGATAACAAAAGTTAAACATTTTCAAAAAGTTGCCCACGACGAAAATACTAACCGAAGCTTACGAACCCATATTGACGTTCAAAGCAAGTTAATACGAAATAAATGTTGTAAATTAGCTAGATCAAAAAAAGTCCAATCATAAAGAAATAATAACGGAAGCTAGACAAATGACCAAAACACTTTCCCGGACGTAAATATAAATGTGTTATGGGTGGGGGTTATAAACAGGCCGAAAACCCGAAACTGAAACCCGTAAATTCATTCAAACGAATGAAACCGCCACAAAATACTATTTTTATCACATGTGCACCTTGCTCCAAAATTCGTGGGAGGAGAAAATGGAAAGGGAGGGGGTCGAGCGGAGAGCTGGTCAGGAAAATAGAAGAAAAGCCGTGTCTCTTCTTCCCACGTCGGTTACGTTTCGATGAGCGAAATGATCAACATATTCAAATTGTCGTTACGCACCACGATGCACAGAAAATATCGTAATATACCTTCTTAATAAATATTAGCCTACACTCAAAATTAATCACACAATTTTAAAGTTAAAAACGAATTGGGTATTCATTTATTACTTATGATATTTATAACGAATTGAAGTTAAGTTGAAATGATACATGATTATAGTTAAATTATCATTCTCTCATGGCAACGAATTCGAGAAAGAAACAAAATATAATTGAAAATTGAAAACTTTTATTCCATCTAAATTTCCTTCAGTGCATTTCAAGTAAGGTGGTCGCAGATGATATCAGATGCAGGGCATACGGAAACAATGAAACCGAGCAGAAGGAACCCGTACTACATACTTATTTCAAATGTTGACCCAACCGCTTCCACTTATTGGCGGCAGTTGTGATAAGAGCTGCACCGTCTCACTTTTTGATCTCCCTTGCTGTTGTTGTGATGCATGTGGTTTCCAGAAGAAGATGAAGGAGGAGCAACATATGCGTTAAAAAAAAACATGAGCGTCGTTGCTGTCCGGATGCCGTGTGAATTTCACGTTTCGCTGTCTCATTTCTGTATTTTTGTGTATTTTAAATGTATGTACATTTTGTAGTTTGGCTGCTTCCTCTGCACTGTCTGGGAGCCAGAACGCCCACGTAATGTGCGCTACACTATTATGAACTAGGCATTTTCGTGCCACTGACTTAGATATGTTACGTATATATAAAAATAGTCTTTTCACAACAGATCTAGAAACAGAAATCCTTTTGCTGCTTTACAATTGTATTACAAATGTACTCGAATAACACAATTTAAAAAAAGATAAAAAAATATATAAAGTGTCAGTGAGAAACATAATTATATTATATTTTATATTATTATGTATGTATATCCAAAAGTACACTTTTAGGTAGCGCACTTTAAGGTCGCATATGCCCAGGACTTTCTCTGCAGGCGATCTTGGTTTTCGGTTCGCTGCTTCCGCTGTCGCTGGCGCCGGTGCAACATGTGTTTGTTCAAGTGTAGGTGACCATTTCTGTATGTGTTCGTTTCATTCACAAAATTTTGGTGGTGCGTACACTTGCTTCTTCAAAATTTGAATTCAGTGATATTCCGGCGGCGCTGCAACACGTTTCTTTTACGGAGAGCGTTTCCTTTCGTATAAATAGTAACCAATTATATGTAATGAAAGCATAAAATAAACATAAATGAAAGTAAATATAACATAACATCAGTTCATAAAGAAGATAAACTTTTAAAATTTATAACTGTTTATAAAAGTTAGTTAAAGTGATCGATTTGCACCTAGAAAGTTTTTTCACAACTGAGATCAGTTTACGAATGCACAGTTCATTTAAGATTTGAATTGGTTTTTTATAAAAGCCATACACTTATTAATAACAATTGTAGTAATATATTGATATTTTGTTATGGACGTGCGACGGTCTCACGAAAATACAAGCATTGTACTCAGCGAGCTCGGCACGGTCACTCTGAGTTTTGATTTCGTTCGGGAAGGTTGTGTCTCGGAGACGTGGAACTTCGCGGAGCCGATAAACTCTGAGAAATCAAGTTTTTGCGAGTCCAAACAATAAACCTTAAATTTTCTAATACTTCGATATTTAATCCAATATGTTTTGATTGCGTGACATAAACAGTTTATACTAAAAACCAACAAAAGTTTGATTTCGCTGAGCTGAAGCAACAGGAAAAGTGCATTTCGTGAGCGGCAAATCGACTCATATTTCCGTCACCTTAGCTCGAAAGTAAAATGCAACGCTGCAGTTTGAGTTGAAATTACAAAGTTTAATAACCATTCAATAAAACATCGAACGAATTTACTGTGTGAATTTAACAAGTGAATTTACGTGAAAAGGGGAAAACAAATTACAATTTCCCAACGCGTGTGTTGCAAGTTCCAACTGCAGGTGGCCGACACAAAGCTGCCGGCTATAGAACGGGCGCACACAATGCTGCTGAAGAAGAAGCGCTATATGTTCGACGAGCGAGACGTCAATATTATTAACTCGCTCCTCGCCGTCGAGCCAAGCAGCAACAACAACAAAATGGCCGATACACGCGAAGTGCGCATTGAAGAGCAATTAAAAGTGAAAATTGGTATGTAAATCAAGTGCGAAATGGTTTAAAAATACTACATAAATATAGAAGAACATGCCGGACATAAACGTTGAGTGAAATTCGGAACGAAACATTCGTTTTTCATGGTGCAAAGTGTGCTGGAATGTTGACAGCGTCGCCGTTTCCCCCGCGGAGTCTCTTCTGTGCAGAAAACAACATTAAAACTGAAGAAAATACTAAAAAGTCACTCAATGAAGAGTGCAATAATGTGGCAAATCCAAATTTGTGTGGTTTAAAACCAAAGAAACCTATAAATTCAGCAAACCAATGTGTTTTTGTTCTAGAAATGCATTTTGTGTTCAAGTGTATAAACATGCTGTCTCGCTCTCACTCGCGTGTTGATGTGCGTGTGTGTGTGTTTCTTTTGCTTTTTCCCTAATGTTTTTTTTATTCGTGCAGCAGCAGTGCATTTGCATTTGTTGTTGCTGCTGGAAAAGTAATGGATGACCAGGCTGAATGTTACGGCATTCGGTTCACCCTTACCCCCGAGCCCCTTCTCCTACCAATGCGCCCCCCGCCGTTTTGAATGCGCCCCTTTTTGTGAATGAATCGGAAATCAAGCATGTATGTGTGACGCTCCAGCGCATGCTCACACACACACAGTCGAGAGATCCCAGCAACAATGTGTGGGTTTTTTCATGAATGGAATTTTCGGATTCGGTGTACTTTTCTCAATACGAAGGTGTCTGTTTTATGAATGATTATCAAAGCAACAAGCGAAAAGAGCAGAACAAGAGCATCGATTAATAGCTTACTATACATATATTGGCAAAAAGGTCAAATGAATGAATGACACTCTCTCATTTTCTCTATTCTGCCATCTATTTCGTTCTGGAGGGAGAGAGCGAATAAGACTGCAAAAGATAGACTAAAAAACTTGCGGTTGTTTTTGTTGGTTTTACATTTCCTGTCAAAAAAAAATACGGTATGTAAAGCAGATTTATGAATAACCACAGTCGAGGTAACAGGGGTAAGGAAGGGTTCCCGTGATCTCAATTTCACACCTGCACACGCATTTATTTTTACCTCTTCTTCTTCTTACAATTTCAATCTCACAACTCATAAGCAGCTTTTGCTACGCTTTTGCAACGTAAATTATATGCAAAGCTGCAAAAGCAACAACAACAATGTTGCCGCTTTTGATTTCCGTTTCCCATCGCCTAAGTTTCCCTTCGTGTGATGCGGTTTTGTGTTCTTTTTCTTTAGCCATAAAACTCTTGCTTTTTCTCTTGTTTTCCCCTTTCCAACTGCTTTTTTTGCACGCTTCAATTGTTTTCGCATGCGCCTCTGTCTCAGTCGGGGTCTCCTCTTTGCTCCCCTCCTGCTCCTCTCACCACTTCCTTTGAGTCCCTTTCTTCCATCTTCCAGATGTCTTAACCCCTTTTCGCCCTTTTTGGGTTCTGTGAAGAAGATGGTTCATATTATTGGTTAAAAATGAATTAAAACACGTTTCTCTGATGATTAAAGAACGAAAGTTATGCACTTCCTCCGATTATCGGATCGTTATGGCACATTAGCTGACACCTTTTTACCTCAATTTCCTTTGCGGTCGAAAAACGTAAAAACTTGCATGAGATTCCTTGATATTATTATTGAAAATGTAGAATTGACTATGCAACAAAGTTTCATAAAAGTAATATCTTTATTCGCTCCTTTAAAATCTCTGTAGATTTGAATAAATATATAATTATTTATAACTTATCTATGCTTGTAAGCTTTTCTTTACCGAAGATGGCATAAAATATTTTGAAACGGCATAGAAACACGTTTTCCGACGATTGGAGAATGAAAGTTATTCATTTCCTATAATCATCATTGATTATCGCATCATTATAGCACATTAGCTCTGTCACCTATTTACCCCCTACCAATCGGTTTCGTTCCCATCCGGCATATAACGTTATAAGCACTATATATATATATGTATACTCCCTGCATTCTTCTACCGAGTTTCATATTTCCACTCCATTGTGCTTTGCATGCTTAATAATAATACTTCCACATCGTGCTCAGTTTCAATTACAGACGGAGTTTCGCTTTTGTTGTTGGGAGCGGGAGCTTTCCATTTTGTTGGTCGTTGCGATTTCTACACGAAACCTCCGCCCCGACCGAAATTGGCGTAATACTTTTCCACTTAATTAAAATGTTTAGCGCATAACCTAAATTTCGTTTTCTACGAGACCAAAAATAAAGAGGTGTTGGAGTGTGGGTGCATGACTCACTTCACCGATCTCCCTCTGCATATCAATGTTGCTTACTGGGGAGAATTACTCACTATTCAGACCACACGCAATTGAGATTTCGTTGAACTTGAAGACCCAGAACAGAGATATCTAGTTAACATGGACTCGACTTTGTTCTTTTTAGTTCTGCAACAACAATAAATAGTTTGGCCAAAAAAGGTAATTAATTAAAAGCCGGTTGTGTTGTCTTGTTCTCCAGTTTGTTGCCAAGTTTTCCACCTCACTTCCCGCCCTCTCCACGCTCCACTACTCGACCATCGGTCCAAAAACTGGTTGCAATTGAACGAGCCAAAGATCGCTTGGAACTTTTCTAGCTTGTTCGTTCTCGTTGTCTTTGGAAGCCTAAGCGATGTTGACAATTAGTTCCTCGGTTCGTCGTGTCTTTAAATCATTTTTCTAATACACATACTGGTGTATTTTTTCAGCTTGAGCCACAATTAAAGCGGAATATTTTCATTTGAAAATATGGCCGGGGAACAATTTTAATTAGCCTAAAGGCCGGAGGCTTTATTGGCCAAGCGAGGTTTGTCCCAACAACTTTGTTTGCCGCTTCCAAGGAACCAGTGTTTTTATATAATTAGCGCATTCTAAAATACTCTTTATTCAGGTCGAAGTCAAGCCTTCTTGTGGTTTTCAGGTACAGAAAGAAATGAGATCGTTTTGAAAATGATCATCATCCATGTTTAAAAATCATAAGTTTGGGTTCCTACTTTCAAATCGAATCATATATTTTTGATATCAAAGGTCAACCATTACTCATGTTTCTTTAGCTTAAATTATCAAGTGGGAAATATATTTTCTTCCCGTGTATAAGTAGAGAAAAGGGGAACCACAATCGCAATGACAACGATGACGTTGATGACTCTGCCTGCGATGATTAACATTTATCTCTGGCTTTTCACAATGAGGCAGCAGCATGTTATAATGTTATACATACTCGCATTTCCCCATTTCCCCTACTCTTTTTTGTTTTTAGGGGGCCCTTTTTATGACTTAACGCTTGACCTCCTCGCATTTACTTTGATGTTGTTGACTTTAGGCAGGGGTCAGAGGCATCTGTGGAACCCCCGGTCGGTCAGTTGTCGTCCGGACCTCCACCTCCCAAGGCTTTGAACTTCATGCTGTTTCTCTGTTTTTATTGTGGCGCTTCTTTGGAGCTGAGCTGCTCGGTTCCATCTCACAATCAGTCTCTTGTAATTTGTAATTAAAATGAATTCTGTTTTTATTTCACTTTTTCGGGTTGTGTTATTAATTTTGAGGCACAATTTGTTCGCTTCGCTGGCTCGTTTCAAGTGTCGTTTGTTATTCTGGCCTGTGTGGTTGTTTCTCAAAGGTAACACAACAGCGGAAATGTCAGGGGCCAAGAATTGTCTAAGGCTGGGGACAAGTTTTTCTTTTTTTAATGGGAAAAGAGGGATCGTTTGGAGTCGTTAGATGCGCCTAAACAACTCGAGTTGAAGAGTTTTAGGGAGGGGTTAAACCATAACCACGTGGAATAATGATGGGGTTAAGTGTTCTTATATATACTTATATTAATGTAACCTTCTATTTGGTCGGAAATTGTGTGTTCTCATTGCCAGAAATGGATTCTTGGATTTTTAGTGATAGTAAAGCACTAAAAAGCACACTATTTTTCTATTTTCCTAAAAAATTAATTTATGATTGATTTCATTCATTGGATCCATCAAATCAATAATATGGTTAAAATGAACCCTACCTGATATTCCAATAATACAAACTTTTTAATTGCATAATGTTGTTTGTTCCCACAAAACTTTGTCAACCACTGATCCTTGGCTCATATATATATTTCACATATCGTCTCATAGAAAACCACTTTTGGCCAAGGCCAATTTGGCTTGGTTGCTTCGCAGCTGACTGCCAAATTGTGTGGGCGCCTTACAAAGCGTATTTATCATTATTAAATTTTTATGGCACACAGTCAGGCGAGTTTTTGTGTCGTCGCCAGTTGACTTGCCTCTAATAAGCAACGTTTGTAGTTTTCGTTTTTTTTTTTTAAGTAATAGGCGTCTGCCCAATTTGGCCATTTCGAAATGGAAGTCGTGCGTTCGCGTCGCTCACATTGAGTGATGTTTGCAATTGAAGGTTAATAGTGCCAAAAAGGTAAATTGGCAACACGAAAATTTAAGCCAAAGAAAGCTATGAATTGGAATTAAATTCCGAGTGTCGAAAGGAATGTCAATCGCAAGGGGAATTACTCATCTGATATGGAAAATAGATATATATTAAAAAGACTATATATACTATAGACTTGTATACAGCGAGAATTGTTAATAAACACAGTCCAGATCGATGACGTTCATGAAAAGCCAATGAACATACAGAAGGCAGAAGCCAAACAAAGTTGGCCACAACAGAAGGAGATCGTGAGATGATCATGAGAAGCGTAATCAGACCGGAAATCGATCAGCACGTACAGGCAAATATAGAGGAGGAGGAGAGATGAAGGCAATAAACTGGTTTCATATCTCTCTGTTTCTCTATATAAATACAATGCACACTAGTAATATATTTAATAGAATTTGTAATCCTATAAACTATAACAAAAACTTTGATGTTTATAGAAGTTTTGAAAATCTAATTGATATTAAAGTATCAGTTCCGAACTGATCTACTTCTGTCTGTGTGTTAAGCAGGGATTGGTTAATGTTAACTAACCTGTTTGCCCCCACAATCTGGCTAATTGCCCGACACGTTAGGAGAGCCCTTTCTGGTTTTATGGCTAAAGGAAGTGGCAGCGGAAAAGGAAGTGCACTTAAAGGGATATAATGTGCCCTAGCTATAGAATCGAGTGCAGGGAAATGCAACAGAAGCCAAGGGCTTTTTTCCCACCTTTCCGCCAAAAGTGCAAACAATCATTTTGGCCGCAGGAAGCTGGCGTTTAAACAAACAGCCAGCCAGACAGACAGACACAAAGATCTGTCTGTGTAAATCTCCCATCCGCTGGCAAAGCAGCTGAAAAAAAAGAAAAACACAAGAATTTATCTCTATTTCCGTTCCTTTGCATAAATGTCTGCTTCTGGGCTGGCTGGTTTTTGTTTCATTTGCTTTTTTAGAATTTATTACAGCGCTGTCTGCTTCCTTCTTTATATTTTTTCTGTACTTTTTCTTCATTTTTTTGCAGCAGCACTCGCGGAGTAATCGCCTCATTAATTCGCGCGCGTTTCATGCTGCACTGAATCAATTTGCATATTGTGCAGAAAAAGCAAAAAGGGAGAAAAAAAAAAGGAAATCTACTTACAAAGTCTTTAAATTTAATTTTCCGTCTGCAAGGGAAATCATGGAAATTTCAGGCATTTAATGAGACCCTGTCCCGACCCAATACATAATGATGGGTGTGGAAATGAGATCGTGTTGTAATTTTCCCTGCCGCCCCTCAACAAGCATCCCCAAGGCAAATGTCAATGTTGTGGAGAGGAAAAGCAATTTCCAGCGGTCCTGACTTTAAAAGTTTTCGATTTTTATTTCGGGGCTGTGGCATATAACCATGCCATGCCACATGGCAGGATGATTCTATTTTTGGTGACCCCTGAAAATGTTGAAAGAAACATGCCGCATGTTTATCATGCTGTTTGCAGAGGGATTATATTGGATCTCGTTAAATGTCAGATCACCCACATTAGGCGGGGTAAACAATATTTGATAATGGATTTTTAAAAACCTCCTCTATAAACCTCCTATATATATGTATGTTTCCCCAACGAAGATGCGAAAAACTCAAAACTTGCATAATCCTAAAATATAAATATTTCCCAATAGGAAAGGAATGTTTGTTGTAATATAAAGAAATCGTACCACTTCCGTTCTCATGGAAGTGCAAAAAAGAATTCCAAAATGATCCTCTACCCCCCAAAAAAAAGAAGAAGAAGCGATGAGCCAACTTCCGCTTGACTTTATCCATGCATAAACCTTCTGGATTTTCCCAGTTCATCGAGCTCTGGTTCCGTTTATCGTGTTTGGCATATGTAAGATGATACATACATATATATGCACAACCGATCACCCGATGTGGTGAGTTTCTCAATGCATCTGAAGGTCGGTTATCGGACTACGGTCTACGACCGATGGACGTTACCCAGAATACACATTCATTTTATATCTAAACGATATGGATTTGAATATATGATTTCGCCATTCGCTGTGGGGGCTCGTTCGACTCATGGCATTCATTGGGAAATTTCCCCTTTATCGCTGCTCTTTCATTCTTGCCTTCCTTCTGCTTGTGAGTAAGCAAAAAATCTATAGAAATTCCGTCGATTATGTCATTAAATTTAGAAAACTTTCGTTGTCTGTCTGGCCATTTTGCATGGAAGTCTACCAAAAGTCAGGAAAGAAAGATAAGTTAATCAAGTCGAAATGTATATACCCTTTAGATTATCGATAAAAAATATGCGAAATAAGATTGATTATGTTTTTAGTTGGTAAGAATTAAAATTAGCTATTAAAAAGTAGTTTTACATAGCCGTAAAGAATCTATCTTATGTTACACGTTTGCAGTCAAAGCTTAAGTACCTTATTAAAGGGTATTAAAAACGAAAACGAATCGAATAAAAAACATTCAGTGGGGCAGTCCAATGACAAGGCAAAGCCATAAAAAACACACATAAATAAATTAAAAAAACGTCACAGAAATGCAAAAATTTCAACACTTTTGTGCCGGGTATCCCCCCCCCTTTCTCTCTTCCTCTTTCTACCATACTTTTACTACCACTATAATTTTATGAATGAAATTTACTGTTTTGCTTTTCTCCTTCGATCAAAATACAACAACAAAAACAATACTCTTGTTTTTCGTCATTTGGCGTTTTGTGTTTGTTTTCTGTTTTCTGTCTTTTGCCGATTGCCTTGCTTTACTCTACTTTGCTTTACTTTGCATATAAAATGAAATGTGCTTCTGTTTGCGGGGATTTTCATTCATGAAAGGAAAAAACACACAATCACACACACACACACGCACACTGTTGGAAAAAGAAAACGAATGCTTTGTTATCGCGGGTTTCTTGTTTCTACAACAACATAAAAAAAAAAAACGTCAGGCGAGAGTGTGAGAGCATGCGATTGTGATTGTGAAAAATGCCGTTGTTTTGCCAACACACAAACACACTACTTATAACCCCATTGATAGTCGCGAGGTGATAGCTAAATATACACACATATAGAAAAAAACGAAGCTATAGCTCACCTCCAACACATATTGCCCACCGCCCAGCTGTGTCAATAGGGGCGGAAAACAAGGCGGGGCAATCGAGTCTCAATGGAAAACAAACTACAGTTCAATTTCCATGACTCTTAGCTTCCAAAGCGTAGGCTTTTGCTACTCTATCATCTATCTTTACCCAATCAGTTAATAACTTAAATTTCCTTAGGAAAATGTTTAAATTAAAACCAACTTCTTAAACAATTGGGATAGGTTCGTGTTTATGAGATTAAAATGGACTTTTGCTTTGCTGTTGCCAACCAGCCGTTAATCAGGTTAAGCGGAAATCCGCTCTTAACATAAACTTTACGAACCACTTGCCAAAAATCTAGTTTATACGATTAGGACAGTAGCCTAGTAGTATTTATGTAACTCTGTAATAAATAACAATTTGATTAGTAAGTTTCTTTTTAACCAAGCAACTAACTAGAGCCATTCATAAGGTGCTTGTCATGGAAGTTTGACTGTAGAAGTGTGGGCAAAACCTAAATTTGCCATATGAACACAGATACAAATGCCGGCAAACACACACAGATACGGCACACGCACAACTGCCCAAGTATGTGTGCACTTATTATATTTCCGCTCGACTGCCGCTAATTTCTTTCATTGAGCAACTTTATAGTGCTTGCCTTGTGGGCCAGCGCCTTCACCCTTTGCGCTTATCAAGGCCTGCCGTTTATTAGTAACGTTAACAGTCTAGCCAAGCGCCAGCCATTGCGAATGTGGCGCTGCTGCTGCTGCCCCCCTTGTTGTTTTGTATTTGTTGTGCCCCAGGTGGCGGAGCATCCATAATAGATTGCCACAATACAATGTATACGTAGGTATCGACGATGCATTCGCACAGGAAGTCACGTCCGCTATCCATTTTCGGAAATCAAAAGAGCCCGCTGGTATATAAGGTGTAATGGATATAGTGTGTCCTTTTTTTTTTACAATGTTTACAGCAGCAGTTGGCAGGTGTCAAGGCCGAACATCACCTGATACTAAAAAGGGCGAATAGTGATATATTAATTTATGTTAATCAACTAGTAATAGCTGCTAATAATTCTTTCCGGTTGGGAGAAAGTATGTGTGCTTAGTCCACGAGCCACTCTTTAATTAAGGCTTTTAGTTTTCATAGTTTCCTGAGCTATTAATAGTCTGGTTGTTATCTTAAGTAGTCTTCAAGTTACTATTAATTATAGGAGCTTATCATTTCCTTTACCTATTAAATTTAGTACAAGGCTATTACTGCTTTTCAGTTTCAATCGGGAAAACTTATCAATTGGCATAGAGTAAACTTAAACTTAAACTTAAACAATAATATTGCACTTATGATAATCAGTTAATCAACGAAACCACGCAGTAACTAAAAAAAATCTTTTAAAACTCAAAAGATTTTTATTAAAAATTTATGTAATATCAACTTGATTACAAATTCATATCTATTTTTTGCTTATTCCAGGTGAGGCTAAGAATCTGAGCAGTCGAAATGCGGCGAACACAAGCTGCAGCACACAGGGCACACGCGATGTCTACTGCACAATTGCGCTGGACCAGGAGGAGATCTTCCGCACACCCACCATCGAACGCACACTGACGCCGTTCTTCGGCGAGGAGCACCAGTTCAAGATCCCGCGTCGTTTCCGCTACCTGTCCATTTACCTGTGGGATCGGGACATGAAGCAGGACAAGACGATTGGAAAGATAGCGATCAAACGGGAGGAGTTGCACATGTACAATCACAAAGATCATTGGTTCTCGCTGAGACCAGTTGATCAAGACTCTGAAGTTCAGGGCATGGTCAATGTGGAGGTGTCATTTGCAGAGGCCCAACAAACCCAGTCTCTTTCGGAGACCATTGAGCTGGGCCAGCACACATTGTCGCACACACAACAGTTCCTGCAACACCACAATCACACAGCCCACCAGCATCGGGCGCTCTTGAACGACTACAAGGAGAACAGCGAACTGAGCAATATCCAGCGGGCGGCAGCAGCTGCAGCGGCATCTTCTTCCGCTGCCATGACGTTAAAAACACGAGCCGCTGGTTTATTTGGTCACGTCCATCATCCTCCATCGCAGACACAGCACTTTCCGACCATCAATACCACATCCACATCGTCGGATCAGTTGGCCAATTGGAAGTCGCATGGGAGATTCGTTGGCGTGACCATCAAAGTACCAGCTTGCGTGGATCTTGCCAAGAAGCAGGGAACCTGTGATCCCTTTGTGGTCTGCACAGCTCACTATAGCAATAAACATCAGGTGACGAGAAGAACAAAACAGCGCAAGAAGACTGTGGATCCGGAGTTTGACGAGGCCATGTACTTTGATCTCCACATCGATGCGGAAGCGGGCAGCACAAACACCACTGGGAGTAATAAGAGTGCCATATACCCGTTGGGTGGAGCGGATCTGGTGGAGATTGTGGTGAGCCTTTGGCATGATGCCCATGGCGCCATGTCCGATAAGATTTTTCTCGGTGAAGTGCGACTGCCAATGCTCAACAAGCAGGAGCAGCAGGCAATTTCTCCATCGGCTTGGTATTATCTGCAACCCCGCTCCATGACGCACAGTTGTCGCTCGCTAAATGCAACACCCCGCTCATGTGCCACTCCTCCGGGTACGAGATTAAGCGTGGATTCAACCATTGGATCACTCCGTCTGAATCTGAACTACACCGCCGACCACGTCTTCCCCCTGGCCACCTACGATGATCTGTTAAACCTGCTCCTGGAGTCAGTGGATCAGCGACCTATTACCGTCTCGGCTGTCTCGATATTGGGCGAGCTGGTCTCTGGCAAGACGGAGGTGGCTCAGCCGCTGGTGCGACTCTTCACACATACGGAACGCATTGCACCTATCATTAAGGCGTTGGCAGATCACGAGATCTCTCATTTGACGGATCCCACCACTATCTTCCGGGGAAACACATTGGTATCTAAGATGATGGACGAGGCGATGCGGTTGTCTGGTCTGCATTACCTACATCAGACTTTGCGTCCCGTCTTGTCGCAGATTGTTGCGGAAAAGAAACCATGTGAGATCGATCCTAGCAAGATTAAGGATCGCTCTGCGGTGGACACGAATCTGCACAATCTGCAGGATTATGTAGAACGTATCTTTGAGGCGATTACGAAAAGTGCTGATCGTTGCCCGAAGGTTCTATGTCAGATCTTTCACGACCTGCGGGAGTGTGCGGGAAAGCATTTCCCCAGCAATCGAGAGGTGCGCTACTCCGTGGTTTCCGGCTTCATCTTCCTGCGCTTCTTTGCTCCGGCCATACTGGGACCGAAACTCTTCGATCTGACCACTGAGCGTCTGGTAAGTAGATTCTTTTAAACTGAGATTTATTCAAAAGTTTTGAGTAATTCAGTTTAATTTCAAGCTCAGTCATTGAGCAATACGTACTGCTTATCGCGAAAACCGTAATGACTAAACTTAATTCATGAATTCTTTAAAATTTTAGGATGCCCAGACGAGTCGTACGCTGACCCTGATCTCCAAAACGATCCAATCGTTGGGAAACTTGGTTAGCTCCCGATCATCGCAACAGACTTGCAAGGAGGAGTTCACCGTCGAGCTATACAAAAAGTTCTGCACGGAGCAGCACGTGGATGCGGTAAAGCACTTTCTGGAGGTGATCTCGACGCCCACCCAGGCGAGCAGCGTTCATTCAGTGGCGGCGGCGGCATCAACACCACTGGAACCAGTATTACTTAAAGAGGGGTAAGTTAAGAGTTTTTTTTACTATTCCTCTTTGAGATCCCCTTGATTGGGCAGGGAAAACCTGCCCGATCAGAGGTGGTTCACTGTAGCCTCTAGAGAATATCGATTGGTGGATTGTGCAATGCTCCCTCTATATACCCTATTCTATAGATTTGGCATATCCCACCCAAGACATTTGGTTAATTACGCTTCGTTTTATTCTAATACCAAAACTTTCTTTGTCTTTCTCTTCTTTTCCGCGCGCTGCTTTTACCAAAAAAAAAAAAAAAAAAAATCAATAATAAATCAAAATCAATCCATCACGCCAAACACACACAATCACCATCCCATCACACAAAAATCACACACTTACTCATCACACATTAAATCTATACTAACGTCTAGCGAGGGGTAAGAGAAATTGCTTGTAATTTGTTGAAGAATCCTAGCTCTGTTTTTGTTTCGATCGCGACGTATTGCGTGCATGCGTCTGGGACAAGAACAGAGTTATCTGAGTGCGAGATCTCGAAGGGCAGTTGCTAAGACCCCGCTTTCTTTGCTCTCCTTCCCGGCAGCATGATGACCAAGTATCCCACATCCCGGAAACGCTTCGGTCGGCAGTACAAACAGCGCTACTTCCGCCTCACCACCCACTCATTCAGCTACGCCAAGTCGAAGGGCAAACAACCCATCTGTGATATACCGCTCCAGGAGATCGCCAGCGTGGATCAGCTGAAGGACAGGAGCTTCAAGATGCAGAATTGCTTTAAGGTGAGCAGTGAATGTACTTCGATTTCGATTTGGTATCTGGGATTTGCATGCACCGCTTGTTGCAACAAATAATGTACACGATCAGTTTGCCGGAAACGCGTGATCCACGTCACATCTATAAATAGACAGTAAAAGCCCACTCACCGCCGGGCAGTGATGATAGTTTAGCTGTTTTTACATGCCATGTGGTTACTTGCAAACATGTAAAGCGGGAAAAATTTGAGGTTCTTTGCATTCAGGTGCTTACTTAAATCAGTCAACTTAATCAATCCCTATAATAGGCCACGCGTATAGGTCACTAGATAATCTCATATGCTAAAAAGTAAAATCACAGCTACTCATTTTATTATCCCGATTTGGTCTGCTTTAATTAGCTTTCGTTTAGTTCTCAGCCAATTAAAATTACTGCTGAAAAACTGCCATCACTGCCTCCGGCAGACTCATGGCTGAGACATGTGGCTGTGTGGGCGTAAAGCAGTTTCTGCTAATCGATGGCACAGCCATCCATCGGTGGCAGCGGCAGCAGGCCCATCCTATGTGATAGTGAAAACCGAACCTCAGTTGCCCAAGTAACTTTCACTAATCACTCACACAGTTTTTTTTGTGTGTTGCAAATGACAAGTTGCGGCAATTAAAAATAATTAGCATTATTATGCAGATGAGCTGCTGGCAGAGCTCTGCTTTGCGTACGCTATTGTTATTGCCAGTCGAGGTGGTAGTAAGACAAAAAAGGGAAATTCCAAAACCTTAGAATCATCTGCAGCCGACGCAAAAGAGAATAGTCATATCGTGGGTGCGATTTCTTGGCGTTACGTTTTTTGTATCATCCGAGTTGGTGGGAATTATCTCAGACAGTGCGATTTCACTTGGGCGCGATTGTTTTGCAATTGTGCGCCGCGCACAGAATTTATGTTAATTGCACAAAGATGAGACTAAGACTTACTTTCCCCTCTTCTCCCACAGATTCTGCACAACGATCGCTCGCTAATTGTACAGACAACGAATTGCGTGGAGGAGCGCGAGTGGTATGACTTGCTGCACAAGATTTGTCTGATGAACTCTATCCGGATGCAGTACTTCCATCCCTCGGCCTTTGTTAACGGCTTTTATAGCTGTTGTGGGCGTTCGGATGAGAATTCACCTGGTTGTAAGAATGTGTCGAAAAAGGAGATGGACTATTTTCAGATGGATTTGGTAACGGCCCTGGATCCACCGCTTGATCTGCAGCGCATCCACACGCTGATCATGTCCAACATGAGTGTGCTGGAGTCCCTGCTTGATCCTCTCACCTATCACCAGCATCTGCCCCAGACGCAACACCAACAGCATAATCCTCTGGTACCACTGGCCACCGATCTGCAGAAGCATTCACCACAGGCCTTTGCGGAATTCAAGCGAACTATTGAGAAGTTAAGAGAGAAGGCGTACGCCATTGATCGGGATCATCGGGATTACAAGCAGGGCATTACGAGGCAGCTGAAGTATGGCAGCAGACAGGCGCCGATTGGCGATGACAACTATTGGCAAATGATGCGAGCAGCCGGCCAATTAAATCAGCAGCACCATCAGCAGCAACAACACCAACAGCAGCAGCAGCAACTCCAGCAGTTCCAGCCGCAGCCAGTGCTGCCGCAAATGCAGAATGTTCGGGCGTATCCCTATCAGCCAACTACGAGTAACATGAACGCCTACTATCTGCACAACTTGCAGCATCAGCAGCAGAGATTGCAGTTCCAACAGCAGCATCAGCAGCAGCAACATCAACCGCTGCAGCAGCAACAACAATCGCAGTTTCAGCCCCTGCGAAGCCATCAACTCCAGCGTCACAACAATAACTTGAACAACAACAACTGCGGCAATGCCTCGTCATCCAGTCCGTCGTCGACGACCTCAAGTGTGGTGGCTGCACCGCCAAGCACCACGTCGTCATCGCAGCCGGCTCCGCCGATTTATTAGCGTTCAAGGCTATGCGTATTCGCCTTGCCGCGGGCCATAATCACGACCAGGTGAAGAAATACGCATCATGGTGGCAGCTTGAAACACCGAGGAGAGATGCCCCCAACCCACAGGATGCTGCTGTACAAACAGTTTTATGTGCTAATTTCTAGGCTCTTTTTTTTTTGTATAATTTTTACGAGTTTAACGTTGTAAAGGTCTAGACTAAGTTTATTAATTAACAGATTTTTATACACCAGATTTTTACGGTACCGCCTACACCAGCAACAACTACAACAATAAGAAGCAGATGAAAACAAACAAGAAAGCGAAATCTAAATATTTATAAGCCTATTTATTTTTTGTATGTGCTAACATTATTTATACACGCAAAACGAAACACCCAATATGAGAAGAGCATTTCTACTCTTTTGTGAGGGCAGAGAACCACTGAAAACTGATAACTTTTAAAGCCCAAACTACTAAAAACTCAAAAATTGCTAAGATTTTTTAAAGCCTAGCCTAAGTTCAATACCAGCGCAATGATGAGTAGTGAAATGAAAAAAATGTAAATAGCAGATACATGCGTATATATATAATTATATGTATATGTACAAGTGTAATATTAACTACATTATACCAGTTATTTTAGGCGTAGCGAAAATTTTTAAAAAAAATAAACTAAAACTAACTAAATTAGGCGTGTTGCCCAGAGGCGATACAAACAAAAAAGCAAATAATTCTAACAAAATGTGAACGCGATATACAAGAAACAAAAACTGCGAAAAGCATAAAAAAACATACATCTACATGTATATTTACTTTATATAACTGTCATACAGCTAATGTTAAACACACGATACGTATTCGGCAAATTGTAGGATACTAAAACAAAAAGCATTGTTAAGAACAAATTTACTTCCATTTTGCATATACAACATACACATAAACACCTACATACATACATACAAGCACACATATATTTATTAAATGCATTTAATTTCATGTTAAACTTAAACGATAAACAAGTAAATTGTTAACGCAAACACGATTTGGTTAGCTTCGACTTACTTCCACCGATTTGTTTCCAAAGCTCTTCCAATATTAATTACACATTTAGAACTTATGTTAAATAATCTTATTTTTGCCATATTTAGTTCATTGTTTTATCAATCGCATTGAAAAGTGTCTTCCTCCGCCGCGTTTATTCATATTGCTATTTGTTTGCATTCCAATTATTTGTGCATTTCTTAATTACAATATCTGCATAATGTACATAGAGATACGAAACGGAGAAAAACAAAAACGACGAGATGTTGCTATGAATTTAATTTGTTTGCAGTTACCCACTTGGTTCATTTACAATTTCAGTTGCATTTTAAGAACATAATATTAGTTTATTTTTACCATGCCTAGCTAATAAGTTGTTGGTACAAAGAAACGAAAATATATATATCTAAATATATTTTCTAGCGAAAAATAAAGCGTATCGCCAATGGAGATTATCATTTTGTTTTCTTTTGAGTTGCTTTTTGGTTTGGTTACGTTTTTATATACTTATACTACTTATCCCCTCCCAGTGTAGTACCTCATTCTTGTGCTTTAGAAATATCTGGCATACTGTTGTTGTGATATCTAACGATATGGTAATTGAATTAGTCGTGTGTGTTAGTCGTATTTACGATACATTTATAGTAAGTTAAAGCTGTTGAATATTTTTATTCGTATTGTGACAATTAACCGAGAAGCAATTTTTCAAAAACAAACGAAACAATGAATCGATCTGATGAGTACTTTATATTTTTGTTTTTCCCAAATGCTAACTAAATTATTCTCACAAATCCTAAGGATGAAAAAAGTCAGACCCGTGTTGGTTTCAAATGTAACAGATTGATGAAAAGGATTCCCTATTTTTTTTAAAACGAAAACCTTTTGAAGTCGACTTTTATGTATAAATAAATATATAGTTGAATATTTTGGAATGTATTTTCTATGGGCCTGTCAAAGGAAACGTTTTTTAAATCAAACTAATATGATGGGAACCACATCATGCTAAATTAATTGCATTTATTTTTTAAGTGCTACTACTTAGACCCCACGGTATTTTCGTCTTAAGGCTTTTATTCAAATTTTAAAATTTCTACCTTAATTACAGAAGCGAGGTAGATGTTATCGTGAAAATGTTTAAGTCTTCAGCCCTGGACAACGATTGGTTGTCTGTTATCGGCAGTCGAACAGCTGACTGGCGGCATCTGAATTTATAAACAATTTGTGAGTTTTGCAAAATTTTCAGGAAAAATGGATTACGATTTCAAAATGAAAACGCAAATTGAGCGTACAAAAGTGGAAGACCTCTTTAACTACGAGGGCTGTAAGGTGGGGCGTGGAACCTATGGACACGTATACAAGGCCAAGTGGAAGGAGACAAGGTAAGCTTGTCGTATGATGCTGAAAATACATTTTAATATGACCCCTTATATTTAATTTTGCAGCGATGGTAAGGAGTATGCCTTGAAGCAGATCGACGGCACTGGTTTGTCCATGTCCGCTTGTCGCGAAATAGCATTGCTGCGGGAACTGAAGCATCAGAATGTAATAACGCTCATCCGGGTGTTCCTGTCTCACAACGATCGTAAGGTGTTTCTGTTGATCGACTACGCGGAGCATGATCTTTGGCACATTATCAAGTTTCATCGAGCCGCCAAGGCCACCAAAAAGCAGGTCGTTGTTCCACGGGGCATGGTGAAAAGTCTGCTGTACCAGATCCTGGATGGTATTCATTATCTGCACAGTAATTGGGTGTTGCATCGTGATCTGAAACCTGCCAATATCCTGGTGATGGGCGATGGCAACGAGAGGGGTCGTGTTAAGATCGCCGACATGGGTTTCGCTCGTCTCTTTAATGCCCCTCTGAAACCTCTAGCAGATCTGGATCCCGTGGTGGTCACATTCTGGTATCGCGCACCAGAACTGCTACTTGGAGCTCGACATTACACCAAGGCAATCGACATCTGGGCTATTGGCTGTATTTTCGCCGAGCTACTCACTTCGGAACCTATATTTCACTGCCGCCAAGAGGATATTAAGACCAGCAACCCGTATCATCATGATCAACTAGACCGCATTTTCAATGTGATGGGTTTCCCACAGGACAAGGACTGGGAGGATATCAAAAAGATGCCGGAACACCATACGCTGACCAAGGACTTTAAGCGCTCCACCTACTCCACCTGCTCGCTGGCGAAATACATGGAAAGGCACAAAATCAAACCAGACAGCAAGGCCTTCCATCTTCTGCAGAAACTGTTGCTGATGGATCCCAACAAACGCATCACGTCCGAACAAGCCATGCAGGATCAGTACTTCCAAGAGGAGCCACTGCCCACGCAGGACGTATTTGCCGGATGTCCAATACCGTATCCCAAGCGCGAGTTCCTTACCGACGATGACCAGGAGGATAAGTCGGACAATAAGCGGCAGCAGCAACAACAACAGCAGCAGCAACAACAACAACAACAGCAGCAACAGCAACAGCAAATGAATGCCGAGCCGAATGCCAAGAGAGTAAGATTGTCTGGAGCTGGTAACCAGCAAGACTTCCACCACCAACAGCAGCAGGCCCAGCAGCAGCAACAACAGCAGCAGCAGCAACAGATGATGTTCAATCAGCAGCAGAACTTCCAGCAGCGCTTCAACTGAGAGACTGATAAATGCAGCATTTTTTCTTCTACTACTTCTCCCTAGCTTTCTAAGTATTTAGGACTTTAGCACATAAGAAATACAACCAAGTAAAGTGTATCATACAGAACATAGTTTGTTTGCTATCAAAAATCCAAATCGCTTTCATTAAGGATTTTTTTTTGGCTGTTTGAATCTCGCTCTCTTATGACTAATAAACTATTTCCAAAACTACTGTTTAACTGGTTCGAGTCTGTGCTAATAAAGAAAAGGTTCCTTTCCATCTGAAATTGGTTCCAATAAATAATCGATACTTAATCGATAGAGCCATTGCTGTTTTGCCAGCTCTAGTTCTATTAGAACATTTTATTTTTACCGGATGCCATTTGTTTGCAATAGAAAATATAAGTTAGAACAGCGGATAGTAATTCAGCAAGAGCCAAATTCAACGTTACCAAAATTGTGAGGAACGCCGCCTGATCTTCGACTTGTCGTTGTGATAGTAGCTCTCGCCCAAAAACCAGCTGGCTGCCAAATTAAAGATTGTGGCGTAAATTGCACTCCACGAAATTGCAGTTGCAATTTTAGTTAACAGGCGAAATACACAAGTAAGTGGGATTTTAATGAAGTTGGAAGTGAAGACGCAGGCGGAGGAGGTTGCCGTGGGATCGTCAGATGGCCAACTGGGCGTTGCTGGGGGATTGGCGGCCATGCTGGCCACCCACTGGGTGGCACTGGCGACCACACCAAGGGCACGAGGTCTTGCCGCGACCTGTGCCATTACAATTTGGCGAACGTCGCGATTTCAATGTCTGTTCGGCTACTGCCGCCGTGATTCACGATTGTCCAGCAACAGCAACAATATCAACAGTGACTCCCAACCGCCTGACGTAATTATGCGCGTGCACTGACCGCAACTAAATCAAATTCTGGTCTTTGCTGGTCTTACAGGTAAAACAGAACCCTAGAATGCAGAACAATCCCAGCCCACAGCTACCCTGTAAGGGTATCCTCAAGACTTCACGCAGCTTTGACAAGTCGGGAGCCAGGTGAGGTCATCTTATAACACCAATTAAAAAACCCCTCTTAACAGCCTCCTTTCCTCCCACCACTTCAAGTTTTCGCAAAAGTGCCAAGTTCGATGAGCTGAATGTGATGCAGACCTTCCATCCGGCCGACAAGGACTACGGACATATGAAAATCGATGAGCCCAAAACGCCATACAACTATACGGAGGCCTACGAAGATAACAGGGACGAACTGGACACGGAGCTGCTTGTGGAGAAGTATGAGAAGCAAATTGTTTACTTACTAAAATACTGTCGGCAGGTTCGACAAGTGACGACATAACGCAAACAAAGTGATTAGGTCCCAAACACAATTTCAACGAAATGCGTCTTTAGTTCTGAGTTGTCATATTTTGTTTTTTGAGAACGTAATTGTTTAATGTCCTATCATTCAAAGATTAATCAATCGTTGATAGTGACATCTGTACTGAACGTATACCGACCAATATTAAAGAAATTCAAAATATACCTTCCGTATATTTGTAAGAAACTAAAAAATATAAAATTACATTATACATATTAATCTTTTGCAGACTCCGCATTGCGGCTAACACACAACCGTCGACAGAAAGCATCGAGGATGATGGTTCCTCCGGCGACGACCAACCCCTCAGCGAGGAGGAGCGACGTAAGTGCCATGAACCACTCAGATTCCAAACATTTCTCATGTTATTGGTTTGCAGAACGACGGCGCGAATTTGAGCGACGTCGCAAAGCCCACTATCGTGAGTTCGAGGCCGTCAAGCTGGCACGGAAGCTGATCCAAGAGGAGGACGATGACGACGATGACGAGGACAAGGGCTCGGATAGCCGGCCCTCGGGCTCGGCACAAGGCGCTTCCACCTCCGGCCGCTTTGCGAAAAAGTCGAGCGGCAAAGTCGACTCAGCAACATCCTCGTCTACCAGCGCCAGCCATAATATGGACCTGGAGCCATCGAACAACTAGAAGCAATATCAACCCATCAATCAATCACTAATGTTTACCTAGCCGACGACAATGGACGATTCTGAGGGCAGCTCATCCAAACAATGAACTAACGAAATTATATATTATATCAAGTGCTGTGGGAGCGCGGAGTGAGAAGTGGATGCTGATTAGCAGAGTGGCGAGGAGCACTTGTGATTAATTGAAATTACCCAACTAAACACGAAAAACAAATTGTCGCCGAGGAGGTTTTGTCATCGATTAGTGAGCAGTACCCGATAAGCGAAGGTGTTACTTGTTGCAAATTGATTTTACAACACAAACTGTGCATCTGGGCAGAGAACATGATTGTACGACAGGAAATATAAATATCGTATGCGTCTCGCCTTAGTGTACTGTGGCAAATGTAGTTAATACAAATGTCTTTTAAATTGATACCGATATGGAAACCCATTGTATTTTAGTCCAAGTCTCCCGTTCGCAGCTCCGTTTGCATTTAATTTGATTGGATGCCCAGTGCCACAGATGGGATTACTTGTTGTAACTAGCGTTGAAGTTGATTTGGCCTTACTTTTAGTTATTTATTAATACGATACTATTATGATTACTATTAAGTTTTAGCCATCGAAAGCGAACGTTTCAATAAAGAGAGCCCAAAACCCAATTGAAAAGTCTCTGGAAATAGATCTTTTCGTCGCGAGTATTCAAAACTTGCCGTTTATTTAGATTCTCATTTCATATTAGTTATACATCGTATTGTAGTTGTGTAATAGACATTGCTGGTCATAGTAATTGGTAAAGTCTGAGAGTGTTTGGTCTATCCTCGACTCCGCTCCGGCCACATCCCCGCCCCATACACATCAAGATCTAGGCACTGAGTTCGCGGCTGCTCTTCCAGCAGGCAACGGCATCCTCATATTATTGCCCGGGGTCAGCTGGCGAACTAAAGTGCCGACCTTGAGTGTATGGGAGGGGTTGATTGGGCGTTATGGGGGGTCAGAATGGGCTCGTTGATTTTTATATCCTTGAATGGCATTTTTCTCAACTCACAGATATGTTTCGTCCTAATCGCCTTTAGTTTCTTGCATAACTTACTTAGCGGGATAATTGACGGTTTTTTATAATTTGCAGTTTAACAATGTCGAAATAAATATATGTATATATATGTGCATATAGTATAGATATAAGCAAAAAGCATGCAAACTCAAACAATAAACATTGAGAATCCTGTGCGTGCTGCTCCAAAGGATGTAGATCCCAGAACTCATCATATTCGAATTTACAATTAGTGAATGGTTCCGAACGGGATTCCTTGAGCCAAATGTGGCCCCACAGGATCTGCGTTAAATAGAATATGCTCACAATAAATAGTTTAGTAGTGCTCTTACATCTAAGACAAGGTTCAATCTCATTATCAGTTTCCGTCTTGGGTCGCATCGTATCCATTTCATTTGCTAGTTAACATTTTTAACAATCATCTTAGAAGCTATCGCTATATGGTTTAATATATAGTTCTGGTCTCCTATCTTAGCCATACTATATGCACATGCTCCAAATATGTGTATATAGTATGGGTACATAGAGAATATCGTTATCCATCGCCCCGTTTGGGCATCCGGATCAGGGAGTTCCATATCCACGAGTCATCATCTGTATCATCCTTAATCGATTGATGCTTTCTGTTCAAAAGATTAGTAAGCATCCAATTGTATATGAAAATACCGAAGATGATTCATGGAATGGAGTCACACCTGGTGTAGTATTGCATTCACCTATCATGGGTTCGTTTCGTAACATATGTATATATATGGCGTCGTTAGTGGTCATTTAAGATTAGTATAACAATTGTATATATCCTATATATAGTTTGGTTCGTTAGTGATTCGTTTTAGTAACATATACATGATCGTTTTCAGTATTATTATGAAGTGGGTTCCATTGAATTTCTATTGTTCTGCTGTTGTTCTTTGTATCTTATTGATTCCCTTTCCAAACTTAGCCGAAAATGTGCTGGGTGCCGGGTGGCACCTTGTAGCTGGGATAGCCATTGTTCAATTGGTGCTTGGCAAAGAAAGGTGTGTAGTCCTGGGGATAAATATATATTATTAATATCAAATGGATCCGGAGGGAAAGGCACGTCCTACCCTATTGATTCTTCTGGGACGGCAAACGGGGCCCAACGCCAGCTGGCGTCGCTCCTCGTTCTCACGAGCCGCGGCCTCCTTGTACTCTGGTGGTGGCCATTTCAAATCTCCGCGCAATTTGCTGCCTCCTGAAATTCGAAAAGATGGCTTAGAATGAGTTTTGAGAAAGAGGTGGAGCATCTTAAATTTAGCTAACCCACACTCCATAAACTTTACCTCCTTAAGAAACTACTTTACTTACCCTGATAGCTGACGGCGGCAGGCTGCGAAGTGTAGACTGGCGCAGGCTGCTGGCTCACTGGGGCCTCCTTGCGCAGGGTGATGATACCGGGACTGGCGCCCCGGTAGCTATCCTGACCAGCGAAGGCTCCAGGATGCTGCTCCTGCAGATCGGTCTGATCCTGCGAGTAGGGCAACTGGGGCTGCGAATAAGAATTGTATTGGGGTTGAGCATAGGTCGAGCCACCGTTTTGCTGTGTGTAATAGGAAGGCTGCTGCTGTTGTTGTTGTTGCGGCTGTTGCTGCTGCTGGTACGGTGAAGTCTGGTACGATGGCTGCTGCTGCTGTTGCGGTTGCTGCTGCTGTTGGTTCCACTGTTGCGGCTGATACGGAGCCTGAGCCTGAGGCTGAGGCTGATATTGCTGCTGTGGAACCTGTTGCTGTTGCCATGGTGCTGCAGGTTGCTGCGGTTGCTGCTGTTGACTACCGTAAGACGGAGCACCGTACTGCTGCTGCTGTTGCTATTCAATCGGTGGTGCATTGGTGGTGTTCGGTGGTGCCAACATGCATGTTTGTCATGGGTTTCGATCACAGGTTATGGTTTGATTTCATTGATGGATGGTGTTTTGTTGGTTGGAAGGTTTATACGACACATTCACATTGGATGTAGATAGACAGAGAGAATATGTTGGAAATAGAGATAGACAATAGACCTTAGTTAGAGGATGGGAGGTTTAAGTTTTGGGTAAGTTTTATGCGCAGTTTACAGCTGAAAGTCGCAGAGAAGCAAAAGCAAAGTTAAGCTAGAGGTTAAGTCAGTTTTTGGCATATTAACAGCGATTAGTAAAGACTTTGTCATGCAAAAGCAAGTCTTGTACTTATATTTTTTATAGATCAATGTTATCAAACTGTTATATTTATGATACATGTTGGTTAAGAGTTATAGTTTAGTAAGCGTCCAATATTGTGGTTATGGAATAGGTGTTTAATGTTAAGTATATGTCAGAAAAGAATGTTTAGTAAGTGTCTAAGAAGAAAGTTTAGAAAGAGTCTACAATAGAAAGTAGCAAAGCATCTAAGATAGAAGGAGATCAACGATGGCAGGAGACAGAGACGATCACAGCCGCAGTGCAATAGATAGCTTCCATTCGCTTAGACAAAAGCCAGGAATCCAAACCGATCAAGACGGTACCTGCGGCTGCTGATAGTAAGGCTGCTGCTGCTGTTGGGGCTGCTGTGAGGATCCCTGGAATGGAGGATACGATCCTCCTCCGGCGGTATAATCACTGCGCGACTTAGGCAGCGGGGCACCAATATGTTTCCAGCCACCACCCACATTGTTCACGGCCTGGAGCTGCTCCTGCGGATAGTTTGACTGATAGTTCGGATAGGCATAATCATTGGGATCGGACGCGGGTGCGGGAGCTGGAGATGGAGCTGGAACCTGAACGGGTTCCCTCGAGCGTTGCCGATTGAACTGGGCCTGTGTATACTGAACAGGTTGCTGCTGCTCCTGCTGCGTATAGCTATCTGATGGGAACTGGGTGTTGGTATAGCTGTTGGAGGTGGGTTGTGGTGCTTGGGCGTAGACATTTTGTGGTGGTTGGGTGGTGCGTGGCTGGACGTTGTTATAAATGGGACCCTGCAAGTTGTCAGTGTGGTTAGGTTGGGAGAGGTGATGGGTTTCTGGGTTGTCCAAATGCTATGTACATGTGCTTTCTGCCTCACCGGATGAGATACAAATTGTGGCAGTGGCGGATACAATTATATTTACACTCGACATACACGAATACTTGACTATATATATATATCTATATATACTATGTTGTATGTACAATTCATCGGTTAAACTGGGTTGAGACTTAGGGGGCTTTTGGGGAAAATTACCTGAGGTGGGGCAGCAGCTGCGGTGGGTGCGTGGGCCTGAGGATAGTAGCCTCCAGAGCCCGGGGCCGGGCTCTGGGTTTGCGGCTGGGGGGTGAACTCCCGGATGATCCGCTCCTCCGAGGCCGGTGGCCAGGCCACACGCTTGTAGCCTGAATCAAAGAGAAAGAGACCAGAAAGGTAACGATAAATACTCGGAATTCTTTTTTACGGCCAAAAACTGGTGCTGTTGCAGCTGCTGAATGCAGCTGCCGTGCAAAAACATTCAACAAAATGCGGCCAAAACGTGGGCGTCACAATAACCTTGGATGCGGCACTGCACTGCCCAGTGCTAGCTAAACAATTTGAAAATGATTTAAGCCAATTAAAATTATAGCCATCGGAATAGCAATGTGCGAACAAAGGTGGCGGCGGATTCCGAGGATTGGGAGGAATGGCGGGGTCGATTCTGCAAATCATACACGGCTGTCATTGCTTCTAAATTTAGACGATGAGAACGAGTCGAAAGCTAAGAATTTGACATTACTCATGGGGTGATGAGGATGTCGTCGTGGTACGTGCAACGCGGCAACATGTTGCCGCTGCATTAGCAACATTGTTCTATTAAAAAGGGGTTGACTTTTGGCCATACTATGATTATAGATTATATAGAGCGTGAAAATATTATATATAGAGTGTGAGTGTGTGTTTACCCTCCAGATTTTTGTAGTTCGCATTGATGATCTTCCACTGAGCCACCATGGTTATAAATTGTTCACTCTCTCGTGCTTTTCTTTTTGGTATCTCTAGATATCTATCTATCTATCTATCTATCTGGCCGATCGGGCCTTTGCGTAAGAATAAAAATATTCTCGTATAGATATCAAAAATAACAAATACACTTATATACCAAGATCCAAGATGTATATGTTTGTTTTTTTGCGGCTATTTTTTGACTTGTCCGCTCGCAGAAAGTCGAGAAGAGCGTTATATAACCTCCGAGGTGCAATCAATTCAATTCGATATTTGGAGAGACTGCTGATGGTAACACCACGGTATTTCGGAATTCGATTTCTCTGATTTATGGCTCTGTATATCTATATATATTTTTTAGGCTATATTTCGCAGATCGGAGCGCGTTTCGTTTATCCTTCGGATCGATATCGTTGAAAAATTAGAAATAAAAAAGATTCGGGAAGCACAGCGATTCGTTTTTTGTTTTCTGTTTCTTTTTTTTTTACTTTGTTTTTTTGTTAATTATATTGTGTAGGTACAATAAAATTGAATTCGATTCGATTCGCGTGCGTTTGGCCAATTTAATTTCTATTTTCTATTATAGCTATTGGCTATTTCTATTTGCTAATTCGTTGATCGTTCGCGCTGCGATATGTTTGCCTTCGATGTATGCTACTAAGTGAGGAGCCAGAGAAATGCAGAGGAAATTATTGTTAGCCAGCCGCCAAGATGTAGAAACATTGGCACTCGTGTGGGTTCCAACCCACACATTCGGCTGTAGACTTTCGTATCTGCGAGATACGCCGCTGCTGCGACTAAGTAAAGACTTCTCCGAGAGAGGCACTGAGATATATGCAAAAGTGTGTATATCCCCCCCGAGAGGGTTTGCTAAGTATGCTGATCTTGATTTGGTTACCTCAACTCCTGCACCACCACCTACCCCATGGGTGGTAGCCAACTCCTGGCATTGTTTACACCTTCGATTTTTGTGATTTGTGGGCCCCACCTTGAAATACTGATCATGCCCACTCCCTCACTCGCGGCAGCCGATCTCAAGGTGTCTGCCGCAGCTATCTCTCTCTCTCTCTCTCTATATATATATATATATATAAATCTTGATGATACAGTCGCATATTTGTGGCTGTTTATCCCAGATCTATATAGGATTCCCAAGTAGGTTGACTACACCGATTGTGTTTATTGTTATGGCGATTTGTTATGCCCGAGCGGCAAATCAAGTGGGCGCACACCCATCTATCTTGCGGATATAGTCCTGATCCCAGCCAACTAACTATCTATCATTTATCTTAAGAGTGTGTATATGTGTGTGGGCCATAGCCATAGCCATAGCAGATATAAGTAGTTTTGTGACTCAAAGGCCAGCGGCATCGTTGGCTAAATTTAAACGGCTGTCATCTTGGGCGAACTAAAACAAATCTGTTTTTAAACGTATTCACACAGGTGTACGACAAAAGTTGGCTCATTAAAATTATTAGCAAAATTGTAACTCATATGTCGGCAATATGTATACCCGCCCTATCATCATACTCATATATATATATGTACATCCCCTATAAACGCCCATGTATAAAGACAATTATTTGATATAATAAGAATGGTTTGCTCGTTAGCCACGCAACAAAATTGCTTTGTTGACCGCCAAACGTCACAGATAAATACAACAAGAAATATTTTGGTTTTACATTGTCTAGTTGGCCCGCAGTTTGCTCATGCTTAAGACCATTAGTTTACGTTTTGGCTACAAATGAGTTTCTTGTTTAAATGTAATAATAAAGAATTTTGAAAGGAATACTTATTACAAAAAAACATTTACCAGGTAGCCATGCAAAAAACATAACAAATGTGGGTTTAAAAATGGTTTTGCCTATCTGATCTAAGATAAACCCTCTTTCTATGTCAGCCAAAAATCTATATCATTTAATAATCCATTCTGGCGGATTTCTGTGACATAAGTCCGCCAATAATGTGAGCCATAAAATTTTAAAATAGAAGCTTGTGATCTAACCATTAAGCGACAATGAGAAATGAGTATGAAAAGAAATTTTTGAAAAATATATCGTAGAATAAAAAAGTGATTGTTCATGAACCATTGCTTTAATCCACTAATTACTTTTATAATCTAAAAATCCAGCACACTTAAGATATATTTTCTCAAAGAATAAACTCGAAAATGCTTATGATTCAAAGTCCACTGAGTCACACACAGAATATTGGGATTAACACATATAGAATCGTGAGAAGGAACACCTTGAACACACACTTGATGGGGATTACAGAAATCGGTGGGCTGATCACGAACCTTCAATTCCCAGATATGGTCGTGGTGATACATTATCGAAGGATCGGTTAACGCTGAAGTCCCTTTGTACCTCGTCGAAGGAAGCCAGGGAACGGAACTTGTCCGGCTCCATCGACTCGAGACTTGGGAAGTCAAAGGGTGAAGGCTGTGCCGCGGAACGAGGCGTTGCTGGCGGCGTGGCAGCCAGCATTGAGGAGGATGCCGACATGCTCTGCTGCAGTGGCTCTGTGGCGGTTTTCACCAGGAGTCCAATATTATGGCCCTCCAGCTGTGGCACATGCGAGAATTTTGGCTGGAGGACAGGCGATGGTGTGGCTTTCGCCTGGACAGGATTCAGACCATATGGAGAACTGGAACGCTGTGGAGCTTCTATAAGTGGAGCAGGATACTTGCGAGATGGCAGCGGACTGGGCGAGCGGCTCCTCTCCCAAGTTATTTCTGTTTCCGGTTCCTGTAGGCTGATTAGCTTCGGTGGCGGAGGCGGTGGCGGTGGCGATGGTGGCGGAGAATCTGGAGCTGGTGTGGTCACAATCTCCACGAAACTTCGCTGGCGCTGCAGCTTCTCGGGTGGAGTATTCTCTTTGACCGACTGGGTATCCTCCCAGGAGATCTGACGTGAGATATAGGGGCTTCTAATCTCATAGGTGGCCTTATAGTTCTTCAAGGGTTCATTATGCAGGTTGGCGATGCGCCACTGATCGGCCTTATTGAGTTTGCCCCAGTTGTTGGGGGAGCAGCGCAGTTCATCACAAACAGGACAGTAAGTTGAGTGATCCTCATGGATGCAGGATCTATCTTTCTCCTCTAATTCTTTACTTTGTGGAGGCTCTGATGTGGGTTTCTTTGTAACTAAATCCTTATTACTTTCCTGCAAAACTTGTTTGACTACTGGCTCCTCCTTTCTGGGCACTTTGTTGGCCAGTGATTCCTCATTTGAGTCCTGTATCTCATCATTTTTAGGCACTTTGGGTAATAGTTCCTTTTTTACTTCCTCTGGAATTACCTTTTTACCTTCTCTCGACCCTTTTTTGGCCAGCTGCTCCTCTATAGCTTTTCTTAACTCGGTTTTCGGTGGTACATCCTTTACCTCTCCTAGCTCCCTCTTGCCCACCTGTTCCTCTTTCCACTCCTCGAACTCCTTTTTGGCCAACTGCTCATAGTTGGCAATTACATCCGATACGTGTCTGTACTCCAAGTCCTCATTCTCGGTGTCGTCCTCGTCCTTGATGACTACGTGCTCAGCTTCAATGACAGCTGGCGTTGTCCGAAGTTCTACGTGCATGTGTTCCACGGTCTCCGGTTTTTGCTCTAGAGCCACTGCAATCTTGTGGAGATCCTCTAGTGCCCGCTCCACAATGGGCACGTTTTCGGTAAGCGATGCCTCCTCCTCCTCAGCTGGGGTTGCCTCCTTAATCTCTTTTGAAAGCCTCGTGGGTACTCCAGCTGCCCGGGTGTAAATCTGCCGGAGTATTGCCTGCAGTGGACTTTCCGCGGCCAAAATGGGTGACTGGCGATGGGCAAAGATGTCCCAGGATTCGTTGGATCCCGAACTAATGGGTCTTACAGGTCGAGCTGGTGGTGGAGGCGGTGGTGGCGGTGGCGTTGGCGGTGTGGGAGTGGGAACCGGTGTGGTCTGGGCACTTCTCTGCAGCGCCTGCTTGGCATTCTCCATATAAGCATCGATCTGGAGGAGATGCTCGGCTATGGACTGCTGGATGTGGGCATATTTCGCCTCCAATTGGGCGATCTCCACATGGGCCTCATGCTGTTTCTCCGCATCCGTTTCTAGGGTGTAAATACCACCCTGCCTTCTCGTTTGCTTATCCTTCGCCTGCGAATCCTGGGTAGATTTGGAACGCATTACTGGAGGTGGAGGTGGTGTTGGAATCGGAGTAGTTGGCGTACTGCTTGACTGCCGCTGGAGCAACTTTATCCCACTGGTGGCACTCACGTAGGTGGGACTCTCTGGTCGGGCATCCTCCTCCATATCCTGGTGATCCTGCAGATACGAGCAGGCGTCGTCGTAGATCTGCTGGGCACTCAGCTTGACCGGATCCGACGAGGCTTCCACGCGAATAGGCACAATGCGAGTGTTGGCCAACGGATTCGGCTGGCTAATGCTCCCATTTGTGGCCAAAGCCAGAGCCATCTGCTGCTGCTGCTTAACTGCCAGGTTGTCAATTACCATTCGTCCCGCTGTCTTCGCTTGATTGAGATTCGCGGCAGCTGGTGTCGGTGGCAGCGGCAAGGTCTCCAAGTCCACATCTTGCCCAGAATTGGGTTCATCTTCGCTGTCGCCGTCGTGGCCATAAGAGATCTTCACCTCGGTGGCCATTTTGATGCATCTCCGTTGGACTTTTGGCTTGGATGTTCTGGGCTTGGGTGGCGGTAGTTCCGGAGCACCCACAGTCCGCTTGCGGCAACGTCCGCGGTCCAGAGAGTATGCCTGTCTCTTATATCTGGGCCGATATGGAGTAACTGGAGTGGGTAATGTTGGAGTGGTGGGTCTTTTGTGGGCCAGCTGTTCGTAGTATTCACATCGTGGCGCCACCAAACCCAAGTCCACATCGGCTGCCTTGGTTTCTGGAGCGGAAAAGCCCTTCGATATGGGAGTCTGATGGAAAACCTCAGCCATGTCGCGTTCTCCGGAAACTCTTTGAGGGGTCTTAGATCTCTCCTTGGAACCACCTTCTCGCTTTCGCTGTTCCCTAACTTCCTTAGCCGTTGGTTCCACAATCATAGTGGGACTCTGGAATTTCTCCCTTAGAGCCTCAATACTGTGCGATGGATTGCAGGCGATCTGATGACTCTGATCGGGATTTAAAACCATATCCTGCTCTGCTGGAGGCCAGCTGTGATCCCGCTTAAGCATATGCCTTTTGTTGGCCAGTCGGTTGATTTTCAGCACCGTATCGCGGTCAATGGTGATGTCCTGCTGGTGACTGAGATAGTCCGTTTTGATCTGGTCCAGCAGCTGTTGGTGTAGCGTGTGATGCAGGGCTTCCACCTCGCCACGCTGTCGCCGACGGCTCTGTCTTTCAGTGGGGTAAAAATCTTTGCCGGGGTAAGCCCCATGATTTACTTAAATTTATCTGAAATTATTACACGAACATCGGACGAGCACTGGGACTTGTAGTGGCTATTTTGTTGAATGTTTTCACACTGTTTCTTTATGTTTCGACAACATTTAATGACAAATCATTAACATTTAACTAATATCTTACCAGATTTGGCTTGTTGTTCCTCCTCCTCGACGGCGCGCAGAACGGCCGAGTTGGCCAGGTTCAAAGGCTTCGTGATTTGGTCGTCGACTTCAATCCTAGAAAGATTTTTAAATAACAAAGCTATTAGTAAAATGTTTAACAGTTTTAAAGGCACTTTGAATATTGTGGTGACCACTGCTTTTTTATTTGCTTATGTGCTGAACTGCTTGCACTGCTTTTGCACACTGTAGTTTAAAGCAGTTGGCGCCGTTTTTGAATTTGCATTTTCGTTTAAATAAAAGAAAGTCCAAAGAAAAGTGTGTCAATGTGAAATGTTTTAATTTAAAATTTAAGCATTTATTTATATGTTTCTTAAATTTAAAAACGGAATAAACATATTTTTCATTAAAAAAAATTATATACCTGCTAGGACTTCGTTTTTTTTACTTTACGTAACTTAAATCTTTGATAATAATATGTTAATGCTTATGTTTTGGTTATAACTTTAATAAGGATAAGCCAATTTAATTTATTAAAAAGAAAAGCCTTGCTAGGAAGAGACTGATTAACGGTTTATAGGTTTATAAGTTTGTCTTATTATTATTTATGAAGTCCTCCACCCCTTGGCGCAGCCTTCTAAAGAAGACTTTTATGCTAAGCCATAGGCATAAATTAAGGATAGTATCCTTCGCGGTTCTGGCATTGAAAATTAGCAAGCACCCACGCTGACCCCAAAAGGCTAATACAATGTGACAAGTGTGAAGTACGCCGGCGGATATAAAAATGGCTGAGAGCACCGGAAAGTGCATCACATCCTTTCTAGCAACACATCCAGCAAGACCATGATGTTCCGTACAGTTCTTCCGTTGCTCCTGATCCTGATCCCGCTCCTGAAATCCGCCGAGGGCGTTAACAGGATCCAGGTTTGTGGTCCAGCTCTGCTCGATTTGGTGGAGATGATGTGCCCGCAGGGATTCAATGGAATGTTTCAAAAGCGAGACTCCTGTGAGTATTTGTGGTTGTTTTGTTTTTCTTTTTTTTTTTGTTTTGTTTTGCAATTTGAAAATCGACACGAGTTGACTTTTGACCACCTATCATTTGCAGTGGGACTATTTGATTATGTGGACAATTTGGGGAATGAGGATAACTCCGATATGGACACCAAATCCCACAGTTCCCGGCTGAACTCACTGACGGGCATGCGGCGTGATTTCCGAGGCATTGTGGACGACTGCTGCCGCAAGCCGTGCTCCACATCAACGATGAAGTCATATTGCCGGCAGTAAACCCAACCAATTGTTATGATTCTACCCATCAATTCCTATATGAGATATTACGTTTGGTTTATGATAACAGAGTATATGCACGCATTTGAAAAATATTGAAATAAAACTTATAAGCGCAATTTGAAGAAGAAGAATCTTTAATTATTTTAACATTTCATTTTAAGCCCAATTTCATTATCTTTAACTCGAAAGCATATGGATAATACGCTTCTTTGAGTGCAAGGAAATACGAATTTTGATTTAAATCGCAGCAAGTTGGGTGGAAATTTCGCACAAACAAAAATATGCATTACGCTTGCCTGGCGATTTTCCTTAAGCTGGCAAAAAGAGTTTTTAACTTTAATTATAATTTGCTTGAAATGTTTTTGCCACTCAACGCAACGCAACGCAACGCATCGTCTTAATCTGGCTGAAATGTTTTGCCTTCCTCAAAGATAACAAACAGAAATATTTAAGCTAAGAAAATGCGCCTGCCTAGATAAGACCTTAAAGTATTTATGGACAACAAAGTCCAGAGATAATCGCCAAGCTTTAAGCTTTGTCAGACCATTTTAAAGTAAATGAAAATCATCATACCTCACTGGCTCTTGACATTGACCTCTTTTGTCGTCCCTTCTCAAAAGAAAATCACTCTCACACACACATCTCTCTCAGCAATTCAACTTTAATTAGTTGATTAATTTCTAGCTTTGGCAAACATTGCGACAGCCTGATTGGCCGCAAGCAAATATTTGCTGAAACATAAAAGGGGAATTTAATTGATTGAAAATCGCATTGAGGTTAAGTGAAAAATTTGAACAAATATTTGGTTAGCAGATCATATGTTAATGCATTTTCTTTTCAATCGGTTCATTGGTTAACTGTGCGCCTTTCCCAGTGATTCACCGATGGGCAGCAAGTCAAGAGATGCCTCACAACTTTTGGCTAGACGCCTGCCGTTTGTTTGTTGACATTGTTTTAGTTGTTCTTCTCTTTTTTTTTTTTAGTCGACTCAATTGCATTAAATCAGTGCACTATTGCTGCCGAGTGATGAGTCACACCTGCTGACGTCTTGAATTATTTTTAATTACTTTACACACGCAGAAATTAAGGGGTGATTAAGGTAGTTTTTAGTAGATTTAATATGTGAGATCACTTTATTATTTCTCTATATAGTTTGTTAAACTAATTCACTTTGTCATAGATATTAATCACTCGAATTAGTTAGCCCATGAAATCAGGTTGGGTAAGCAAAATATTTGTAATATTTACTATATTTTCTGGCATTTTCTGTTATTATTCATTTAAAACTTAAAAATCTACTCTTTTTTGTTTTATTTATTAAATTTAAACCTATAGAGATAGACCCTTCTTGCTCACTTTTAAAAGATTTTTAAATCAGAGTCCTTTCTTAGACATTTTGATTAGCTCTACAAAGTTAAACTTCCTTAAGCCTCGAACAATCATTAATCTTAAACATTAATTTTTAAGATCCCTCCAAACACCCCAAGATCGAGTTATAATTCCTCCTTCTTGTTCACTTGTTCTTGACTGGCGTTATATAAAAAGTATCTTTCGGGATGTTCCCGCTCTACACGTACATTTTATTTTCGAAGTTTAAAGTTGAGAGAAAAGCCTTGGCTCAGCTGTTTTTGGAAAAGTTGCTCCCTAATACGGGAAAACACGTTACGCACACTCACGCGCGAATATACGAATTGAAAGTTTCACGTTTTTAGTTTTCAGTTTTCAATTTTCCGTTTTGAGTTTTTGGCCTTTCAGTTTTTGGTGTTTGGTAATTAAATTTAAAGACTCCGTTGCAGTTGAACACGTTTTGTCGCACGCATAGTCACCGAATAACTGAAAGCCACTTAAAGTTTTTGCTCACCAGAGCAGATCACCACTATATCTATACCTATCTGGCAGATCGGTTTGGTTAGGTGAGGTGAGGTGAGCTGTAGCCGGTTTATTCAAACAACAATTGCAAACAACAATGGCTAAGATATATATACATTAATATATATATAGAGCTGGCGACAGCATTAGCTGCAAATAAATTCAAGTCGAAAAAGCGTCGCCGTGTGTCGCTTATAAAGCTTTTTGGTAATTACAATTAAACGTCAAAGCATTTAATGGTAGAGCTTGTTTTTGAGTATCTCTCTCTCTCTATCTGTGTTTGTGCCACAACAAATTGGCAGCAGTTGCAGTTGCAGTTGCAGTCGCAGTCGCTGCTTCAGTCGACGCTGCCGTTGCGCTGCACTGCACAAAGTGTGAGGGGCATCCGCCCCTTTTAATCTACCCCCCTTTCCGCCCACTAATTAATGTGTTTTGTGCACCTGTTTTGTGGCAGCGGATTTTGTATCTGTCAAAATAGAACAAGCAGCGAGATGGAGGCATTTGGCGGTGTTTGCATTGCCAACGCACCTCCAGCAAGGTTCTTAACTTATATAGTTGGTTTGAAATAAAAAATAAACAACAAATTAGTGAGTAAGGTTGGTAAAAATACAAAATGTAAGATAGAAATATAATATCCTTATAATTTCACTGTTAATGCGGTGTAATTGTAATCAAATATTGTCTAAAAAATGCGAAAATTTCAACTTTTAAAGGGAAAACTCTAACGAGGTAAATGATAATGTTATTGCTTGTTTAATTCGGTTATTAAATTACCTAAAAAATTATATAAATATTTGTTATTGCTTGAGCAATAGTACAGGTAAAAGTGCACTAAAAACTTGGATCATTTAAAAACTTCTAATATTTAGACTTTACTACCTAAATATTAACATGTAGCTTTGCCTTAATACATGACAGCAATTAAATCATTTGTTTAACTATGCACAGTCACTAAACATGTTTAATTCCCTGAGAATCGCTCTCAAGTGACTTGGAAAATCAACTATGCAATTATATATCTTCACTAAGCGGAAGGCAAAGGCAAAGGCCCCTCTCAACCACCGAACCTTCAACGAGCACTCTTCCCCAGCTGGCTGCTTTCATCTATTTTATGAAATTATGCATTTAAATGTATGATAATCATTTCGCTTGGGCACACAGGGAAGCATTATATATATATATATATATATATCTATTTTTTTTCTTTATATTTTTTAATTTTATTCGATGTTACTCACCCCTCGCCGCCGAAGGCTTTCAGTTCGCGGTTCAAGGTGGCCTTCACGTTCTCCTGGGAATAGAGGCCCATGGGCGAGTTGAACTGCTTGTGCACCAGCTTCCGTTGTAGGGCGGCCATTATATATATATATATATTTGAGATATATATATCAAGAACTGCTTCTTCCTGCCGATTCAAGTTGCTCCTTTCAAATGCTTTACTTCGTTTACTCCTTGGCTGACTTTTGTTTGCCTCGCAGCTCACTTCGGATGTCTTCGAAAGTTTTTTCAAAAAGAAATATTGTTGATAAAAAATATTTTTGAAAATTTCCAACTCGTCTTAGTTCCGCTTATCGGTGTTCTTTTGCTTGTTCTTGCTGGCGGTATATGTGGGTTGGTGTTTTGCAAAAAAGAATCCTAAGCACTTTCCCCTACTTCAGTTGGTCTTAATGTTAATCGTTAATTGTCGGTCGTTGTTCGTTCTGTAAATGAAATGCATAACAAAACTGAATGAGATAATGGGGAAATTGAGGGTTTAATTTGAGAAGTAGCGATTGAGAATAATGCGATTAAGTTTCACAGGCAGGCTTTTATGATTCTTTGCCTTGCTAGTGTAAGCTAGTCAAGAGGGAAATTAGTAATTAACTTAAGTTCTCTCCTAATGAAATTAGGCTAGTAATGGCTACTTAAAAGCTTGTTATTGTTTGCTATAGAAACTATTTTGGCAATAAGGGTTGGTTTTTTCAGGTTCTTATAAAGTTTTAAAAATGTTTTCATCTTTAAAACGCTTTTTTTAATGTAATAATAAAATGATATTAAATCATTTCCCTTCCTTTTTTAACCAATCACAATCACGATTCACACATTTTCCATTAACAGGAATATTGATTAACATTTTAACACCTAATTAAAAACCTGCATGTGTAATTTCCCATTACAAATGGCTTATAAAATGATTTGCTTTTATACAGGGATCACATTTTATTGGATATTTCTGTTAGCCTTGTATAACATATCGCTATATTCCTCAGATATATATTTATATATATATATAGAAATCTAAATATAAAGACTAAACAAAAACTGGGAGACTCGTAAAAGTTTTCAAACAAGAGCCAAATAATTTAAGAAATTTTTCCAGCAGCCCGAAACATGCGAAACACTTCAATGTCAACGATCTATATATAACACTTTCTGGCCATCGAAATCAAACTATAGATATGTACATATAGACTTTTTGTATATTATTTTATAAGACTTTCAATTGATTCAGTTAGAATGCACAGCTGTTGGTAACAAATTATATCGTGGATATAGTATTTATTTTTCCAATTTCCTGAGACACTCACTCACTACTGTCACATTTAGAAATGTATCTCAAACTAATTTGAGCACTGGCTGGCTGGGCAAAACAAAAAGAAAGATAAATAATATATATAGAAAAAAATGTTCAGACGATTTTGTTTGTCTTGCTATTTGTGCGTTTGGCCTAAAAATAGTGCCAAAGACAGCGGCAAAATATTGAAATGTGCTCAATTTTTGTATTTTCGCCACACTCATATTTTCCACACACACACACTGAGACTCTCACAATGTCTCTATTTTGAAATTCCCGCCTTGTGTGTCACCTCAAATAAAATTAGCAGCTGTGAGGAAAAGATACTATTATTTAGATTTGCGTCATTTCATGAAGAAATTCAAAAAAAAAAAGAAATGAGAAAAACTTATGAAAATCTGTTGGGGGGGTATTGGTATGGGTAAATGGAAAATGCAATAAAAGATACTTGAAATAATCGTAATGAAGTATTTTTGTGTTTGCTCGCATTTAATTGCTGCCGTGCTGCTGCGGCTGCTGTTGCTGCTACTGTTGCTGTTGCTGCTGCTGCTGCTACTGTTGCTGCTGTGCAGCTGCCACAGCTGCTGCCCCCGTAAGCACGCAATATTCTGACTGGGCCAACGGAAGCGGACCAAGAATCGCACAAATTAATCAACATTTAATAAAATATTATGCAAATTGCACACAAAAGGCAGGAAGGCAGAGGCATATAGAGAGCCAGCAGCAACAAGAGCTTGCCACTTGATGTCCCAATTAAAGTTTAACACACAAAACTCATACAAGCACATACCTACACCCTCATACAGTAGCACAAAAACACACACACCCACACACATAGATACATACAAACAGGTGCGTGCTGCACTGTGTGTACTTAGCACACGAATTGTAAGGGAATTTGCATAAAAAATTCTCGCAAAAATAATGTTTCAAAAAAAAAAGAGCAAAATGAGCGTGAATGAAACGAGAAAGAGAGAGAGAGAATGGGTGGGTGTATGGGTGGATGGGTGTAACCATACCATAAACATAACCCATACGCCATGTGGCAGCAACTCTTTCAATACTCTTTCCCTTCGAAACAAATTACCAGCCCCGAGGACATGTGTACATTCAAATTAAAACAGAGTTGCAAAGTCAAGAGTTTTCCACTTCATTTGTTTTAACAATTTGTTTCGTGCTTTCGCCATGGCAGAGGGAAAATCTGTATAAAAAAAATATATATATATGCTCAATGTTTATTTTAAAAATCATTTTTTACCTTAGCAACAACAGTCAATCAACCAATATGTCACCCAGCATCGCCTTGAGCCAAATTTCAAAATAATATTTCTCTGCAATTACTCAATATGTTTTGGTTCTTAACAAAAATATTTCAAAGAGACATCTCTGTCAGCTTTGGGCAGCAGGTGAAATATTAGATTTAAATTAAGTTATAAATCATTTTTATTGTCTTGATTTTGCAAAGAGAAATTAGGCATTTTATATGCATTTTATTACACGTCTTATCTAGCATGTAAGGAAATTTACTTTTTCTACTTTATTTGGATTTTATTTTTAGTTTCTAAGGAATTTTAATGTTTACCTAAGCTTTTAGGTTAGTTAGTAACAACTTTAGCTCTACAAAACTGTAAGTTTAAAGAGAACTTTCATTCAGTTTATTTTACTGATTAATTCCTGGCAATACATCTCCTATATACCATCCATTTCTTCTCCCCAGAGTTCTCCGAAAAGCCATTAAATACTATATTTAAATGTATATGGTCAGGTGAGAGTATGACGTCTTCCCCATAACCTAATTAACATTTCTCCTCTGTTCATTTTTCAGTGTCTTTATTTTGGCATCGACATCATTATCATCGCTGGCATAGCCATCGGTTCGACTCCATGGCATGTGTGTGTGTGGGTGGGTGTGTCTTTTTCACAGTGCTATATAAACTATAATCGTGGCTAAGTGTGCAAGAGTGTGTGTACGATTATGTAGGTGTATATATATGTATGTATGTGATGCTTTTTGGCACACACACACACACACATATGCATTGGAATCAGGTGCAAATATTGTTAGATTTGCGTAGAGACGAGTCGAGACGAGGCATTTCAGAAATCTGGGTGTCGACGCATATGCGGATCTCATGGATTGCGCATCCCAAAAACCAGAAACTAGATGAAAGCAGTTGATTTTGCCAGCCATGTTTTTGCTGATTTAATTATTAAAATTCAGCATTGTGCAATGGCAGCTCTCGTTTTTGTGTTGAATTGCTTGAATATTTCATTTTGGCCACTACACAAAAACAAAAATATTTAATTAAACGATGTGCCATTTTAGGCAGCTAAAATTGAATAGCTAAGGAATTTGATCAAGCGGAAAGAGTGTTTAGTAATTGAATGGGGGAAAAAACTGATTTGTATTTTAAAATTTCAAACTAAATTTTTGAGAAGAAAAGAGCCTTGTTAAGGGGTAACTTATTGTAGAAGAATTCTTCTATAATTTATTCCTTGTTTATCACATTTCTCAAAATCCCACATCTTTGTGTATAATTATATCAAAAACACATTATTTTATATATTTTTAAAGAAATATTTCTGTTTTTTTAACACATATTCATCAAAAGCAATAAATCAAAATTTATTTTAAGCGAACATTAAAATCTGAATCTTGGCCAACATAGCGAATGTTCCTGCATAAATTAGCTTAAAAACTTGATGGAAATTCGGGCTAATTTGTTTTCGGTGCAAGCCACTTGTTTTCGGTTTAGAAAGTGGGTGATGGGCGTTGCACTTAAGCACACTAATATTCACCAAATAAACACACACACGCACACACTGTGTGGCTTAAGTATAAACACACACACGGACACACATTTGTACACTTAGGGAAAATACGTATTTATTTGTTTTAATGTGGGTGCTTACCGTCTGTTACAATTTGGCGCTGCTTAATCCAAAAATAACGCCAACCAATTGCGAAAGTTCTGCTCCAGAATGCTGCCTCACCCCATCACGCCCCCTTTTGACCGAGCCCCCTCCTCACCCAGCTGCACTCTTTCTTATTGCACTTTCACCACCCTCCACCCATCGCCTAACACTCCTCTTTCTTTCAAAATGGGAGTATGTGTGGGTGAGTATGAGTGTGAGTATGGGGGGGATTTCGGGGGATTTTGGTTTTTGAAGGAGCGCGAAAGCGAACGCGTCCGCCGAGAACCGGCGTTTTGTAAGCGCACCATCGGCCAACTGAAACTGAAAATGAAAATGAAACACCAAATAGCAGCAAATAGCAAACAGAAGCGAAGCAGCGGCACAAACGCTAAACTTTACGCAATGATCATCGGCGGTGGCGGCGCCTTTTGCTTTTGTTTTTGTTTTTATTGTATTTCGTTTCATCAGTCTACATTTTCACATCTTTGGCACCGCCGTGGAAGAGGAAGACAGCGGGCAGCAGCAGTAGCAGTAGCAGCAGCAGCAGCAGCGGATCGCAGGAATGTATCTGTATCTGCGGGCAAACGAATGCGTGGTCTCAGATAGAATATGCCACACTGGCGGGCATTAAAAAGTGCAATGCAAAGGGATATCTGATTTTTGAGTTAGAACAAGAAAGTAAGTAAGTGTTTTGTGAGAGCAATGAGTTATGTGTGGGATATCTCCCAGTAAGTTCGAAGAAATATAAGGCAAGCTTTTTATCAAAAATGTTTCACTAAAACAAATGCATTTGTAAATTTGTATAAAGAGAACATGATTTATTCAGACAAAAAGAATTATAAGAACAGCTAAATAAAGTCAATAATTTCTAGACAAAAAACAGCAAAACTCTGCAGACTTATTGATACATTTTGCAGGCAGAAAACGAGAGTTCAATTAATTAAAATGATTTATATGCAAAAGACGAACCGCTTACGCACTTGCACATATTGGATGAGTGACTTTTATTACCTAATTAACAAGAACGATGGCATTAAATTAAAATACATTGAAGAGCATTTGGCAGGTATTCAAAAACGAAAGCAGAATCATCGCCTTGATGGGCAAATCATTGACTTGAATTCAAAATTCAAGAGTGCAGGCAAAGCGGATTAAAATGTTCAAAAGCAAGGCAATGGAATGATGAATATTGTGTCTGAAACACCCACATTTCCTAAGGAGTGATTCACGGGGTGGGACTATTTATCGACCCGCCACTGTTAGTTTGCCACATATTTAGACGGATTTTCCTTCCTTTGCCCCCACCCCACTGAACCGCTAGCAAGAACAACAAATACATCGACGAGTAGTTTCAGAAGAAAAGAGAGCAGCAGCAGTAGGAATAAAAAATTAGGAATTATATATAAAAAATATTCGGTTGCCGTCGATGAGCGACAAGATGGAGACAGCGGCAGCGAAAGATGGATAGATACTTTTGTATCTATAGATATAGATTGTATATGCAGGTCTTATGGCTATGGCTATGGCCCGACTATTACAGCACTTTTACTGCCGCTCCCCAGCACGTCTCTAATATTCTATTTTTGAGTGTAGTTCTTGGTTTTTATTTTTTTTTTTTTAATTTTATTTATTTGATTTTCTTTTTTGGCTTTCCACATCCTAGCCATCGATGTCACACACACACACACGCACAACAATTTTCCCCTTGGCTTTTCATTTGGGAAGCAATTTTCCCCCGCACGAAAATAGCAGCAAAAGAGTCCATATAGAAATCGACGGGAAAATCGGGAAGAAATACGCTTAAAATGTCATTTAATTGTTTCACTTGCAGTTAAATGTTTTTTCAGTTTTTCTGCGTTTTTTATTTATATTTTTTTTATTTGCAGTTTTTCAGTTTTCAGTTTTTGGTTTTGGGCTTTTTGGCTTTTTGGTTTCCTCGCGGTTGAAGTTGATTTCGTTTGCCAGCCGTAAAGGCTTCACTTTTTAATTGTGCTTTAAATGCTAATTAGCTTTTGTGTGTGCTGGATGCAAACTCTACACGCGAACACACAAATATATATAATATATATATATATATTTAAGTATATATATTTATCGGTTGGTTTTCCTTTAATGCATTTTATTTAATTAATTTTTGATGGCTCGCTTTCGCGGCTGGGAGTTTTTCATATATTTTTGTTGCCACTATTTGCTGGTGACACATTTTCTGGCATTTATTTTTGGTTTTTGGTGGCGCCTCGCGTGTGTGCAGTCCACAAATTACACTATGCCCCCCAAAACACATATCGAAATGCACCTGTCGCTGATGCACTGGTGTACTGGTGTACTGGTGATGCACCGTGTTTTTTTTTTTGGAACTAGGGTACTCAGAACTCGGAGCTCTCGGCTGGCTGATGTGGTGACCACGTTCGCGACCACGGTGCGAATTATTATTGTTACTCGCCGCTCAACGAAAGTCGATGAGGCTGCTGCTGCTGCTGCTGTCCGACGACGGAAAAGTTCGCGAAAGCAGCAAAAGTTGCTCTTGCTCTAGTTGCTTTTTTATATTTCCATGGAAAATGTGTGATGATGACACCCCCTCGAGCATGTGTATGTGGTCTACCTTACCCTCCCCCTTTAAAAAAAAAAAACAAAAATTTACACCCACTCATAGCTGATTATAAATTAGCCTCGGCCACTGGGCTAATCACATTTTCCTCTGTTCTACTCTCTAATACCCCAAAAAACAAGAACCACTTCAAGCCAAGAAGCTCGAAAAGCGATAAATATTCAGCACATACACACACACGCTGGTCTGTGTGCTAAACCACCTAATTAACAAGACAACAACGATTCGATATATGTACTATATTTCTCCACCTATTCCAACACACACCCATACGTATGAATATATATAGAGGTATTCCATTTTTATATGCATGTTTTTCTAAATATTGAACATTTATTTTTGGATTTTTGGAAAGCCATTGAAAACAGTTCTTATGCCCTGCCAAAACAACAGGTCATACTGGCTAGTCGCAATTTTTGGTTATTTAAGCTTCGCATTTTTTCATAGCATACTTTTGGCAGCACAAGCTGGGCTTAGATTGGATTTCTATTTGCAGTTGATTGAAGCAAAACCACACACAATTGAAATTTCCTACATGGAAAGAAAAGTCTAAGGTAATGATTTCGAATTTTAGAAATAAAATCATGTTTTTTATGATTTTTAGACTTTTACTACTAACCAAATCAGGCAATATATAGGATTTATATGAGATCTGTGGTTTAAGACATTTCTTATTTCAATATTAATCATATTTTGAATTAATTTTAAATTTAATATGATAACTAGAAGTTCTCATCAGTTATTACTCAGCAATTAATACATTTTCCCTAAGTGTGATATTCGAGTATGGCATTAGACAGGCGTCTATGTCTATTGGCACACGTTTCGATATTTGTTCGTTATCCCGCCCATTGTTTGCGGTTCGAGTATTTTTAGTTTTCATCTGCTTATATTTTTGGAAAATTCGTTTTGCCATCAGGAACAGAATCAACAACTTAGCGCTGTTATTTTGTTGTGCACTTTGCAAATTCACAAGTTCATGTGCTTTCGGTTCGCTCAAGCACAACAATTAGTGCATTCAATGTATTCTCGCCATCGCTCAACTGCGCTCTCACCTGTCCCTCCCCTCAGACCCTTGTTAACCTACTCTGCAACCTGTCAGCGAAATTTAACCCATGCACAAAAAGCTCCGCTGCAGAGCACCTGACAGGCAACTAAGCTGCCTGTATTTCACGCTAGAAAGCCAACAAAAAATAATATGTTTAATGTTTGTGAATGATTAATGGCACATTAGAATTGAAATTGTTTTTGGCCGCGGCAGCACTACCAGCAGCGGCAGAGGAATCCGATTCTGAATCCGAATCCGAATCCGTATCCAAACCCGAGCGAATCCAAAGCGCAGCGAAGCAGTGTATACATTGCTATAATGTGCAAATATTTATATCCCCCTCCTATATGGTATGTGCTCTTGGCTGCTGCTGCTACTGCTGCTACCTGAGTGGAACAGGTGAGTGTTTATAATGTATCGCATATGCATGGCCAAGTGCGGAAAAGAGGCAAAAACCATACAGAAGATACACAGAAAAGCGAGTGAGTATGTGCCCATATAATATAGTGCCTATACACAGAGAACAAAATTAATATTCATTAATCATATTAACTAAAAAGTATACAATTTTTCCCTGAGAAATACTAACTGCTTCCTTAAGAGGCTATCTGAAACGATGCTAAAGCCCACAAGAAGAATGTCCCCTTATCGCCTTTTAAAATGTTATTTCTATATTGTTTAGCAGTCTCTTCAAATCGTATACAAAATATCGTTTTATTTAAGAAAGCTTTATATTATTCGCATGCCATTTATTATAGGTCTTTTGGGATTTGAGTTTTGTTTGGTGTACCCAGTGAACCATACCTTGTGATACCATTTTCCCATGTATTTGCTTAGTCGTGTGTATTATTTCGGCTGCCAAGTTCCGTGCGGCTGTGTATGTCCTTGGGGGCACCCGATGCGTTATGATGGAAGATGGAAGATGGAAGAGCAGTCCCCCAGCCGTTGCTGGCAAACCCCAATTCAAGTTAAAATCCAAACGAACTTTGCCAAATTGCAAAAGCCACAAAACCAAAACATTTCGTCGCCTGCTGTTGAAGTTCCTTCGAGTTGCCTCTAAGAGTGGCAAGAATGGCAAAGGAGGACTAGGAGATGCCTCAAGAAAGGCACAAAGATATACCCCCGATATACATCCCCGGACGCCCCTTCCAAAACACACACACACATACACTCAAACTGGCTTCCCAAAAAGAGTTGGCAGAATTTCTTAATAAACTTTAATGACTGCGGGTGTCCCGGCATGTGTTTGTCACTTTGGCTCAGGGTGCAAGTGCAACTTTGATGGACTCCGGTTACCTGTGGACTTGCTCCGCCACTGCCATCGTCTCATTGTTGCCAGCTTGGGTCTTTTCTAGCCACAACTGGCTGCTCTCCAGGGTCGAAACAACAAACTGTTTAATTTGGCAGCTGCCTGAGGTATGCTGATGTATTCCAAAGTACTTATATTAGCTACACTTTTAGGAAAAAGGTTCAAGGGACTTGATTTACTGTTGAAAGAGAAAGAAGGAAAAATGAAAATTATATTTCATGAAATATTCCTAAATATTATCTTTAGCTATTTAACAAATATCAAATAAAATAACTGCCAATAAATTTTCATAATTTGCGGCTTAACCCTTTGTAAATAAAATGCCAACTACATCACATTATTTATTAGCAAATATTCCCTTTATCCCCATATAAACGCATTTAATTCGCATGAAAATAAATAAGAAAAGCTGCGTTTGATATTGTCATAAATCCAATAAATAGTTAAGTGCTTTAGCCTGTTTCAGACCTGACCTGAGTCGGTTTTAGATACTTTTGCTTGCCATATTATCGCAACAATTAAGAAATATTAAACATGAGAGATAAATGTGGGGTTGTTAGATGCAATAATTATACATCTGAGATAAATTTAAAAGTGATTAATATCTTTCCATTTAATTTCTGTTGTAGAATTAAAAGTTAAGCTAAGTGTAAGCAAAAGGTAAAAAAGGTAAGGCCTTCCCTTAACATAGATATTTAATATATATCTGTTTTAGGCCAATTAATGTGATTTTATAAATAACTCCAATTATTTCGAAATATCCGTTTGCAGGTGGCACCACTCTAGGACCCATCCGGTGGCACCTCGAATTCTGCAACGACTTGTCGACCGACTACTTTAGCCTCCCTGCGGACGTTTGGGAAAACTTGAGAAACTGCCAAGCCAAGTGCCGCTTCCTCGAAGATGGCCGTTTCAATTTCGCCTATAATTTACTTGACCATCACGTACCGAGGTGGGTGGTTAGAGTGTAGGGGGTTGTATTCCGGTTGGTAAGACCATGCAACTAGCTAGTGGAGGTCGTTGGGGTGGCGGCCGCTCATGCATTACTTATGAAACGACTATGGTCCGATACAAGGTATCTTAGTTGCCATTGGCGGCATGTTCTCAGATACCAAATTGGAAACATCCCAATCAAATTCAAATCAGAAAGGCATTCATTTGCATGCGGATTGACTTTCGAGATAGATATGCCTATCTATTATGCATATAATTGCACTGGGATATCCATCTTTCGACGCCAAATGGGAAAACTAAGTTGGTTACCAAGAGTGAAAATCGCCGTGGGAGAGCTGCTTAAATTTTCTTTAACGACTTTGCTATGCACCTTTATGGAACTTTTGGGAACTATGTGACCTGCCCAAACTTTGTAAATGGCGTGGAAATGTTTGAATGTAAGCTGCCTTTTGACTTTAGCAGTTGTTTTCCGTTACGAGTTGAGATATTAAGATTTCCAATAACAATAAACAATACAGGAAGGAGCTTTACAGCCTTCAGTCAATATGATAGTACATCTACTTTGAAAAAATTACAAAACTTAAGAAGAAAAAACTCTGCAAGTTATGGAAAAGTATTTCTGCTTAGAAACTATGCAAAACTAATGTCAAGCCTGAACTTGTCATTGGGATTTTAGCCCAAAAATGAATTTTCACGATAGTAAACTTAAAAATCGATCTGCAAAAATATGAAAATAAATCATTTTATTGCTTAAAAATTATTTAACATCGTAATTTGCATATCTTCTTATGGTTCTTCCACTAACTTACCACTTTTGTTTCCAATAAATCAATTTGCAACTCAAAAAGCTTTCAACAACCCATTCTTTCTGGGAAATCAATTTATCCACCATAAATACTTGATGATTTCCGGTGAATTTACGGCGAAATGGCATTTTGGAATACCCCTGGAACAGCTTCTCTCATCCATATGCATGCTGGCTCCACCATAGTGAGACAAACATCCATGACTCCTTCGACTTGGCCAGGCCATTGGCAATGACTTTTTTATACGACTGCGATGCGGTTTTCGTCGTTTAATGGTCTGGGCCATAAAAAAGGAAGCCGGAACCTTTCTTACATACAACCCCTCCACCTTAGCAGCATCTGCAATCGTTTTTATTTAACTGCTGACTTGTTTGCGCAAATTAACACATTTATTTACACCACAATTTGTTGCTTAAATATTTATTGAAAGCGGTGACGAAACGGAGACGAAGCGGAGACGAAGTGGAGACTTAGTGGAGACATAGCGGAGACGAAGCGGAGACGTAGCGGATACGTAGCGGCTACGTATCGGAAACGTAGCGGAGACGAAGCAGACACCATTGGAAAACAAATTGACCAAGGGCAGTAACGTTAAGATTAACATTAAAAATTTTTCGTTTATTTCATATACAATAAGTACATCCAGATAAACATATACATATACATATACATATCCAAGTCCATACAATACACATATACATTAAGGGCATATACACATATATCCGTGAATACACATGCAGAGACGATTCTTTGTAATCATATCACACACATAAACGATATGGCACGCATACTGGCCCATATGCAGCATAATTGAGAGTAAATTAGCGCTATACTTGTATATAGGAATTGCTCAGCCCGCACGGCTTTCTCTTTGCTTGTTTTTTCGCTCTCACATTCCTATTTCCATTACTATCTAGTAGCCCATCGCTACACTCAGAGAAATTATACTGAACTTACAAAAAATAATATATTAAAAATTATTTGTAATATTATTATCATATTCTAAATCTATTATCGGTAAGGATTAAAAATGGAAAAAAATTAAAAAAAATAAAAATTTGTAAATTATTTTAAAATTTTGTAGTGTAGTCTGAAAAGCTTAGTAATCAGATTACAGTTAATATCTTCTTAAAATTTCAACAAAAAAGATGTTCTTTTAAAATCCAACCCCATTCGAGCTAACGGTATTCTGTAATTTCCTTATAATTTCCGACTCCTTTATTTTTCTGAGTGCCTGCGGAGCCTGGGGCTCATCCCCACATTGATATGGTTCCGCTTAAGCGAGAACGCTTAAATTCGCTGGATGTGGCAATTGTTGCATCGCCCGGCCTCGAACCACCACCACCACCGCGGCCCCGTGAGCAGGCCATAAAAAACGCCAAGCACGCCGAGCAGCCAGCTCCAGGATGTGGGCAAACGGTTAGCGGGGGCGTGTCCGTGCATCGCCAGCTGCTCCTTCTCCAGGCAGAGCCGGAACTCATCGTAGTCCAGGCGCGTGATGGCGCAGTAATGATTGAGCATGCAGAGGCCGGGGCACTCTGACCCGGAATGATATCGCACAGCGTTGGCTCGGTGGTACCTAAAGGGGGAAAACGTGGAAAAACCATGAAAAAAATAGCACTGAGTTGAGAGTATGGGTGTCATTTGGAATCCCTGTTTGCTTTAGCCTGTATCGCCGGCCAGTCGGGCTTTCATAAATGCTCTTAGCCGGCCCGCTATCTCCCATTTTGATTTACATATTGCAACACCTCTTGGTTTGGGTTGAAAGCGTTCGACGATGGCCTGATTGAAGGAGACTACCTGTGGCCATCCTCTTAAATTCTACTCTAAAAAACGAATTCCCAGTTAAGCTCTTCAGTCCTGTGGATTGCTTATAAGTTCGATGATTGAGAGCGTTTATACTCCACGGGAATGTGAAAGGTTCATTGAAATTAATTTATTGAAAGTTACTTTCAGTTTGAAGCTTTTCCTTTTACAATCACTTTGTTGTATTTTTCTTTGCGTTTAAAGTTAATCCTTTAAACTTAATCCAAACGTTTGCCTAGCGGATACATACTGTACAATGTTCGTTCATATAAATTAAAAACAGAAATTACTTTAATCATTTCTTAAATTGCAAAAAAAACAGAAACTCAATCAACTTCCTAGATAAAAAGAAATTTCATTTAAAAAGCAGTTTCTCTTTGTTCTTATGTAAGGAAAGAAAATCCGGGAAATTAACAATGAAATGCCCAATTAGTTGTGATGAAAATTATAAATGGATTCGCAATCGTTAAGTTTTTCATCGGATTTTCAATTTTTCAAACGGATTTATCGAATAGCACAGCTGGCTAAGGAAAAAAGTGGGAACACTTTTTGCCAGTGGGCCTTGTAAAGTGAGAACTGGACTTTAAAGGGGTAAAGGGTTACGAAAAAATACAAAAGAGGTTAACGTTTTTTAAAGACATAAAAACGGCCTAAAGGCTTTATGGAAATTAAATGATTTTTATGATTTAAATAAATATTTTTTCTGCCATAATAATAAAAATAATAAAAAATGCATTTCAAGACCGCAAAGGAAGGTCGTTTTCAGTATTGTTAATTAAATGAAAACTGATTAAAGACAAGTAAAAATGCATTCCCCTTTATTCCTTAAAAGTTGTGTGTGTTTAAAAGATATAAAGATTTTAAGCCCGTAGCTAACATTACGCACTGCAAACATTATTCCCCAACATAAATGTCTTTTTCACAAGAAAACCTATCTGTGGGGTCCAAGGATTACCGGTTAGATCCATCAACATGGACATAATTCGCCCCTAACCATTTACCTGATGAACGATGAAGGGTCGGTGCCCGTGAAGCGTTCAGCGAAATTGTGCAGAGCTCCGGCGGATATCTCCGTGAGGGCATAGTAGTGCGTCAGGTTGTACTCCGATTGCCAGGTGGGCTCGTTGGCCCGGTTGGCCAATGGCAGATCTAGCCAGAACTGTGTGTAGTCCAGCACCTGGCCACTTCCCGTGTCGAACTTATAGAGCCGCAGGGCGGGATTATTCGATGAGCCGATTCCCGCCTTGCGGGGCACTATCGATGGGGCAATCATCAGCCATGAAATGGGATTGCCTGCCAGCGGAAATAAATGTTAGTTGTATACAAAATTTAAGGCACAACTTTTTCTCCATCGGCCAAAAACAACTGTGATTTTTCCGAATACGAGAAAATGTTTGTTTTTAACAGTGAATGAAAAATTTCTTTAAAAATGTATAAAAGAAAAGGGAATAAGGAAAGTTAGATGGCTGGCAAAATTACTTGTAAAGAAGATGAGAGGATAATACTAAACCTTTGGCATCGTAGATGAGACGGAAGGTGTCCGAGTGAAGGTGTCCAAAGAACTGACCCTGGATTACCGGAGCAAATCGACGGACCATCTCCAGATAACGCTGGTTGTTGCGTTCGGTGAATGTCAACTGATTATGCTGAGAGCCCAGATGACGTTCATCAACGCCCGGCGGCATGTGACCCACAATATAGACCTGGGGACAAGAGTCAACAGAGATTCGGTTCATTTAATCCAACTGGTGAATAAAATGAAATCAATTCCTGCCTGCTGGAAATTAAATATTATAATTAATCAAAAAGGGCAGCCTGCTATCCGATTGGCTTTCCGCTGGCATGTGATAGCCGCCGGTAGGTAAGGAAATAAAAATATTCAATATTTGCATATGAAAAATCCGTTTTAATATCTCGTTAATTTCAGGAAAATGTTGTTGGCTTTGCCAGAGCAGCAAACATTAAGTTATTGTTTAATATTTTTGAATAAAATTTAATTAATAGATGCAAAGTTAAATACCGCAATTTACTTTGTAATTGAGTTAAGTTGCAATATTCGTAATAATAATCAATGTCGGAAACGGACTTTAAAAAGAAAAATAAGTAATATGATTAATTATAATGATTTCTGTTTTAAAATATATCAATAATAATTTTTGTAACTTTTCCTACCGTTTCCTGTTTCTCCTTGGACTTGGTTAGCACCTCCTCCAGCCAGAGCCACTGTTGCTCCGCCAGCAGTTCATCCTCGGCAGAAATGGAGCTGACCGATGCCTTCGGCTCTGCGAAGTAGTCCGCTGGCCATCTCAAACTCAACGATGCCCTGGGATCCGGATCGGGATCGAGTCGCATAAAATTCGTGTTTAGAGCTACGATTCGCAGACGACTCTTGGTCTGCTCGATGGAGTAGTAACCACCCTGATCAAAGGTCACCAAGGCCTCTGAAGGTAGCCAATGACGCCACAATTCCCCCAATCTGCGATAGCTGCCACTGCCATCTTCGTGGCCCAAAACTGGAAATATAAACTGCGATGAGAAGCTGCGTCCTAGCAGTTCTGTGATATTTCGCAGGATCTCGTGTTGCTTTTGCTCGGAAAAGGGTTGGGCGGAATGTGAGAGGGCATCTCCTGTCCACAGGACAAACTCCACATTGTCGCCTTGCTTGGCCTTCATGGCCTTCACTGCGGATTCGATGAGGCTCCATGGACTATCGCAGTTGTAGTGGCCAAAGGGCCCAGGCGCCTCTGTTGCCGCATTATTGGCGTTGGAACTGGAAACCGATCGAGCCAACTCCCAACAGCTTCTGTAGATGTCGCCCTGCGTGGAGTACAAAGTGTCCAGGTGTAGGTCACTGATGTGCCAGAAATAGCCTGTAACGGGAGTGAGTTTGATGTTATGTAATAAACTTTAAGAGATATATCTTTCTATTGATAATCATAATATACCAGAAAGATGAATAATTTTATTTACAAAAATACCAAACAGCTAGCCAATTTTGTGTGTATTTCTCTTTCGTGAAGTAAGGATCTGAGATTAGATTTTAACTTTGGCTAAGTCGGGCAATTCCTGGCCGGGAAAGGCCATTCCCCCGGCATTTGCCCGCCGGCTGTCCGAGCGACAAGAATAAGAAAAACCTGGTAGTCTGTCAGATTTCCCTGCAGCTGAATGGTTGACTGACCTAAAGTCAGCTTCTTCTGCTGTCTACCTGGCCAAGTCGCAAAGAACGTCACTCAATTAGCGAGGCAACATTTTAAGCGCTGGCCAGTGTCAGAAATCAGTTTCATTTGGCATGCCCATCGATCGGTTTGCCAAGATCAAGCGCAGGAGAAGTTCGAAATAGGATCTAATACCAGAAATATTGGCGGCATACCTTTTATGCCCGGTGAGAGCACGGACGGAGGAGTTAAAGATCGAGCAGGATGAGCCTGATCAAATTGGGTCTGGCCCTGCTGCTCCTGGTAGTCACCGTGTCGCAGTTGCTGCAGCCAGTCCAGGCACGCAGCAGGGTGTGCGGCGAGTCCTTGATTAGGGAACTGGAATCGATTTGTCGTAATGGCTTTGCACGCAGGCTCAGGCGGAGCACTGGTAAGTGGAAAGTTCTTAACCTCATTTTGGTGGACACCTAACACCCTTTTTTGTCCAAAGTGCCGAAGGATAGAGTGCGAACCCTTCTCCGTAAGCTCCAGCGACCTGAAGAGGATTCGGAAACGGAAAGGGAAAGGGAAACGGAAATGGCTAAGAAGCCACCGGTTGAGGGAAGAGGACGCAGGTTGAAACGTCATCGGCGCCGCATTGCCCACGAGTGTTGCAAGGAGGGCTGCACCTATGAGGATATGTTGGACTACTGCGCCTGATGACCAGATACTAGAGACCAATTACCAGATCCCAGATGATGATCCGACATGGCTGAGTTTTTGTGGCGGCAGGGGGCAGATTGGCACGATTGGACAATACCCAGAGGCACCCGAAAGGCAGGCTTTTTGCAATTCATTTTCCTACACTTAACCCTAACTATAAACGTAATCGTACTCCCAAATATTTCATTGTAAAATTCCTAGTGGAAGCAAATAAAGTTAATCTCCAAGCAGCAGCAGCAACAAAAAATAAAAAGATTCTTGCCTCTTTTTTTGGCCCGTCGGGATTCCAGCTGTGCGGCTCGGGAAATCCCCGACCCATCAGCACCCCAAAAGAAGAAACCACCAAACACCCACAGGCAGCTGCCTGCCATTCAGCACCTTCAGTGCGGTGCCCTTGTTTTCCGAGAACAATAATGAAAATTATGAATTTTTAATTAGATGACGTTCTGATTTTAATAAGCAAAACAAAGGTGCGAGCAGAACGAACGGGGAATACCCTCAGTTTTCAGTTTCATTTTTGCCCTTTTTTCATTATCGAAAGTTAAAAACAAGCAAACAACTTCCAATCAGCAGCGGGGGTTTTTCCCACTGATAAGATACAATTTAACCAAAGATTTGCAGTGATAATAATTCAGGGATTACAGGTAAAATTCTACCTGGTTTTGCCGGCTCAAGTCGGCTTATCACATTCAGAGGGACTTTGGAAAGCCATAAAGTAGCCAGGACAATGAGATAACTGAAGCGGCGTTTGAATTGTTTTCCAGTCAAAAGCAATTGAATAAGTTAGCTCTTGTTTTCATTTAAATGGGAAAATGCGAAAATGCGAGAATGACGACTCACTTTCAGTGGCCGTAAAAGTGGTTATTAAAATGAGACAGTTTTGGTTTTTATTTCACGATTTTAAGCCATTTCCAATGTACCATAATTCTGAATATATTTTGTAATTACATTTTTAATTACAAAAGGAAGTACAATTATTTAAATATTTTCATGCTGGAAAACATGTAGAAAGTTTCTCTGCTTATTGAATTTTTGTCGTTGGCTTTTCTGACAAACATTTTGTGAAGTTTGAATATTTGTTTTTAGGAAATGTTAATCAAACTTTAAGGACCACAAATTGCCAAGTTTACATTTTAATATTCATAAACCCAGTTAAGCCACTGAAATTGAACTTTATGAGGTTTTTTGTGCTTAAAGTTTCTCAACTCAAGATGATTTACTGGCTCGGCGAGCCAAAAATTGCTGAACACCCTGGTCATGCCGAAGGGAACTCGATGCACGTCATCTTGTTTTCCAGCAATCAAGATTCCTGCGTTACTTCTTGGCTGGGAACGTAAACAAACGTCAGCTGATATGCGTGAAACCCTCTGACCCTCCCGGGCTGAACCTGTCCCACAGCCACAGACATGCCTGCACGCCGGGATAAATAACAACTCACACTCAACCGAGACCTGGACGAGAAACTAGACCAGACCATAACTGGAACTATGCTGCTAACTGACATTATGGCTAACGCATTTTGACAGTGCTCAGACGTTGGACACGAGCAGCTGACATTCAACTCGGTTCCACATACCATCATATATAAAACCCACTGCCGATGGCTGGGATTCAAACAGTCGTAGCCAGGCCACTTGGCAGACATCTTCTCCAGGTTACACTATCCGCTAAACACTCACTCACTCACTCATGGCCAATGGAATGATGTGTTATCGGAGTGGGAGGATCCTGCTGCTTGGCTTGGTGTTGGTTATCCTCATGATCGGCAGTGTGCGTGGCACCATGAAGTTGTGCGGCAGCAAGCTACCCGAAGCTCTGTCCAGGCTGTGCCTTTATGGCTTCAATACAATGACCAAGCGGACCTTGGGTAGGTATTTGGTTTATTATAAGCAAACTCTTACTCTCTTGAAACACCCTTAGATCCCATGAACTACAACCTAATCGAGGGCAACGCACTCAACCTAGGCTTCGATGAGCGTTCCCTACTGGACCGAATATTAAGTGACAGTTCCGTTCAGCTGCTGAAGACTCGACGAATCCGGGAAGGAATCTTCGACGAGTGCTGCCTTAACTCGTGCACCATGGAAGAGCTGCTATCATATTGTGCACCCAAACCCAAAACGTAAACCCCTTTTATTAACCCTCTGACGACACCTTAGATTACAGAATCACTGAAACGACCCCGGAATGTGAAAAGCACTCATGTATTCGTAGTTGTTAAGTTCGTAGTGAAGCCAACTCAATTCCAGTTTTGGGCTATAATATACGAGTATATATATATATGCACATGTAAGTGGGATGTATGCGCATAATTTATGATCGGAAATCAGAGACAGACACGCGAAATGAATCGGAACACGGGATGTTATGGATGTAGATATGATGGTAGAGGGCCTCTGAATGCATCGCCTGGGTATAAATTATCAAATAAATTATGTATTCAAACTGCTGCAGATTGGCCAACTTGATTGGTAATTAAACGTGCATTACATTGATTTTTCATTGCCAGTTAATTATTTATTGGCCCATCAGCCGGATTTCTGTTGAAAAGGAAGCCAACTCTGCAGGCTATAAACTGAAAGAGTTTTTAAATTTAAAAAATCTAAATGAACTCCATTATTCAGGAGGATAAATGAAACTTTTTAAGTCAGTACCTGGGAGCGTCATAATTGCTTTTTAATTTTGGAATTCGCTAGAAGCTGAAACAAAGAGCAAACATAAATTGGTTTCATCATCATGATTGAGCGATTAATTTATAAAAATAACATTTTAGGCTTAATTACCATGACATTTCAACAATTTTTAGCAATTACATTATCTAATTACCATCTGCCATAAATGACATTAACAACATTAAAAGGTTTTAATGCTTTAGTTTTAGTTTATTTTTGACATTCAAAGCTCCATCATGTCTGCCAATATTAAAAGATTTTTCCTTCTCATTACCTTTTTATTGCTGGTCAACGAGGTATGACTTTCCCTAATCTGGTTCATTAATAAGAGTAATTCAAACTTACAGATCGTTACGAAGTTTGAGTTTACGAATATTAAATGCACTTCCCTGGACACAGAGTTCGATGACTTTGAGCATTGCTACCTCAAGTCGGTAAATCGTACATATAAGTACATGTATATAAAAGTCAACTTGTTCCAGACTCCGGTTACCAAAGTGAAAGTAGGTTTAGCCCAACAGCTCTATGTAATTACAAATAATCTTTATACTTCTTCGATTTGAAGGTAAACTTATCGTTGAAAAAACGTTTTAGTGGATACAAACCCTTTCTCTATAATGTTACCGTAGATGCCTGTAAGTTCCTGGAAAATCCAACTGCTAATAAAATCGTTAATTATTTTTATGGATTCCTAACAACCCACACAAACATAAACCACACCTGTCCCTTTGATGTAAGTAAGATACTTATCTTGGAGCCAGATTTTATCTTTCTTGCTCTTTCTTTTAGACCGATCTCATCTTCGATAAAATAAGCAGCGAGTTTATTAACCACAGGTTTACGAACATTTTGCCCTTTCCCGAAGGCGACTATCTTTTGGAAAGCAATTGGATTGCCTATGACAAAAATCGAGCTGTTATAAAGATTTTCGGCACTCTATCCTGAAGGTTGGCGCCCCGCACCCAAAGATAAAACTATTATAGAATTTTAGCAACCTTTGCTAATGTTTGTCAAAGCCAAAAGCAGAATAAATATAATCTTCATAAATTTTAACATGCAACAAGCTATTAAAAACATGGCTAGTAGTATATATGCACATGGTTGGTCTGAAACCGGATACAGAGGCAATTGGTTAAAGTGGAACAGTTGTCAGGACGTGTTTTCGTGTCGAATCTGGAGTTTTAGTTTCTGGGAACAGCGCAGTACTCCAGGAGGACCGAGATGTGACATTTATTTCTGCAGCATCTATCCACAATGCCCATCCGTTGACGAGTTCGCCGCTGAGTTTCAGTCAGGGAATTGAGAACGCTCCCCAAACTATTGCCACGGAAGATTCTGTTTTGCAGTGGTTCTGAAATAGAGTTATCCTCCACCTCCTCCTCAAACTCCTGAATGAATTCTAGTGGAGACAAGGCAATCGAATCATCGCCGCCTGTGAAAATTGGGACATTTAAAGTAACTCGAAGCTAAGGATCACCTTGTAGAAACTTACGCATGGAGCGTTTATTTTCGGTTATAGTATTGAATTCTTCACAAACCATGCCCATCATTTCGTTCAGCTTTTCACTGCACAAGATTCTTTGTTGCATTGTTGCCGATGAGCTGGCCAGGTGAATCACAGCCAGCATCGAGATGAGTAACAAAGACTTGTGCATGGTTCTAAGTTATTAGCGCTGTGACTTTACGATCGAACGGATTAAGTTGGGTCGAGCCAGGTCAAAGGCAAACTGATGCTGTTTAGCCCAAAAGTACCTGGCTTATATACAGTTTGTAAGGATTCGAGGTCGGGGTCTTGGTCTGGAACATGAGCACTCCGCATGTGTTATCCTCAAAAGTCAGAGTGTCAAATTGTGTTAGTCTACGATGAGCGCATTTCGGAGATCCCCTTCATCTTATGGGGGCCTCTAAACGCCTGGCTAAACTCGTTCAATGTCAAAGCTGACTTATGCAAATAGCTATTGGAAAACTGTGGGTGGGTTGGGTGATGTTGCTGTTGCTGTTGCTGAGTTGGGTGGTCCTGCGGGCGTTCTGCTGTCAGCCAATTAAACAATTTATGTATAAACAGCCAGGCCGTGCTAAGCCCTGCATTTATGAATACCAAATGAGTCCTTGGTCTTAAAGTCCCCCCAACACTTCCCTTACCTTTGTACCATGTACGAGTATACTTACCAATACGCGCCTGGGCCTGGCTGGAGTAGGCCAAAAGCCAGAGCCAGCTGAAAAGACCCAGCAGCATCCTGGCAACGATTTACGCCTCTTTAGAACTTTTCCTTTGACTGTTGTCTTTGCCGTTCACACAAATTCTCGTCTCTCTTTTTTTTGCACTGTCTACTTTTATTCATTAGTCAAAGTTGGTGCTGCATAAATAAGTGATTACGAATCGGATTACGAATGTATGTATGTTGCTATATGTATACATGCTGGGTAATGGGTTCTGAGTGGGTTAAGTATTCTATTTGGGCAGACAGTAGGCGGCTAGCTCCTCGTAAGTGCACGACTTGACGCAGCACTCGTCGTAGACGCCGCTGGGCAAGTGTCTTCTGTGGCGACGCGTCTTGATCAGGACCTCGGATCCGTACAAGTTGGTCAACAGTGGACTAAAGTAGTAGCCTGCAGTTGCCAGCGATTGCCACACATTATCCTCAAGCTGCAACTCGTTAGCCGTTAGGACCCCGCGTTTCTGTGGCAACGAATTGTAGCCATGGGCACACACCACATCCATGGCATCGGACAGGTCAGGACCGCACAACTTGTGGTTCCCACTGGGCAACTGATGACCACTGGCCGGAGTGGCTATCACCAACGTGGTAGTCACGATGGCGATTAGCAAAGGTAGAAGCCGAAGGCCATGAACTGCACCGTTGTCCTTGCAAAACATCTTCAGTCTGTACTGATGGCTGTGACCTGCAACTGGTATTTATACTCGTACCACTGGAATTGTTGGTAACCAGTTGCAGTTCAACGGCCTCTTGGATTTCAACATTGCAACGTTGCATACATAGTCCCCAAAGGCTTACTATCTGTTAGCAGCTATAGCTTAGACATGGGTTGATCTAAAAATGCCAACTTCTATTCTTAGCTTTCCACTTAATTCCGATGGAAAGCAAGCATGCACTGTTATGGAAGTTTTTGGGTTATTGAGATCCCAAAAATGATCTTAAATAATAATGAAAAATCTTTTAAAAATATATAAACAATAAGAAAAAACCTTTTGTTGATATTTTGGCTGCTAAATAATACTAAAAATGGCCAAATGAGGTAAATTTTTGTTAGGAAAGTCGGCTTGTAAACCATTTATATGAAAATCCTGTATAATTTATCTCCAACATCTACCGGAACCTTACTGTTAAGGCAATTAACATGTTTAAGTGTAATCACCGCCAAAAATTCCACCCACTCGATAACCCTTTTCGCCCAACCTGTTACTTTGCCGCTAAGAGGCTCTGACTGCTGTCGATTGCGATTACGATTACGTCCCCCCCGTTTTCCATGGTAGCTTCCCAATGGAGCGGGAAGCTCGATGGCTGACAGAGTGGCAGCCTCATTAGCATGTCGTGGCCAGGTGGAAAGTATGCTTCGATGGTGCTCTCCTCTAAACGGCACACAGTGTGCGAAATCGCTTCGATCTCGCTGCTCGATTGTTGAGTTGCACGGCGATGCCAACAGTTGGTTGCCAGCGCTGCACTCGAAACGTATTTTCCGCCCGACCACAAAGCTCCGGAAAAGCACAAACACAAATCAAAGAAAAAGAAAGAGTCGCGAAGGGAATCGGGATAAAAAAATCGGAATAAATCAAAAAGGAAACATGGTGGTGGACATTAAGATGTGCCGTTTTGATAATGTGCCCTGGGGCTTTCGACTCGTGGGCGGGGCCGACTATGACTATCCGCTGACGGTGGTTAAGGTTAGGCCCGATTTCTGAAAAGACCGAGATCTATATATGCCAGTGCAGCATCTCTTCATCTCCTCATCTCTGTGTCACCTGGGCAAAGCATCCACCTGTGTGGTTGGTTTTTACATTTATGGTTTGGAGAAAATGCGACTAAATCTCATTGCCAGGCAGATTAATTCAGTGTTTTTCGATATACCTATTTTTTTTTTCTGGTTGCAATTACGTAACGCGGCGCGTTTGTCCGTTCCGATTTGCTGCATTGGCAAATTAGTTAATTAAAGTAATTCCTCGCAGGCCAGTGGTCTTTTGTTTATCTAATCGAAAGGGCCATGCATTTGGCCGCTAATGAGCCGCATAATGGCAGCGGCAATAAACTTATTCAAATTTTAATTGTGTTTCAGTTGCAATCGGGCATGGTTCTTGTTGCTGTTGTTGTTGTTGTTGCTGTTTTGGTGGTGCATAAATTGCATTTGGCATTTTCGCATTTTCGTAACATTGTGTTGACAATATAGGCAGCAACAAAGGGGAGCCAAAACATCGGGGTAAATCCGAAACAAATGCAGTTTTTAATTGGCAAAATGTAAAAAGGCCAAAATGCGAGGGTCGCTAAAAAGTCCTTTCCACTCGATTTCAATAAATCAATTTAAGCTGCCGCCGCACATTAAAAACAGTCAAGGGGAAAGGTCATAATTTTGTGTGATTTTTCTCAACAAATTTTGTTTACTTTGGGTAAACAATTTTGTGCTAAATTCACATTTTAAATGCAGTTCAAATTGCAGTTTACAATTTGCATTTTGCTTTTGTTTATAATATTTAATATGTAAATTAGCCAGGAAACTTAGTAGAAATCAAAAGCAAATTCGGTGTATTAGATTAAATTATTAATTAAATGATAAAATCATTTTAAAAATAATCTAGAAAAATCTAGAAAAACCAATGATTGTTGAATGGAAATTAATAACCAATGTTCGATGTGATATCAAAGTAATTATTTTCCTTCCCTTTTAATGTCTTTTTAGTTTACTGAGAGACTCAGCTTTCTGACTTACAAAAACTTAAGCTGTACAGAACCTAAAAAGCACATATTCCTTCTTGATTCCCTATGGAAGTTTATGGAATGGGCAAACAAACACCTCCACATATATTGGCTGTGCAAACACTAAACAATCCTTGGTAATCTTTTGAAAAACCTCTGTTTATTCAGCCACTCTTCAGTGTGCTGCTGCTTCTTCGCATACAGTCTGGTACATACACATATATAGCCAAGCTAAGCCCTAAGCCTGTGTTCTATAAATATTCGCAACCTCCGTTGATGTCGAGTGTTTGCCTTGTGAATTCACCGCTGGAAATTGACTCCGCCATAAGTGAAATGCAAGAGGCCCCTGGGAAGAAGGAGCGCCTTGGTTGTTTTGGTTGGGGTGAAAATGGAAAACCCCCACTGCCATTGCCAGCCATTTTCTCCGTTTTGCGGCTGCTCACTTGCAGTATTTGCATTACTAAGCCCTCTTGGCAGCCAGTGTCGTGACTTTCTGGTTATGAGCCCGGCTTTCACATAACGGAAACGACAACAATCACCGCGAAAAACAATGGCGTTTATTTGCTTATGAAAGTGTTACAAGACCACCTGAATTATACAATAAAAACTTCTAAGAGGTCCCTTAAAGGTATTCGCTTTTCCAATTTCATTCATAACTTCCTCCTGGCCTGTCGTAATCGCTCATATATAGTGGCTATTTTTATACCTTTGAATTATCAAATGAATACCTACAATTTATATGCTCAATTTGGGGCCATTTGTCTGTAGTTTATTACCCGAAAAAGCCATAAAGCTTAAATTGTATTTAGTTGTTATTGTTATTGTATTGTTCTCACAACTTTTCGACATCACGTGGGTTTCACTTTGATTTATAGTTGGGAAAATAAATGTGCCAAAATGGAAATTTGAAATGCAGTTTGTTTTTACATGAGCTGCAAGATAGGTTTCCCATTTTAAAATAAAATACATTTTTATATGGTAAACTTTCAATTAAGAAGATATTATGTTAGCTGTAACCAATACTATATCCCTGGTAAACCTTTCCCTTCTTTGACTTGCCTGAATTTCTAGACAATAACGCCATCTATTGTCTAGAAATTCAACTATTTCCATTCATAATAACAATCCTATAATTGCATTGTTAGGCATGGATAATTCCACTTGATTCACTTAACTGAAGAGTCGTTAATGAGTTGCCACTTCTTCTCGAGCAGCCCTCGTTCTCAGATCTTGGGCCTCCCCGAAACGGAACCCACCTCTTAGGCATTGTCTTCGGTTCGCTTGCGTGTTCGTGATTGTGTGTGTTTGAGTGTGTGTTGGGGTCTGGGTCTTCTGGTCTTTGTTTTGTTGACATTTGGCGCGCGTTTTATTTTTATGCACTTAGCACGCGACGTCGCCGTCGTCGGCTAATAGAAATTCTCCCATTATCGCATCTATTGTGCGAATATCTCGGCCTCGCACTCATTCATCGCATGGCATCCGCATCTGAATCGCTTTTGGTATCCGCATCTACATCCACATCTAATCATGTCCACATGCCTCAACGATAGGTCACCGAAGGCAGCATTGCTGACGAGGCTGGACTGCGGGTCGAGGACATCATTGTGCGCATCAATGACACGGCTGCCACGCCCCTTACCCACGATGAGGCCCACCGCCTTATTATGAACAGCGGCAGCGTCTTCTATTTCGGCGTCTACCGGTGAGCTTCCTTTCTTGGTCGTAGCCGTCGTCCTCGTCCTGGTCTCAACCTTCCTTACTTTCCTTTGTATCCCATCCAGCTGAGGACCATTTATCACAGCTGAGCGGGCTAACAACCCAAGAACGTTTCCTTATACCCTTGCCAACAGTGCTCTAAGATTTTAAGACCATCATAAAGGACAAAAACTTAGAAGGTCTTGCTACATGGACATTTTAATTAACATTTCTTAGATTAATTTACTTTTCATTACCAATTTAATGATAAAAATTAGATAGGCAAAAGTTAAAAAAGCTTTTAAATTGAAAAATAAAAACTACATTTCTCGCTAAGCTACTTCAGTCCTGTCATATATATAACCTTTTAGAGATTTGTTCCTAAGAACTCTGTATAACGAATAACCTTAACCCTTCAACTAACCAATCTTAGAGTGTCCCCAAACCTATACTCCCCCAAAAGGTATTCCAAGCTCAATCTACTCTCTATTTCATAAATTCTGCCCATTTTTTCGGCTACACTGATCCACTTGCAGGGACAACGAGGAGGACGCTTACGAGGTCCTGAAGAAGTTTCCCACGAGCGAGGGTTCGTTGACCATGTCACCAACGCAATATATTTCTCCGTCACCGACTCCTCCAATGCTGTCCCAGCTGACGGAAGCCACAAATGCCCGAGCTCCGGAACCGGAGCCATTCGTCCCGCCTGCCCGGGAATTCGTTCCTATTACGGTGCCCACTGTGGACGTGGACGTACTGGAGGAATGTCGCCAAGCCGTGTCGGAAGTGCATTCGGAAGACAATCGCGGGGATGTATATGCAGCAGGACCAGGACCAGGACCCGGACCAGCTGAGGCAGAAGAAGTCGTTCCCGTCGTCGACGGTCTGTACTTGCCCGATTTGCCCGATCGCCCGTGCTCGGCGCTGTCCGAAAGGCAGGAAATTAAGCTGGTGGAGGAGGAAATTGCAGCCGTGCTGTCTGGCGAGTCGGAGGTGCTCAAGGAGCACAATGTCCTCGGGTGCGTAGCAATTCAATTTCACTCATTTCCAACCTCCTCCGCCCCCATTGGGCCCATCTAGCGAGTGGTTTCACAATTTACTGGCATGCCATTGGCGAGTTCTTTTAACCACTTCCATATGATAGCGTCAATTTCTATAGGATCTTCCCCAAGCCGGGCGTCTGCATGTCCAGCGATGTCCTCCGCTCCCTCAACGAGGAGGTGACCAAGACGAAACTGGAGAAGGACAAGGAGAACCGTCAATGGTCCACCTTCCTCCAACGTCCCAATCGACCAGTTCCCAAGAGCAAGCAATCGCTGGAGGCGGAACGGCATGCGGCAAATGCCTACAAGGTGACGATAGTCAAGTCGGCGCCACGGGAAAAATCACCCATGGTGAGTGGGTTCAGCTTGTGCTTAAATACACTCTCAGTAAAATCTTCCAAAAAGGGAAAATATTTGTTTAAAAAAACTCTTTTTCCCAAGAGTAAAGCTTAAAGCACTAAAAGAGAAATCGTCCTCATTTTATATACTATATATCCCTGAACTATATCCGAAACTATGAGACGATTTCTCTTACTGTATTGTTTGCTGTCGGGATCAGAAGTTAATTTGTGTTTACGTGTGACAGCCGGAAGCTAAACCGGCGCCAAAGGAAACCACACCACCCAAAGAAGAGGTAAAGCAGGAGGAACCAGTGCCGGAGGAGCAGCAGCAGCAGCAGCCCGAACCAGAGCCCGAGAAGGAAGATGAACCATTGCCCACGGACAGCGAAGTGCCAAATTTGGAGCAACTCCCTGAGAGCGAAGTGCCAGACGAACAGCCGGAGAAATCCGATGAGCCCAAGGAGGTGTGCGATGCGGAAGTGGTCCCATCAGAGACGGGCTCACCCGGCGGGCCCGAAGCCACCGAGGTTCCTGCAGCAATAACTCCTCCAGCTGAGCCCGGTACTCCACCCAAAACCGACGAGGAATTGGCCCTGGAACGCCAGTTGGCAGATGTGCAAAGACAGCTGGCTGCCCTCTCGTCACTGCCCTCCACCATACAGTCCACCCTGGATGCGGTGACCAAGCAGCTGGCCGAATTGCTGCCCACCTTTAAGCTGCAGCAGGAGAAGCAGTTGCTGCCACAAATCGATGAAAACCATGGCAACGGGGAGGGCGAGGAAACCACTACCAACACCGCAGGCGAAACGGAGGATGCAGGTGCAAAAAACTATGCCCAGGTCGACAGTAATTAAATTTTTCTAATGGCGCACTTTTGCGTATATCCTTTCCACGAAAAACCTTTCCCCCTCTGCGTCCCGACCCCTTTGTGAATATCCTGTAGGCAAGGACATATCCATATCTGGGACTGACAACCCACTGGGGCCATGTGAGAATAATGAGGATAGATGCGATGCCAATGACCGGGAAGTGGCGGAAATATCGCGCTCCACTGACGACAATCGCCTGGCCAAGGACAAGAATAAGGACGTAGAGAATGGGCAGGTACGGCAGGAGCAGGAGAAGGAGCAGGAGCCGTTGTCCGAGGAGCAAAGCTTCAAGAAGCAGAAGGTGAGTACAACTTACCCAACTGGCCTTGGGAGCCATGGCGAAATGAAATCCCTGGCAGGGCAGTTAATGTAATTAGGCTGTCATGAGTTGGGTCTAGCAGGTTTTAATGGCATTAGAGCCCGGGTCTGTCCGTTTTCTCTACCTGGTTTGGACTCGGACTTGGTCTTGGTCTCGTGCTAAACTATTTAGAGCAACAGGATTAGGCGGCCTGCTTTATGGCAAAGGTCTCATTGTCAGAGTGATGAGGCAGAAAAATATCCTATTTACCACCTCGTTCATAGTGGATTTTTATTTAGTCTTTACCTTGATGAGTTGCTAAAGGATTTGCCAGGTCCTGATTAAATATTAATACTTGTTGATGGAATTTATATTAGTAAAGTTGAAGAAGGTGGAAAAGAGAAAATAAAATAAATATTTATTTCTGAATAATAATACTTTTTAATGGAATTTATAGCGGCAAAGTTAAAGAAGGTGGGAAATATCAAAGTAAGTTGTGAAAGTAAAGAAGTGTTGATAGAATTTGTAAAAGATAAGTTTAGGGAGGTTGAAAAATGAGACTAGTATTTAGTAAACTAAAGGAATGTTGAATAATTAATTAAGTATCAAAGATATTAAGGCTGAGATTTATAAGCAGATATCAATAACTTTTGGCATGAATAATATATAAAGTATTACGAAAGGATTTCTCTAAAAAATCAATCAATAATTAAGAAATATAATATTTAAAATTTTAAAGAGTTTTTTAACTCCAAAAGCACTTCCCCATCAGTCAGCTGTCTTTTTAGAGCAACTTTTAGAGCAACCAAAAAAATGCAACTTCCTGATTTATTTCTTTTGAGATAGCAGCTTAACTTTATATAAAGAGTCCTTTCAGCCAGAGACTAGAAAAAAAAGAGAGTTGGACTTTCTGCAAGGCATCAAACTATTCGGTTGAGTTCCGAAGTCAGTTTTTATCCCGAGAAGCTTTGAGCCATATTATCCAGCTGCGGGCAGCTGGACCTTCTCTCTTGGAGCTTTCTCCGTGTCCACAAATCAAATTAACTAAAATGCCATTTGGTTTTTGTCTTTTTCTACTTGCAGCATAATGTGCGCTTCCAAACGTAGTTAGTTAGCTTTAATCGAGTTTAAATTTTGATAAATTGCCAACAGCAAAATATTTGTAGCGTTGTGCCCAAGACGGTTCTACTAGTTTTGAATAAAGCCCTGACAGCGGCAGGGGGAAAAATGCAGAAACCAAAAGACAATTAGTAGGCACCAAGTGGAAAGCCCTTCAACATTGTTTCATCTACTTTTTTTCTTCCTTTTTCCCCATGGCCCTCACAATTTTCTTTTTTTTTTTTGCCTTTCACCCCGTGGGTGTGTGCGTGTGTGTGTTTGTGCACTTTCCGCCCGTCTGTTTGGTTTTGCTAGAGACACGATGTCATTGAGGAACTCGAGGAGCATTTGGTGCGCAAAAACAATCCCCGGCGGTCGAAGCGGGCCTTTGGGCCATTGGTCCCATCCTCGGAACGCCCGTTGGTCCTACCCGGCGGTCGGCGTTGGTACCGTCCCAAGGATGCCTACAACGATGAGTTCATTGCCGAGACCCTGAGCGCCCAGGCGGAGCTCATCACGGGCAGCACTCTCGGGTGGGTAAAGTCACTCCCCCGCCCCCCCTCTAGTAACCACTACTATCCCATCATACTGCATCCCCCTGCTTATTGCGGCTAGTTGGCAATGTTTGACCATGTTTGCCGTGTCCAGGGTTGGCCGTCGCCTCACATCTCATCTCATGTCAACGCTTTGCCCACAAAAAGCAAACACTCGCACTGAGGAAAAATACCCCAAAAATATGAATCAAAGATTACTTTTTCCCTCTCAAAAAATATTTCCATCTCTGGAGATTGGAAAAGCTTGAAATTTTTGTATGCTAAGACAAGCGAGCTTCTGGGCTTCTGGGCAATACCCTAATAAGAGTATTGTTTTTCATTTTGTAAAGATTTCTGTGGTAGGCAGAAATAACAAAAAGAAAGTTTTTCCGAAAAATAGAGAAATGCCTTCTCTAAAAACAACTTGTAAATTAAAGGAAAAATTGATTTTAAATTGGCTGAAAAAATACAGAAAATTTATCATAGTAATCTCAGTGTATGGAAATATTTTTTGATATGAATTTTCCTCCAGTGCCCGCCCTTTGGTTGACACTTCACCAAAAACCATAACGCTAGCTCATCCCAGGCATTCATTTTCTTCACTTCTTCACTTTTCCATGGCCACTCGCCTCGCCTCAACTCTTCACATCGTCCATTGCACCATAAATTTGCGCATTAGCAGCTGTCCATATGAGAGTCCGTTGCTGGGCTACGATTCCAGGTAGTGTTTCATTTGGTTGACGGAGCTGATGAAGTGCTCCGGATGCTATGTACCCGTAACCCTATATATACGTAGCCACCTAGCACTCTCATTACGATTATCGTTGGCATTATCGTTAGCATTACGAGACCCATTGTGCATTCGCATTCGCATTCGCATACGTATACGTATACGGATTCGCATTTTCCATCCATCTGTGTGTGTCCTGTCACAAGGCCTGCAGTTGATTTGACTTTCCTTTCTCCGTTCTGGTTGAGTTCTTTATGCATGCCGCCTTTTGCTCCATGGATATCTTTTCTCCTCGCTCTCTGCCTTTTGATTTTCATTGTAGATTGCATTTTGGAATCGTTTGTTCAATGGCGAGCATATAACACGCCAGCGCTTCAGGTAAGTTTTTCATTTTTCACTTTTTTTTTTCGCCCAACCCAAACCAAGGGTTCCGTTTGCCCTGAACTTTTCCTCCCACATTTCCCTCACTTCTCGACTCTTTAATGAGGCTAACAACTTCTCTTTGCTTTTGCTCTGTTTCTGTGTGTGCGTGTGCGTGTATTTGCCCGCCCTTGTCTTGTACTTAACCAATGGGGGAAAAACGGACTGCTCTGGCTCAACTCGGGTCTCAATTCGCCCAGGGAGCTGCAGGGTCTCGGCCTGACCATGCAAAAGTAAGTTGTCACATTGGACGTTTTCTTATGTTCTCCGGTTCATTGCATGCATATGTACGCTGCATCTCGGTCCCGGGAGCACCGCACGGCACGGCACTGCACTGCACTGCACTGCATTCCATTCCATTCCCCAGTTTGTACCACTTGCAATTCCAATTTAACGTTTGGCTCCTTGGCCATCCGCCATTCGCAGGGTCAACTTCATGAAGTACCAGAAGCCGGAGCGCAAAATCGATCTGAATCGCAGCGAGGTGTACAAGTATCTCAATCCGCATCTGGACAGGGCGCCCGTGCGTGGCATTGAGGTGCGTGCTCCTCTGGTGGCCGCCGAGTCCGACATTCGCCAGTCATTGCAATCGTAGGAATGATGTACCACCCGGAATGTTCAACAACAACGCCCCCAATCTCAAGCCAATCCCATAATTACACAGGGGGAAAAAACTATAACATTAAGATAGTTGATGGCAAAAGTTCTAAGATTTGGCAGAGGAGTGTTTAACGTTTTGATAAGTTTGTGCAACCTTACAAGAAGCAAATCCTTATTTTAATCAATGAGTTTTGGTTTCATTACTTTAAGTGTATTTTGTGGAAGCCAATTTCTGTATTATTTGCTCAAATCAAGATTTTTTTGCCATGAATTAATAGCCAATCAATCATCACTTAAGAAGCGGCTATAAATAATAAATGAGATAAGTGCATGGCAGACGTAAACGGAGAACAATATTTGTGTGCCTTTAATATTATCCCAGCTTAATGTTGAGGCCAAATTTAAAAACATTTTATCTTCATTTAAATAAACTTGAAAACGCTTCTCTGCTAAGTTTTAGTTTGCCAAATAAACGACATAGCCCAGAGTAGAGAAATACATTTCTGTTAAAATATATATAAAACCATATATTAAGAAAACTTCAGTTTGTTTTGGAGAGGTTCATGTCCCGATTGAACTGCTTTGATTGGAATATTGCAGTTCCCGTCCAGAACTTGTGTGCTCATTGAACTTTGAAGATGGGGAATATATTATTAGTTATACTGAAATTGGCTTCAGCCAGTGCATTCGATTATCGCTTAAGAAGCTCAACGCGGGTATAACCATCAATATGCCAACAGAAGACGAGTGCGCTGCCATTGTCGAGAGCGGGGTCGCCTAATGCGATATTACATAATTTGTGTGCAACAAGGCGTATGTGTAATGTGTCGTGCATTTCTGTAGCATATCCTCAGGCGCTGGCTGGCTGTTGCAATTTTCTTTCTCCCAGCGCTGCCTTTGTATGTGCGCGTGTTTGCGTTGTGTTTGTCCTTATCCTTATGTGTGTGTATGTTTTTGTGTGTGTGTGAGTGTGGGTGTGGGTGACAAGCTCTTCGAATTTGCATATATTATGGCAAATGAATTGGGTGGCAACAAACAAACAGAAAAAAAGTGGCAAATGACATGGCAAAATGGCAAAATGGCAGCAGCAGAGCCACAATAAACCCGTATTTAGTTACGGCACAAACACTCGCGCCACTGGCAAATCAAAATTGTTGTCACGTTATGATGGAAAACCGGGACGAGCGGATGAGATGCGCACATTTCACTTGCCCCAACAACCGAAGGAACAGCCGGAATGATGAGACACTTTTCTTTTCTTTTCTTTTGCCTTAGCAATAAAAACGCGCCAACGGTTCACGGACTTATTCGTCAAAGGCGCGTATTTTGGCGAGCATCTAAGCAAATCCGTAAAGTCGTAATCCGTAAAGGAGTTGGAGTGCGCTCCTCATGGACGCTCGTCTTGGACTGTCACAAGCGACTTGGTCTTATCATTGCACTAACCACAGGCTGCGTTTTGAGTCGAATTCGTGGTGATTTTTGGGACAGCTTTTGAGTGAGGCCAAACAGCTTTTGAGTTAGTTTTTCCGAGAGTTTTCTCTGTTACGAGCTTTGAGCGGAATAAGTCCCATATGAGCCGTATAAGTCCGACTGCTAGAATGGGGGCAAATCACTCTTGGTTGGGGCAGGCCAGGTCCTTTCAGGTCGCGAAAAGGTGAAAATGCCGGGAATGTCGGAAATAAAATTAAGATTTGTTCAACTTGTTGGCTAAAAGTTTGACTCGGCTAATTTGTATGCTTAATTGCCAAGCGCCATTTACACTAAGCTACGCGCAACGCTTTGAAGTCGCTAATTCAATTGGAACGGTTTAAAGGGGGTTCAGTTTGCCTTTTAATTGGATAACATTTGTAATTCCCCTGGCATAAAATTAGACGCTAACTGTCATTAAAAAATTTATGAAGAGCAAGAAGGGGAAAGTTTCTTTATGCATTTTAGGCTTACATTTATAGATGATCTCCACACTTAAAACTTGAACTAAGTCCGAAGACAGATTGCTAACCCATAGATTACCAATTTCGAAGTTTCTGTCTTAGGGAGATATTTCGCAGTAGGCTGTTAAAAACCCAGCCAGAAAGATCAAACATTTATTTAGGTTTTTAAATTTTTATTTGAATTTGAATAAACAATACTAGACAACAACTACTTAGAAGTAAGTACAAGTTCATACATACAAGTTACATAAAAATAGTTTGGGTTAGGCTCTCAGCTCGAGGCTGCTCCGAACGAATAATCTTTGAAACGTACTATATAGTATATGTATGGTGTATATATAACATAGTCATGTACAAGTACAATGTGTGTGTTTCATTTTTGTGTGTGTGTGTGTGGGTGTTTCAATAACCTGACTACAATTACAAAGAAGGCAAACTTACAGCGGCCACTTCACACGCAGAGCATTCACTTTAAAAGAGAGCTCCGGCTGAAGTTCAAACATCGATTTAGTTATAAACAATTGTTGTTCGTTCGATTTTAGGAGGAGGGGGATTAAGTTTTGTGTGTGTTTGACACTAATTATCACTACGCCAGTTGAAGTTTAAATATAGTTTATGGGCTTCTCATAGTTTTCCACGCTGGGATTGCTTCGATTTGATAAGGTCTAAGCCAAGTTCTCTAATAGTTTTTGTGTATATATGCAAATGCAATTATTGCTAATAATACATGCGATTTATCCAACTGAATAAATAACTTCATCCTCCAGTTGGTTTCCTTTTGTGTGTTTGTGATGCAAATTTGTGACTCTCCTTTCCGTGGGAAGGATATTTGTCTAGTCCTGACAAGTCAGAGGTAACGATTTCCAAATTTGATAAACCATCAACCCATTTTTGGTTTTGGCCTCAAAAATATGCTTTTGCTCTCTCTGCCCCCAAGACATCCTGGTTAATAATCTAATTCTTGATTTCAGTTGCAATTTAGGTACACGTTTCCGCCTTCTTCTGCAGCTCCAAACCTCTTACAATCACAAGGTGCAAACACCCCGCCTATATATCTATATATATTATACAAATATGTATATCTGTATATATATGTATATACGCGATGGGGTGGTTCAGGTGTGTGTAGTGTATGTATGTGGCTTGTCTCTAAATACTAATTGCAGGTAGTTCGTTAACGCTTTCACACCAGAATTTCGCAACAAATATATATCGTATTTGTATTTTGTATTGTTTTAGTTTTGTTTTTGCTTTGCTTTTGCTATGATTTGATTTTTGTGTTTTTGTTTTTGTGTTTTTGTTTTTGGGTGCCAGCGTAAAACGTGGCTTGGCTTTAATACTTTCAATCTAACACTAATTAAGTTCCAAGCAAACCAATCCTAGGCTGGTATGTTGGTTTGTTCATAGAAATCGGGCTCATCGTCATCGTTCTTCTTCATCTCGCTGCCATCCAACTGAAATACAAATTACAATCCATTAATTCATGTTTATGTAATCAAAATTATAAATTCAAATATTTTACCGCTTGCATTTCCTCTGGCTTGTAAAGCGCCGTCAAGTTCTGGCGTATGGGCACCATCATGATCAGGAAGAAGGGGAAGGCCAGCGAGAACTGGGACGACTTCACGGTCCACAGGAGCACGAGGCACAGCACCTGGATGGTGGTAAACAAATGCAACTTCCAAGGACGCAGACGCTTCACATATGGCGTGGGTGGATAATGCTTGACTGGCATGAAATACAGTCTTATTCTGTAATATAAAACAAATTTACGTTTATAAATAAATTAATTACTAAGTTAATGATCCAAACTCTTACCGCTCGAACAACTGCACTCCGCTCATGGAGGCCACACCCATGTACAGGAAGACTCCGAAGAGCACGGCCATGGGAATCAGTCGCAGAAGCGGAGCCATCAGCACTGAGAGACCAATCATCAGGCACACAAAGAATCCAGACAGACGCTGCTCCTTCACATCAACGATCCTGGGTGATTCTCCAGGAGCATGGGTGCTGTTCAAAGGAAAATTAAGTTAATATATAAAATTTTTATAAGGAAACCCTCCCATCTGCACTTACCGTGACATAATGGTGACGGAGGACACATGGGTCACCGATCTTACAGTGGCAGCACAATGCCAAGGCATGCCAAACAGTCCACAGGCGCAGTTAAGCAGGCACAGCAGAACAATGTCCCAATGCAGGCCAGAACCCTTCTTTAGACCACGATCGGGCTTATCCACAATCAACTCGGAGATCTGCGATTCCATGAAGATAAGGATATAGACCAGCAGGGCGGGCACTACGCAGGCAAATGGTATCCACGTGGAGGAGGTATCGAAGCCGATGTACCAGCCACGCTTGGAGGGATCGCTGGGCGACAAACCCTCCGGAACCACCAGCTTCTCCGTGTACACAGCAGGCACCAGGTAATCCACCAGCACGAAGATGGCAATGGAAATGGGCACACCGAAGTCTCCGAGGGCACGACGAGCATTGCGACCCAAGAAGTGAGAATTACGGAAGAGCTTCAGGTAGTAGGCGACCACAAAAGTGGCCAACGTAAGGATGGTGCAGAAGAGTGCAGTGTTCGGCTGATTCTTGGGCAACGGTGGTGGACCAATCGGCATGGCCGTCGTGGAGATATTCATCACCATCTGAGTAATATTTGCTGTCACACCGGCGGTTGCATTGAAAAGACTTCTATTGGTGGCATGGTCATGGGCAACCAGCGTCGGCGGCGGGAGATTGTAGTCCGGCAGCAGGGGATTCTCTTTGTAGATCGAAACCAGTTTCATAAACGTTTCCACAATATAGATGAGCGTGATCAGTGCCGAGAATATCTCCTGGGTGAATCTCGTCAAGAGGCGCACATAGACACTGCCCTCGAAAGCAGAGACCGTCAGGGATATTATGATCAACCAAACACCGACGTAAACTCTCAAGGATAGGAAATCAAATTCATGTTTCGTACAGAAAACCATTAGAGCTTCATCGAAGAGCAGCAGCGGTCCAGTCGTTCCGATGATCACAAGCGGTTGGCAGGAGAGACAATGGAAGACGATGCCCACCAGGGAGCAAGAGATCAGCGTCTCCGAGATACCAATCCAGCTGTTGGTCTTGGCAGAAACGAGACCTCCGAAAGTGATGGCGGTCGAAAGGCAAGCGAAGTACATAAAGATGGTGGCCGCCAGGGTTTCCGTGTTCAGGCCATCCAGAATATCACTCTTGTACATGGGCATCCTTCGTTTCAGATCGTTCCTTAGACCACCCCACAAACGGCCAGTCTTCTCCAGCGGACTGGGCTTCTTCTTCTTTCCGCCATCTTCGTCATCCGATCCGCCATCACCTCCTCCATCGCCACCGCCAATCGTAAATCCGATAGCTCCCAGCGTTTGCTTCTCTAGCAATGCCTTCTCCTCATCCTTGCCAATCTTGATCATCTCACTGTCCCGCTTCACCTGCAGCGCCTTGATCTTACGCGTGCGGATCCAATCCTTCTTGGCCTTCAACTCCTCGAAGGGCAGCAGATCGTGACGATCCCAATTACCGGGCGGCAGGACAATGGAATCATCCAGGAACTCATTGATGGCCGATAGCAAATCCTTGCGATCATCAGCCTTATAGGCAATGGAGTGGAAGTGCTCGTTGGCCATCAGCGTGGAGATGGAACGACCCACTTCATGGTAGTCCAAGTCAAAGTTACGCGGTCCCAAAAGCACAAACATGAATCTCACGGGGACAGGAACCTCTGTTAAGGTGGGCATCAGGACACCCTCCGACAGACGGACAAAGGCAATGGTGGGCTGCTCCAGAAACTCCACGGCACCAACCTTTAGGGATATTAAAAACAATCATTAATAAGGAACTAGGTCTGAATACTTAATACAACTTACCAAGACAGTGGTGGCTTCAGCTCCTGCTGGAATTCTCTTGAGGATCGTGTCATTCTGCAGCTTCTTGAGATCCTCCTGCGACGAGGAGTACATATCATCCTTCATGTCGATCTTAAGCTCATTGCTGCGTTTACTGCCGCCAATCTCGTTGGCCGGCATGATCTTGATCTTCTTGTCATCCGTGCCACCAGACAAATTCTGTGGAGCATTCGATTAAAAATTTTAATAACTTGGCTAATAAGAAGTTGTTCTTTTTTCTTTGGGGAAACATCAAGCAAGCTTCACATGCAAAGTTGGTGCTAGAACACTGAACCCAAATCATATGGTAAAGTCGTGCAACTGAACAAAATCGGAGGTATATAAGTAGAACAGAGTGCGGTCTAGAGGGCAGCAGTAGAGTTTAGAATAGCAAGTGGAAGGGATCTAAGGTACTTAAACAACACAGTCACAGTCACAATTGAGAACTTGCCAATCGTGGAGGTGGAGGTGGAGAGCACACATAAAAACAGTGGTTCTAAGGGGGGAGAAGGGCTACGGAACTTGGCTAAAACGTGATGGGGCTAAAAAGAAACATCGCGAGTTCTATAAGCGCATTTCGGCTGCTTTTCACTCCCAACTATCGCCAAGGAATGAAACTTTCTTAAATTTTTACAGATTTTTTAAGATATTTTCAAAAAATATTTATATTAATTTTGACTTTTGTGATAACTAACGTCCCCAAAATGACTTTTCAGTAAATAGGATCCATTCCTCTTCATATTCACCCTCAGGATAGCCCACCCCTACTTCTTCGTTTCATTCCCTGGCTCAAGGAGTGGATAACAAGGGGATGGATTTCTTAGGGGGTTCTAGTTCATTACACCCAGGTAGGACATCGTGGAGTGGCGTCGGTGATCAATCGCTGCCGCTGCAGCGGTGGCAGTTGCCACATTCAGCATCGCCGCCGTGGGCGGGGCACTGGAGGTTACGCAGATGCTTCTCCGGGCCTTGGCCAAATTGCGAGGTGGCTGTTGGGCCTGCTGTTGTTGTTGGTATTGCTGGTGGGAGGAGTCGGCACCCATCCAAAGAAACTTTTGTTTTTTGGAGTGCAAAAGGTTTTCATGTTTTGTTTTTCGTTTTTTGTGTAGAAAAAAATTAAGTAAACGCACAAGAAAAAAACAAGAAAGTTGAAGAGATACACAAACGTTTGGAAAAAGCGGCGTTTTATAAGTTATCTGAACGATCATGTCTATATACACAATTTAGCTATTCATTACCGATTTGGGTATAAGTTGCTGTTGTTGTTGTTGTTATAGATGATGTTGTAGTTGTTATTATAATAGTCGGTGTACGAGTTGTGAGTCATGAGATGGCAGAAATAGACAAGAGAATAATGACCACGATCATGGGAATTAACAAACTTTTGTCAACATTTTCACTGAAAGCCAATTATTTATAGCGAACAGGCACGATGATAAATGGTTGGGTGATAATTCGATATTAGAATGACAAGAAGAAGGCACAATGGTGTTAGGGAAACCAATATGGATGAGCTAAATGCCCAGGAGATGAGCTAACCTGCAGGCTGGTGTAGCTGTTGTACTTCCGCTTGGTGAAGGGCAGCACACCCTGGTGTTCGTTGACATGGCGATGGCGCAGGAGCAGCGAACGCATCACCGAGGGCTTGTCATTGATGTCGATCAGGTCCTCGATCACCATCTAAAAAGGTTGGATCAAGTAGTTATTAATTAAAGTTTATTATAAAATATAAGGAAACTTACCTGCTCTACGACGCGATAGGCCACGGCGGGCAGATCCTTCTCGTTGAGATCGAGCAGGACAACGCCCGTTTCCAGGCAGCGACGCAAATTGAGCAGCGAGTGGAAGGAGAGGGAGGCAACATGGGGCTTGCCCCAGCGATCAGAGCCCTCCTCCACATCTTCCTCATACTTGATCCAGCGGGCCGTCTCCTTCCATTCGCGATCCTCGCCCACGCCCGTAAGCTCGTCCAATTGCACAAAGACCTGCGTACAAAAAAGATTAAAAAATATGTAGAAATAAGGAAATGTTATAAAGAGACCCCTTTACGTACCTCATGAGGACTATGGTCCACCTCGGGCTTCTTGTTGGTGAAAGGGGAAATCGTAATCTGTGGCAGCTCGCGCAACTTGATGGATGAGTGATGAATCTTATGTCGGCGCAAGGCACGCGGGTCGTCCGAACGATGTGATCTCAGCTCGTTGAGATCAGCCTCCTATAATGGGGTAAAAATAAGATATTAAATCTAGAACTTTAAGCTTCATTGAGGATCTATTATATTGGGGCTAAGGGCACGGCCAAGGATAAGATGGTCAACCTGTTTAGCCGGCATTTGGCCATTTGTCTACAGGTGAGTCCGTATGTTTTGTGGGTTAGCAATGAGAGTTGGAGAGACACAATAGCTGGTTTAGTAAGATGATCTTAGCTAAGGTTAGTTGTGGGGGTAGGGTAGTTACTATATAGGCTGAATAGGCTAATAGGCAAAGTGTTCAGGGGGGCCCTACCTCCAATGCCGTGTCCTCAGGCTGCACAGAGATGCGACGCGCACCTGCATCACCGTTTTCCTCGAGCTTATTTTTGGGTTCCACGCTGTCCTGATGTGAGAATTTACGTTGTCTATAATACTGATGGCGGCTGTAAAGAGAATTTTATTTAAGTTATTTTATTATATAGGCCTTGTTTATTAAGTGATTAAGCTGTAAAGTAAATAAGCTACGTGATGTCGCCTTGCTGGCTGGAACATATCACGCATACGCAGTGTTATCTGTGAGACTCATTTCCCTTTATTACGCAAGCGTTGTATGCTCTTTGATAACAAGTGAAATTACCTTCTTCTGCGTTTACGTTCGTGCGATTGGTCCGTGGGCTGTTCATCATAACTCAAACTGGGCGGGGTGACGACGATCTTCTTCTTGCCGCCAAACTGGACGTGCTTCTCGTCCACCGAGTTGTCCGAGTGATCACCGTGTCCAGCTCTCTCCGAGACTAAGGGGAAGTCCTCGGGGATGTCATCGTAGTTTTGTGCATTGTTCAAAGGCTCCGTTTGGCTCTCGTACTCCGAGTCCTCCTCTATATTCAGATCGTTTGTGCGGACTACAAATTTTATTAAATTAGATTTTAAATCACAAATTAGTTAAGGAGACCACCTACTGCTATTCTTTTTGCGGGATCCAATGGGCAGCTGGGTGTTGTCCTGGAAGGTGTTTACATCGAACTTATCTTTGCGCGAACTGGTGCCGGCAAAGACCTTGTCCATTTCCGAGTCCAGCAGAACCTCGTCGGGATCCTCATTGCCGGACTGCAAAGAAAAATAGATATATAATATATAGAAATTGTCGTTACTCAATTGTTTTCATGCGTTTTGGTCACGTTGTGTATGAGTCAAGTCGTCGCAAATACTTTTCAATTAAGAATCTATAGGGAAAAACAAAGTCAGACAAGTCATGTGACTGGCGCAGCATTATTGTTTGTCGTCACGAGTCTTGTCTTTCGACATGTCTTGACGATCTACAGAAAACACTTAGAGGGGCCCCCAAGAAGAATGGGAAAACGAACGTCTCTGCTCTGCGGACATTAATCATCCATACCAGCAAGTGCTAACGTACGCATTTAGAACCTTTTGAAAACTTGACATTCCACTAGAGTATCCCAGCCTTACGATGATGATCAGAATCGAAATGGATTCACTGGGCGTCGTTCTTAATTGATTTTAATCGATCTCAATTGATTTTCATAGTGACGAAGGCATTGATTGCGCACTTCTTCTCAATCATCATCATAATTAACAGCAATATCAACATCATCTGGCCAAAGGGAAATATATTTATAAAATATTTCCTTGCCTCAAGTGGGAAACAAGTAAACCCAATTATTCCCAATTGTTGGCTGGCTATCAGATTACAAATATAGGAAAAATCTGAAATTGTTTATTGAAAATCACTGGGAAGGTTGCAGGGAATTCAATTTTCCCCCTTACGTTTAATTGGGACTGTATATTGCAAAACTTGTTTTTTTACACACATTTCTATATATGAAATCATCAAATTTTCCCTTCTTAATACCTTCTAATGATAATATGTTAAGCCCTAACTTTCTAGTTAATTTGGTGTTAAATCCACAATAATAAACACCTCAACTTCGTTCACACTTCACGCACACATCCTGGGCAAGTTAGTCAACATATTTTCCGGGATATTGCCAACTTTAATGGTACGTCTTGCTCTATTTTGCTAAAGTGTTTTCCCCGTTTTGTTTACTACGTCAACCTGAAAATTATCGTACGCTTAGATGTGTTGGTACATAAATGCAAATGGAATTAACGAAATGCGATTTGGGCCCTCGGGCAACCGAAGGACTGTCTAACGTTTTCCGGTCAGGTTTTGCAGCTGATGAATATTTGATATATCAACTTTAATACACTGGACGGACTGGCGTATCCTTGACAATTACATTCACTTCCTGATAAGCCCGAGGGCAGATAAGGGCGGATACAACAAAGGCAAACAGAGTTTCAGTTTGAGTTTATAAATAGACAAAATTTAATAACGCTGAGAGCCTGCACGTGGGAACGTCAATGTGTCCACCGACGGCACAAAAGCAAAAACAAAAAAAACTAGAAGGAGGACGACCAACGACCAAGTGTCTGTGTGTGACCCCAGTGGCTAGGTTTTGTGGTTGATGATTGTGGGTGGTGTTGTTTTGTTTGTGTGGGTGATGTGTTTTGCATGTGATAAGCTGGAGCGTAACGCGCCATGTTACGTTAATTAATCGATAAACACTAAGTTGTCCCATAATGACTTTAATACTAATGCCCTGCTCTTTTTTTATGATCATTACGATGTTGTTGGCATTGCTGATTTACAGATACCAACTGCCGTCGCAGGCAGTAAATGTATTTTCTGTCATTTAGCCATTAGCTTGATGCCCATCATAATGTGGCTACAAGAGTCAGCTACATAATTCCCCCCCAAAAACCACCCACTTTTCAGGTAACCCACGTTCTAACAGACCCTCGCACTTTATGCACCATGTCAGCAGTGCGGTGCGGTGCTTATCACAAATAATCGATGGTAGGTTCAAGCCCCCCAAAACACCAACCCAACCCATTCAAACTTCCACGCCCACTGTTCCCGCCCACCTGCTGTCTGAGCTGTCAATTTTCGTTGTTGTTTGTTTAGCGTTCGGAGCGGAGCTAAATGAGTATGCACGGGTCATACTCCTATCCTCAAAAATGCACACAGTAGCTGGCCAATAAAATAGAAACCTATTAGGTCATCTCGAATGGGTATTTGGTGGAGAATTTGTAGATTTAACAGAGGCACAACTCTACCTTAATAATACTATTTAAAATATGAGGGAATTTGAAGATTCAAAGCGAGCTTAAAAGTAACATCTTTTCCTAATACAACCAAAAATGCCTTCCGCTTTCTGACTTTTACAGTATTTCCCTTTCAATTTGCATAATACGTTTCTGGTTCCTCAAGCAGATGTGTGCTGACATTTCCTTTTTATGTCTCAAAAAAATAAACCAAAAATAAACCAAAGAAATGCTCACCAAAGAAGTCACTGCACCTATTCGTTTGACAAGCGGTGTGTGCAATCGCAGTCACAGTTATGGCATAAGTTCGCCCCATGAAGCTGGGCGTGCATGTAAGCAGCTCAGGAACCCGCTTTCAAGTTGGCCCAACAACAAGAACAACAACAACAGCCATAAGTTGAGCTGAGTTCGCGGAGTGTTTCTGATGTGATTTGACATCTGGAAGAGCAGTGGCAAGCGAGCGGTGGCACGTGACTTACAAGTCATAAGCAAGTTAGGTGCCGCCGCTCGTGGCCTAAACAACTTTTTGTCCAACTTGCCAAATTGAATCAAATTGCGGCTAAAGCGAAACTTGTTAAGATTTTGCCAGTTGCCAACTGTTGTTGTCATCGCCGGCGAATAAGTTTTTTTTTTCTTTGTTTTTTCATATGACTTTGCCCCGCTCACAGCAGATTAAAAGTTGGTCCTCTGCCGACGTATCGCGTATAACTTTGTATTTATTGGAAAACTGTTTGAGTTGCCAAAAAGAAAGTCGGTGGGGAGATATGGTTAAGTGAGTGGTGAAAACTGGAGATGGCTAAAGTATATATTTTCTTTAAAAATAAGTCAAAATATATTACAAATCTATGTATCTAACTTTACAATATAATAAATATATGCTTAAATTCTAAGCAAAAGTAATTACTGAAAAGTTCACAAACTGCTAAGAAAAAATCAAAGGTCAACTGTTTGTAATTTTATGGCAAAAATTCTTAACACATTTTTTAATGGTAGTCCAGCATTTGGCCGTAACTAACATGACCATAAAAGTGTGCAATTCTTTTGAAAAACAGAAACAGAAAAAGAAACAGAAACCGTTTAACTTTACATTTAACTTCTGACTTTGAGTTGGATATATTTATGCATGTATACACAAAACTTTTTATTTGTTTGCAGCTGTCGAATTTTTTCCACGGCCTGTGCATAATTTGGTTGATTTTTGTTGGCTCGCACTCGCTACGCAGTTGGGTTATTCAATTTTTTATACCGTTTTGTGTTTTTGTTTGCACAAATTAACGATGCTTCTATAACGCTCTTGTGTCTGACTGTCAGCCCAGTAGTGACTATGTGTGTGTGTATCTGTGTTAATTTAATGTGAATTCCGCAGCGGAAATGCTCGCACAAGCACAAGAGTGACGGGGGAGAAAAGGCGGAGAAGTGTGGATACAGGACATCGACGGGTCAGGGGGCGCAGCGAGACGCAGCGGACACGTGCGAAAGGTTAAACTGGTCATTGGGCGGAGGCAAAGGCAAAGGCAAAGGCCCAGGCATAGGCGTTAAACCATCGTAAACGTAATCTAGTGATGGGAAATCATGCTGACAATGCCGCTCAACCTCTGAACATCTACATACATATTCACACACCATAGCTTGGCACAATGGAAAAGTGTTGCATACTTCAAGGTCAGTCGATTGGCATTGTTTAGGTGTGTGGGTGATAGTAGGGTAGTGTAAGTATGTGTGTGTGATAGCATTCAGCAATAAATAGCTGAGGCCTCCTACATTTATTAACCTGCGGCCGGAACTGAATAGAAAATATTCCAGGAAATGAAAGGAATTTTATGGGAATTTCACATTTAATGGGTTTTCTTGTAAAGTGAAAACTTTAATAACAGCGTTGGAAGAATTCTAAGAAAGGGGCTGGGCAAGGTTATTTTAAGAATCTATTTTTATTATTCTTAGGAAGGAATGAAGTTTAAAGTAAATATTTATTACATATTACATAGAACTTGTCTCTAATGGATTTCCTTTCCCACTGAAAACTTTAACAGCTTATAACTAAACATCAAGTTCTAAACATTTTGTATTTAAAAGGAATCCCTATGAATTAAATACCCCAGCACTAAGCTTCTTATATAACTTTTAATATAGGGAACTTGTACAAAACTTAAATTAAAACCCCACCCAACTTTCCAAACTCGAAGAAAACTTAAGCAAAGTGAAAACCTCTGTTTTTCCATTCAGGTGTGTGAAAGTATAAATAATGCATGGCCTGCTAAATAATTCAGAGCGTTTTTATAATGCAGACAAATTGGAAACACGATACCGCAAAATCCCATTCAAACAGTCAATCATCCATCAATCCGGCAAACCGAAATGAAATTCGGTTATTATTGGTAATTTTTAAGATGCCATACACAAAAGACACCTTTAAGGAGATATATATACACGTTTATGTACAGATATATATATATATATATATGGGAGACCGCAGACACACGTGTGTGCAGGTAGGTTGACTCCTGTCGCTTGGGGTAACATTTTGGGTAACATTTCTGTGTTTTTCACTGCCACTGAGCCGTTTTATTGCCCCAAAAAGTATGCAACACCCAGAAACGAATTTTCCCCTGGAATATATGTGTGTGTATATTTGTAAGTATATATGTATGCATGCTTATACCAGGGATCTCAGAGTTTTGCTTGCCTTCGGCACATAAAAGACCAACTCACTTGTTGTGCCCAGCTGCCAACTTTTCGACTATAATTTTACAAAAAAAAAAACAAGAAAAGGACAAAATTTCTATATGTAAAGGCTTTTCCCACATTATCCTCGTACCGATGTGTCTGTGTGTGCATGGGCTCTTTTGAAACAATTTTCAAGGTTGTGTGCTCTTGAAAAGTTTGTGTGTTAGCCAACTTTCCGTGCGTTTTTGATTAACATTATAGATCAAACAAGTTAAACTAGTTTTTCGCTTTACCTTGAGGGCTCCCAGTTTTTGTTTGTGCAATTTTCCTTTTGCTTGTAAAACTTTCAATCACGTTAGAAATAGTTTGATAACGGTATCTCTTTCGATAAAAAAAAACCTTTTTGCCTGTTGCACTTTGACCCGCGAATTATGGTAAAATTTTATTGTTTTTGGGCGGGGAAAACGCTTAGCCTGTTCCGTTGTCTGGGAAGGCTGCCCAGCAAATGTGGGGCCACGGCTAGTGGCTGTTGGTTCTGCTGCCTGCTGCCTTCTTGGTTTTACCTGAATTTTCTGGCACTGCGCAGGCGTGGGTTAAAGCGCGCGTATAACGGTAGAACAGGCCGCTCGCTCAGCTGGCAGTGCTGCAGCGTTTCGGCCACGCTCAGCTGATTCTCAGGGCCATAACGGCGGGCGGGCTTTACTACTACCACCATCAGCCCCCCAGGACGCGTTGCTGCTGACGTAAATCGGAATGCAGTTTTCGCCAAAAAGCTTTTAAGCAGGCCAAAAGCTTCATTCGCTCGGAATTTTTTCTCCCTACTGCCCACTCCCCCTCCTACTAGTGCATAATTAATGGCAAAGCTTTTTCGCTCACAGGACCTCCTTTGATGATGGTCAAGGCCGCTCAAGGCCAACACTTGGTGTTTTGTGTATGACCAACGATTATGGCTAGGAGAGTGTGTGTGTGTGTGTGTGTGTGTGGTGTGCTAGTGTGTGCAAAAAAGCTTTTTTGCCATGCACAAAAATCTATTCACTTGATGGCACTTTGAACGGCAAGCCAGTACATTAAGGCTCATTAGCTGCTCTCCCATACCTATATATATATATATATATTGGTACATATGTTTGTATTTTGGGTAATTAGCGATAACAGTCGAGTTGTAATGGCTAATTGAGTTATACGCCTGTGTACAGTGCAGCTCAAGATGATAGGTCAGCCTGAGGGAACCAGAATTATGTAAGACCATTAACACTAAATGGGTTGGATGGATGACATGAACAGTAATTGATTGATTGTTGCAATGTGTAATAAATATTTAACAACCAGAGCGTATCCTTTGATGACTGCCAAATATTATGAGAGCTATAAATCAATCATTTGTCTCACTGGTTAATATGATAGACAAAATTTGGCTAATAGTCAGCATCATAAAAGGTTTCATCATAATTATTCCTAAAACAGTACTTGAATAATCATAAATCAATCATAAATTGAGCATATTTTATTAATACTCATATTCGTAGACTCAATTTATTTATACATTTTGAATCTAAGTAGAGTTTTGCCTTCCAACCCAAGCCATTGGTAAACCTTTTCTGATGCAATTAACTTAATTGAGGTTGCTGCTCCCACGGCAAATGCAACTTGATGCTTTCACCCGGCCAGGTGTCAATGAATTGATTACGCTTACAATTCCCCTGTACTATTACTTTTCATTGTCAATGTCAGAGTGAGTGCCACAGCATTGGCCTTGACCACGAATATCGATTTCCTGTTCTGTGCTGAGTTGAGTGCGCTTCATTTGAATGCTAAATGTCTAACTAGCTTCCTGTTACCGTTATTGCACAATTAAAATGCGTTTAGTTCGATGCTTTTAAGTGTTTAGCCTTTAGGCTGACAACTTGTTGTCGCCCTCCAGAGCACAACGTCGCGTATACGCAACGTTGGCAAAAATGCTAGCACAATAGCGAGTCACTTTCGCATGAATGAATGCATGATTAGGCACTGTGATCTACTGCTGAGTACTCGCACACGAAACCCAATCTGAAATCGAAATCGAAATTGAAATTGAAACCGAAATCGAATCGATTTAGCTGGAAACTGGTTTCTAAATTGTGTCACTTGGTAGCTGGCGGGCATATGCCGGTGTTAGCGGAAATGTGTAGAAAAGTAAACAACTACAAAAAATAACAGAAATCCAACACACAACTACAAAAAAATCAATAACAATTACTTGACATTACCGTGCGGGCTTGCGAATGAATTATTCACAAATTGGCAATAGCAAAATACGAAATACGAAAAATAGAAAAAAAAAAAATACATTTAAAAAGTGATTTATTTAATGGAAAACTACCAACGTCCGCTCATTATATTCACTTTTTGACATATGTTTGTTTGCATTACCAAACGAAATATAGTTTGGAGAGAACCTTGACTGGATAGGCAAAAGTATCGTATCGGGATCATCATCAGCCGTAGTATGAGCTCATTCCCGCATTTGCCTAATTAATTTCCCAGCCAAAAGCCAATACATTAGGTGCGATTATTTATAGTTAATCTATCTACCTACACACGGGAAATGCAGCCAAGAAATGTCTAAATTGATTAAGTTAAGTTATATATAAGACGTTTTATGATCTTTAATACAAATTTGTTTCATTAGGAGATGGTTTTCATGGCTTAAAGGCTTTTGCCTATGTCTTTGTTTTCTTAATGCATTTTTTTTCGGCAAAAGTTAGATAATCTCTTTCTGTATAGCTAACTCACCTTCTTTTTGGTATTAAAGCCCAGGAAGGATAATTTGCGGACATTATTCTCCCTGCCGCTGGCCGAACTGAAGCTCATCTTGAGTGTTTTTGTATAGTTTTTGGTTTAATTTAAGTCCAATCCGAGGATCTAGGGATATTTAAAGCTGCCTATTTGATGATCAGGATATGTAATGGCATCGAGGTGCTGGTGTGCTTGGTAACTTGCTGGGGCCACTGTGGATGCTCCAAGAATCTCGGCATTCGGGGCAGCGAATTCAACGCCCTAAAATAAAAAAACACAACAAAAAATTAAAGATATATAGAAAAAAATGAATACAAAAACAGAAGCAAGTTGAGAACGCAATTTCATTAATAACAATTTCGACTGTTGTCTTTTTTTTTGTGACTGCTAAGGAGGGCAATTGATGGCGATGCCGCACAGAAATATATATATGAGTACCGAGCGCCATAAAAACCAGTCGACGCGAATCAATTAAAGTTAAATGGCAGCCACACGCATAGTTAGGGCGGTATAGAGGGGGCGGGGCCGATGAAGCACGCGACTTTCGTTGACGGCTCGTGATCAATTTGCGTTATTTGAACACTCAATTATTATTCGGAACTGGACTCGGGGGCAATGAATGTGGCAATCGACGCCCCAAGGCGGTGTTCTTTGCTGCTCAAATGGATCACTTAACGATCTGCATTTCCATTGCTAGAGGAATGATTATACACACAGGAAAATTTTGATATCTTCTGGCTTCTAAAAGATTAAAATTATAATATATTTTCTGTCAGCACTTAAACTTTGCTTTGTCAAACTGAAAAATTTAATTTTCTGTTGCTATCTCAGTTATGTTTTATCAATAAAATAATTATTAAATCGAGCTGAAGGCTATCAAAATTCTATATAGAAATGATACCCCCATGAATAATACTTTTTGGAGAGGATAATAATAGACTTTCCATTTTTAAGCTGTCATGGCATGGATCACTTTCCTAAATTTAGTAGAAATTATTGCGATATGGTTAATTGCCTTCTTATCGTTTTAAGCTTTAAATAGGCGAGCAAAATATACTTAGAAAAATGGTCAGTGATGTATGGTTTTTCAACTTTTTAATTCATTGTTGACTTCATTCACTTTTATTTCCATTTCTAAGAAAATTCATACACTGCTACCCTAAGTTGTCCTCGTAAAAATATTATTAAATGTTATTCAATAATTTATTCAACGTTAATGCCTTTTAATTAACAAACTTCACAGAACACTTCTAACTAGTTAAAAAGAAATAAATTTGTATTTTTATATATATATTTCCTGTGTAGCAGCGCCGATCTCCTTAACAGTTTCGTAACTTATTGTGACAGCTGTCTGATATTTAAACCAAAATTTATGTTAATACTGGGCAACGCCTACTCATATAACGTGGCGATAGCCAGCCCCTCCGATATTCAGAAGGGGCGTGGCAAGCGTTGAACCTAAACGGCAATCAAGCGAAACAAACACAAACACAGCAGTGAACACAGACAAAGGCTAGCAGGAGGCCAGTGTTGAATGTTACGTGTCCGCAGGTCCTTAATAATTCAGTAAGCACCTTTAATGGCTAGGATAGTAGTAGTAGGTTAGAACCAATAGACTGGCAGGACAACAACTGAATGACCGAAACACAAAAAAACCGAAACACAAATTCAATTAGGCACCGCTGGCCATTGGTTTGCACGTCGGTTAAAAATCGCGAATTAGAGGCGTATACGCGATATTCAGGACACCGACGAAGCTTCCACCGGGGCGAACGAATGCCGTGTGAACCTGTTGCGGCTGCGAATGCGCTGATTTATGTGAGCCGTCTTTCTGCCGTCAAGAACGCTTGAAAAGTGAGCCGCCGCCACCCGAAGTATCTGCGAACTGCGAAAAACCTTTAATGTCGCTGTATAGGTATTATCTTGATATGTATTTGTGTGTATCTGTGTGTTTGAGGAGCAGCGCTTCGTTTCGTATCGTATATCGCGTAGACAATCCAACATGAGTCTCGTGCTTAGACACAGCGCCTTAACTTAGCCCGTCCCATTAACTGTTTTTTTTCGTATTTTTTGCGCTACCCACAAATTTTCACTTGGTCGCGTTGATTATATAAGAAAATGTGACTCGTCTTTGGATAGGGGCGGGTTCCAGTTCTCCATGTGCCTTGGATATTCCGTCTTGTTTGCCATATGTTCTTCGATAAAAAAACAACAAAAACTAAAGGAAAGAAAACTGATGGGTCTCCTCTGTCTGACCATGGATTAAAGTTAAGTTGGTGAGCAAACAAAACTTTTGGCTTTTGGCAACCTTGATATTGCCTCGCGTCTGGTGGGGCGGTGGGTGGCATATGTTAACGGTAAACGTTATTAACTAATAAAAGGATTTCAAAGTTGATCAATGGCTGAACGAGGGCGGAAGCTCTTCCAAGGTTGCCGAATAAATATTTGTACAACCATTCCATCATTTTGCTGCCCCAGGGAAATGCTTGGCAAATCCCTAAATTGCTTCGTTTATTATTGCTACTTATATTTGCTTTTCAGCGTTTTTATTTTTACTTATATAAGTTATGGTTTAGGTAATTCAGCTGAGTTTCTGTAAGTAAGAAAGTAAGTTAAGTAACAGGTGCTTTAAGCCAAGCAAGTATCATTTAAAATAAAGAATTGATTCTAGGGAAAAACTTGACATTTTTATTAAACCAAAAAGGGCTTAAATACTTAAACAGCAATCTTACTTTTTACTAATAAATAACTTTTGTTTATTGCTATACAAAAATTACTTATTGAACTTCAATAAAAGTCTGTTCAGTAGAAGACTGTTTGAGCAAATACTATACAATCCAATAAAAGTTTACCCAAAAACCACCAAAGTTAAAGATCAATCTAGAGCTATTTCTGTTTAGACCAACTCAGCTGATTTTTCCATATATTTTTTGATTTGTTTTAGACCATCGATCGGGGATCGCGTGACTCTAACCGAATTCGATACGATAAAGTGCACGTAGCTCTGGGAAAACAAATAAATTTACACATTTTATGGCCTACACAAGGGAAGCAGACGGATGGCAGTCAGTTGCATGTTATCAAAATTAGTGGTAACTTAAAACCCATAATCACAGACATATATATACATTCAAGACACTTGAAGGCAAACAGAGCGGTGTGGCTGGAGGTTCCCATAAAATCCAAAGGTGTTACAATTTAAACCTCCTCCAAAAAGATGGGACGACAGGGGCTTGGGTGGGACAGGGTGTTGGTTAAAAATTAACGTGGTGATCAATTTTATGGGTTCATTAGCGTGTGCTAACGAAATGACGCCAAACGATCGATCGTACGACGGTCTGACTTAATTTTGATTTAAATTATTTGTTTGTATATACGTATGAGCTGTATAAAAAAAAAGAAGAACGTTGGTGGGTATCAAGAAAGTACCGCCTACACCTTCAAACGTTCTTATCTCGGCACTGGGCTAGCCATTCATTTCGATTTCGATAGCGATTTTCAGATTTTGTTCTAATTTATTAAAACAATTGACAGTAATGTATGAGATTTACCATTTTCTGGGCTTCATAAATTATCAAATTGTCTATTACGCGTCGTGTTCCGAAATTGATTTGATTTAACCAGCGCAAGACACGTCAATTAGCCGCCTTCTGATAGATGATAAATGGCCCAGAGGGCTTTAAATAGCCCAAAGTTGGTTATGTAATCAATTGAAAACGTCTGAGCTTTATCAATGCCCAGTCTCGTGCAACGTCTCCTTATCAATATGATGTTTCTTTCCACACCCAAGTCGAAGAAAACTAACCAGAGTCAACCGGTTTCCGTCAGTCAGCTGCTTACTGGAAATCCTACCTCTGCTTAAATGCCACATAAATTTACATTCACGTGCTGCCCGAACAAGTTGTAAACCGGTTTTTTCGGTCTTCGAAATTGCAACAAATGCAACTGGGCAAAAAGGCAGCTGCAACTGGTAATGCAATTGCAACCACTGCAGCTGACATTGAACTTGAAAGCACTCAAGCGCCTCGAACTCACTTCTCTACTCCACCGGAAAGGGGTTAAATGCCTCTCCCTCACACTCACCGATTTCCACAACCACTCGAACGTATAAATGTCAGTTTAAAAACCACTCGAGATATATATTTGTAAAGTATACCGGCAGCTCTACCTGCTAAAATGTCGCGTTGACGACGCCGGTAATTATACAGAAGTGTGCCCATATACCATTTTCGAATATATGAGAGCATTAAAATATTTGATAATTGGAAAAGTATTGTTTAAGTGCCACCATATATCATCGCTGGCCATAAATATTTGTTTTCAACAATCCCCCCAGACTGATTAACAAATCCCCCGACGTGCGATTCATTACTATAAACCATACACTCTAAAAACTATACTTACTTACTATACTTAGCACACAAATAGCTAGTTCAAGTGCACTTATTGGAATAGGTTAGTAATCAGATAATTACAGTTTACTATTGAATTGTATAGCTATAGCTATAGCTTGAATTACCATTCAGACTTCTGTTTAAAAGTATAGTATTATCAAGTAGTGTCGGTTACAGTAGCTAAACGACCGAATAATTGCGGTTATCGCATATGCTTTTTCACTGGATTAACAATGCCCTTACATTGATATAAGTTATATCATAATAACCATAAAAGTGATACAAAAACAGCAATTAGCTTTAATTAATTGAATGAAAAACCAACACAATATGCTAACAAACCTCACTTTGCTTGTAATTTATTACAAAGGCAAACTCAGTTAGCATAAACAAACATTGCACTGGAACCTTTTGTAAAAGTTCGGGTTTTTTTTTTAGACATTCACTTTGATTTACACTTTCGTTAGGCAGCGTACTTCCACTTTCCACTTGAGTGACAATATTGTCTGACCTTGAAGGATTTATGATCGACAGTTTTCGCCCGTTCAAAGGTTCAAAGCACTTCAAATCAATTGCATTCGAAACACGAAACACGACATTTCAAACGGAATGAACATTTTTTGGCAACGCTCCACCGCACACACAAAGCCACAAACATACAGAGCTGTGGAAAACCAATTGCAAATACAGAACTAAACTTTAATTAGCCAGTTATTGCAGCTCTAATAATGACTAACCGAATGACTTATGTATATATCAATTATATATACATATATAAAGCCATAAAACCCAGTCAATACTTTTTCCCAGCAATTTAATTTTAGTTTCTTTACCGATAACCATTATCCGTCAGCTGTTTTAGAAATACGAGCTGTTTTCCCTAGAGTCATATATATATGTGGTATATGGTTTTTGTCAGAAATCGCCACAGATGGTAGCGTCGGTTCTTAACCGAAACCTAGTCAGCAGATATTTATTTTCTTTTGTTTTTTGTTTTTTTTTTTGTAAATCACTCCGTGAGAATGCCTATATCAATAGCAGACATGGCCGTTGCAAAAGGGGATCTGGGTATCTTTTTTTACATATCCAGAACGAAACGACTGATTAGCCCTTCCGCTCTGTTGGCGGTGATTTTGTTTTGATGATTCAAAAGCATTTTCTAAGCGTGACGAAATGCGATACCTTATCTAAAGGGTGTCGAACCGTATGAATAAGTTGGAAGCTTAAACTAACTATTGTGTAAGAGTTTGCTTATAGATTTTATGTTCTTGTTGTTAAAGTTAACAGAATATTAAGTGGTCATGCCTGACTATTTGTAGGTCTATTGATTTTAATAAATATATATTAATTTAGAATATAAAACAGAAACATTCAAATACAGTTCCCCGAAATCTATCATGGCAACCTCATGATCTATTTATTTAATGTTTATAAATCAACTTAACTTTACAACCTAACCATTTTTATTTTGTTTAATACAATCCTTGTCAAAATTCAAAAGAAATTGGAAGTGCGAAAAAGTTTATTTTTATATTGAATTACTCATGGATCGCCTTACACCCTTTGTCTACGTCTGTGCCTTTCACCCGCGGTACTTCCTCCATATCGACTATTGTTATTTAATACATACTTCAATTTGCTGGCCACTGCAAATTCTGTGTATCGTTCGCAGGAACAATAAATAGTACTTGCGAAAAGCTCAAAATTACAACAACAACTACTCGCCGCAAGTTGTTTAAACAAAAGTGCAAAGCAACAATTACAGAAGCGGCAATAACAATAAAACCCAACTTTAAGCGTCATGATACATTTTGGTTAAATATCAGACAAGAACAATACGAAGAAAAAAAAAGAAAAACAAAAAAAAAATAACCACCCGAGTTGAGATAAACAAATTCTAGTTAACATTGTGTGTTTATCGTGTGCGGGTCGCGACTGCAGCATAGATGTTGCACAAAGGGGGTAGGAACGGGGGAAAGCCAAATTATTGAGCCATTACTCACCAGTTGAAACCTTGGGGGCGTGGCAAGCAGGGGGCGGTTAGAGAGAGGGAAGAACAAATATTTTCCACACTGTTACAAAATATATCATCGAAATTGGTCATTTATTGCGTAGTTTTACGATACCGATAAAGCCTTTATCAGAGACTTTTGCAACATCAAAGTAACACAGTATGAAATGATGTTAAACATTTATATTTATACAATATAAGATTCTGTAAAATTATGATTAATTTTTTTTTCAGTGCAGTCGAGAAAGTGCAAGCAGCAATTCACGTGCTGTGCGAAAAGCGAAGAGGCGGTGTGCGGAGGGGGATTTAAATGGGGGTCCAACGGGGGACTTTGAGCACACTCCAATGCTGATAGCAGAAATTCCCCCAAAGTAGAGTTTCGGTGCTTTTTGCCCCATGTTGTTTTACTTGTTGTTTCTCGAAATTTGCATAAAAAGCAGACAAACTTAGCATAAAGCGCCGCGGGGAATGGAAGACAAACAGGGCGGAGTATGGGCAGTGGAGAAAGGGGGCGAGAAAACAGAAGAAAGGGGGACAAAAGGAGGCAACAAGGCAGATGGAGAAACGTGGCACTACGTGCCGGGTACAACTGAAACTGTGTTAGCTTGTCGAACAAACACAAAAACACCAACAAATAATTGAAAAAAAATCGAAACAAAAACAAAACAAAAGGCAAAAAATCAAGAACTCAAAAATAACAAAAAAAAATAACCTACACCGCCCCTGGCCAGAAATCCAAAATAGAACCAGTTTCCAGAGTTTCAGTTCAGAGTCACATGCTGCAGTTGCTCTCGGACCTGACTTGATTTATCTCTTTCGGCTGCTTAATAATTTGTCCGACAGCAATTGAAAATCGAGGCCAAAAAGTTCTTAGCCAACTTAGCAAGCTAGCGAAGAACTTTTATTTAACAATATTTAGTTCCGTAATTGTTTTTGCCGCCGAGTAAATTTCGCATTTTCTTTGACACTTTTCCAACTGCGAAAAAGCTCAGTAAATGTTTATTCTTACACAGTGAGAAATCACTTGGAGTTTTGGTATGTTACATAATGATATGGCAACTTTATACATTAACATACTGTTATACAACTTATTGTTACAAAAGTCAGAATTAAAATATTTATAATAAATCCTCTGCCCTTAAATTTTATTTTCCATTTTGTATAATAAAGCGTTTAAAAAAGTTATAAACTTGTCAATGGTCTAAAAACTAGTTCTTTATTAGACTCATTAATCAACGATTTCTAAAATAGCCAACTCATTTTTTAAGGTAATTTTCGCAATTAGTTGATATTTTTCGCTGTGTAGAGGGAAATGCGACAAAAAGGCAAAAATTTCCACAATTTAAAGATCTTTCGCACGAAAATAGCCGCAGACACAACAACAGAAAAGAACGTCAGACCAAAATGAATTTTATAATTGACACGTACTTGAAAGTATTCTTTTAATTTTTTACCTTTTACTTGGCCACGGGCGCCAACAACAACAAGAATAATAATAGCGACCACTGATGACGTCGCCGCTTGGCGAAATTCGGAAATTTTCCACTGTGCTTTAGACACAGCTCATTGATTAGCATAAAGGGTTTTTTACTGTTTTAAATCTTGATCTTGCGGGGCAAATTTTTATGTTTCTTATATTTTATTTTGCGCGGGGATAACAACAAACGAATCGAACGGTGGAAGAGCGAGGGAGAAAGGTATATAGGTTTGGGGGGACGAATCACACTCACACACGCACTGGCTGGAGAAGAGAAAGAACGCGAGAACGAACGCGTCGATAAAAACAACAGACGATAAAGGAAAAGGCAAAAGCGCACACGAAAATTGGCAGGAAAGAGCAACAATAACAAAATGCTGTTGCTGTTGCGTGCGCGCGGTGGTGAAACCTTTGTATTTTGTACTTATTCTTTTTTTTTTTTTATTTTTTTACGTTTTACGACTTTTTGTGTTTCGGACAAACTTGAACTTGGCAAGCTCTATATTCCGCTTTTATCCGTAGTTTCTGTTTTTTCTGTGCGAGCAGCAGCACGTTTCCGAGCGTAATGATTTACAGTTCCTGCCGCAGCACGTTTTTAACCGGAGCGATCGAATCGAAAACGCAAACGCGAATGTCGCACCGCCGAGAGAGAGGAAAAGAGACGCCAACGGCCAACAGCTGGGCTCGAAATAGAGAGAGCCAAGAGCCCACCCTCACCATCGATCGCTCTCTCAAGTACAGTGGAATTAATCCCTATATATACATATATGGTTTTACATAAATCACAAGAACCTTTATATTATTATGCCATTTTTGGTTTCTTAAAGATCTAGAGAAATATTTTCATTCACAAAAAGATGACTTTATAATTTTTAATAACAGGTTCTTTGCGGAATTTCAAAAACATGCGGTGTTCTATCGGTCTGCTATCCGAATTTAATAGTCTCTTAATGTCACATGACCGAACTGCATAGTTATCCAATCATAAGTTTAATCAATATATAACAACAATTAGTATATAATTAGAGCAAGGGGCCGCACAAAACGTTTGTTGGGCAGTAAAAATAAATGTTAAACCAAACAGAGTACTCAATATTTAAACGTGTCTTATAAATTCATAGGACGCATTTTTATTCATATTATTTTTTTTAGTTTCTGAATATATAAAATGAGAGCATAATTTATTCCACTGTGCCGTACTACCCTACTTTACATAGATCGCTCTCTCTCCCTATTTCTCTCTTTCTGGCAGGCTCCGTTGCGTTTAACCCTTCGCAGGGATACGGTTTGGAACCCCCTGCTAGATGGTTGCCTTATCTATTAATATCATTGCGTTTGATTTTTTATCTAAAAATAAATAGCACTGGCTGGAAATGCCAATATTTGGCTAGCAATTCACGCAATGCAAATTAACGGGCTCCGACGCTCTAATTGATTGATTTGCATTTGAAATGAGAGACGACAATTGATCGGTTAAGAACTGTTCGACACTCGTTGAGAGCTAATCGGGATGGCCATAATTTTTACCAACGTCTACATGTCGAATAATTTTGATTGCGGGTTTATACTTGAAAATTTATGACGTACAATTGTGCCAAATAATGATTAAAACCAGTCAGAACATATGGGTGTGTTTTTTTTGTGGGGTGGGGTAAAACTGATAAGAGCGAAACGAGAAAGCTTTCCAGCGAGACCAGGACTTTCCAATGGGGCATTTTCCGATAGCTGCCTACGTCAGAGTTCCATTAGTTAAGAAAATATTAATTTTTCTCTTATTGATTGTCACAATTCACAAGCACTTGATAATTGATCCCAAAAGTGGTGTGAAATTTTTGTCATTTTAATAAATCAATTATGGTCTATTGAACACAGAGCTATTTTGATCGAGTGGCAATAGGAAAATTTATGGTTAAAGCCGCAGGGCTTTGCTAAAGAAGGGGTATAAATAAAAAGTCAAGAGCCGCACGTCACCCTTTCTTGCTATTCGCACAATTAAATGTCCATTAGTTGATAAGCGAAAATAAAATTACTCATTCTTCGTGTGGTGGAGCAGAGGCTACTAGACACATCTAAAGGTTAAGCTAAGCCTGAAAGCAGGGTATAATGATGGTGAGACTTAAAGTGAGAGCCTGAAAGTAGGCAACACTGAACGATATCAAGCGTGTTAACCTTGCAAGCGGAAACATGTAAACAACAAGGCTAACTCACTCAAAATTGAGTGCATTTGAGGCGCAGGCGTCGCTGTCGTGGTGAAAAGCTGTCCTCCTTTTGAGTTGTCCCAAAACTGTTGCTATCAGCTGTTGTTGTTACTATTGTTGTTGCTGTTGTTGTTGTTATTGTTGCATTACTGGACTTTGGACTACATCTTCATTTTATCATTTGATTTACCTGCAAAACTTTAACAATGCTCACTTCCGTCGCCCAAAAGCGAAATAGCGGAATGCTCACCTGCAAGCTCGGCGCCTTTGTGTGTGTTTGTATTTGAGTTTGATTGAGGGTAGGTGCAGGGAGGATGTAGGTGGATAGGAGGTTCTGGGGCAAATGCCCAAGGGTTTATGTGAAACTATCTTTTTTCAATTTCCCCCCCTCGACTACTGCCCTCTTCTACTCCTGCGAACACTGCCCACATAAAGCGGAAATGGAAGTTTTGTAAATGTTTTCTTTTGTATTTCTTTGCAGTTACCCATATGCCCGCTGTCATGCACTGGGAGGAAATTTAGCAGTTCTAATTGATTGGGTTAGGATGAGGAATTTAATTTAAACTACTATTTAAAAGCCAAAATACATTTTTAAAATAATGATGATTAATTAATTAGTATGATTTCATATGAAGTTCGTTTATCCAAACCTGTATTAAGAGCAGTTTCTCCCTATATATTCCGAATTCAATAACACCAACAAGGCTCCCTCATCGTTTTGATAGTACGACTTTTTTAACTGATAGGTATTAAAATATTTTTTCTGCCTGCAGGCGCTATACAAATACAAACGCAACACGGCGCCTTTGAAAGATGAGCGAAAATGGATCTAGTAGTGGTAATAGGAGAGTGTGGTGAACGGTGAATGGGGCAGTGAATTGGGGGGTTGGTGAGCTTTGTGGATGTTGGGTTGACTTGTCTGAAGGTTGGGGCGGAGAAAGTTGACTGGAAAGGTGGTTGGTGTGTGAAGAACCACATGGCCGGGCAACTCGTGCACTTTAGTTTTTGGCTTGCAAGTGTTGTTCCTATTTTTTTATGACACTTGACGCTCAGCCAAGCCATTCGTTTGGGCGGTTGGGTGACGTCTCCTATTCTGTTTAGTGGGTGCCTCAAAGGAAGGAAGGGGGGGAGGGGAAGGCTTCTGAACTCCTGAGCTGCTGGTTGGCAACGTTTTCCGTCATTGTTCGTTTTCCTTTGCACCTTCGCCTGCATGGGGCTTCATTCGGTTTGCCTTTTCCTGCATTGATAAGAAAGTGCTTTTTAATAGCCCTACACTCTGGGATATTTGTACACAAAGGGAAAAGGTTGCAGAAAGCGGTGTCAAAGGGCGGATTTGATTGAATTTGATTGTGCATATTGAATGGTAACCGAAATGCATTGTTCATTGACTGTAAAACTCGAATTTTTAATTAAAATGGAAAGATTGCATTTAGCTTGGTTACTTTTAAAAGAAAGTTGCATATTATGATTGACATGTTTGGAATGAATATTTTTTATGGCTTTGTATGCCTATGAACTTTGACTTAACAATATTTAGCAGAAAATTGCAAGCCAAGGAATCAACCCTAATTTATTTGCTGTGTATTAAAGCCATTCCTTTTTGCTTGCACTGTAAATTGCTGAACAAACTGCACGCAATTGACACTCATAAGCAAATCCCCCTATCAGCTGTGAATCAACAAGCATTCTCTTTTGTTTTCTCTTAATACCAGTAATCGTAGCTCCAAAAGCCCAAAGGTATTTGTTGTTAGTAGAAAGAGCGAGCTTTTCTAATGCTCCGATCGTAGCTTTGTAGATTCTTGGGTGCTCGGGTCTCGAGTCTCCAGTCTCATGCGTAGCCCGCAGTCAGTTGCTTTCGACGCTTTTGGCTATTAATAATAAAAGCAAATATGACGCGACTCTCTTGACTCAAAACTTAACTTATGGCAAAAACAGTAAAAAACTGATCGCTAAATTCAAGGTCGCCCTGTGAAGTAACAAAGAAAAGCAGCAGGTTGAAGTGTAGAAAAATTTACAGTGCTTAAGTGTCAAATCAAGTGCCACCCGAAAAATACAACGAGTACTTAAGAATTTCAAATTAATTACGGCAAATACGAGTACAAACGTACGTATGTGCTCAGTGATAAGATAAGCCAAAGGTGGGTCTGAAAGGTGGAAAATGGGAATTTGCATGCCGAGACAAATCTGTGGCTGAAACTGAAACCCTAACTAACCCAAAAACTCAAAGCGAAACCAAAGCAACAGCCGCAAGAGTGTCGATGTCGTCGTTACACGAAGTACACTGAGGAAAAATACAAGGAAGCATATGGAAATCTTTATTTTTCTTTAACATTTATTAGCACTTAATGTTATTTAAATTTAAGTTTTGTAAGTAATGCAGTCTTAAAGTATTTCTATTACTTTATAGCAACTTGTTTTAGGGATAAAGATTGAATTTTAATGGATTAACATCTGTGAAAAATAAGGCCCAAAAAAGAGGTATGAGGTCATTCTAAAATGGTCACAGCTATAAAAAAGTATTCCTTATTGATAAAATACCTTAGGTTTGACCCATTTGGTTGGCTTTTTCCATCGTGCACTAGTCACTATTCACTTGACGCGTTAACTTTCGTTTCCCTGAATGCCATGCATATTAGATATCTGGTACAGGTAGTGGATCACCACACCCCCTCCCCCACATATACCCGACATTTGCTTGTTGTTTGGCTTGCTGTAGTAGAGAGAGGGCGCCAAATACAATGAGCGGGGTAATTGTTTAAACAAGAACGACGGGCGAAATGCTGCCGGGCATACAAATCGATTGCCATGGCAAATATCACTCATACGCACTGGAGACCCATTGCGCGTGCTTCCTGCTAATGCTGAAATGTGTGCAAAACGAATATAATATATAATTAAAACTAATTTGATGACACACTCGACTCGGGCGAAAGACGAACTCAGCCAGGCCAAATAATAAAGCCAGAGAGAGAGAGGGTTTGAAGGGGGAGTCGTGAGGAAAGGGGATTCCTGCCAATTGCGTAATTATTATGTGCACAACACATATGGCTCGTTACACTAACAACGAGTTGTGTGTATGCGTGTGTGTCTGTGCGTCGTCTCCATCGTCGGTCCGTGTTTATATAAAAGAATTTTTTAAGTACGCAAATTGACAAACAAACGCAGGCAGAAGACGATGGCAACACTTTGCAATTACCGGGCCTCGAAATAAAGCCCATTTGAGCCCCCCAAAAACAACGACAGCAACAACAATAACAACAATATCCATGAAATCCAAACTGCACGCTCTGTTGATGGCTTTAATCGGGAGCGAGAGGCCAGCAAAAGCTGTGAGCCATGTTAATAAAGACTAAGTAATAATTAAGTGGCAAGCATTATGGTTGCCTTGGAAACGAGACGAAATTGTCGGAATACCCATGAATACCAGACTGCATTTACTATATGACCTGGTCACTTAATCACAGCATGCAAATAAGCTC